TAAGGTCTTTCGGTGCAGTCCAAAAAAAAGTTTCTACCCCAGCCGATAAAGAATAGTTGTTAGGCTTTTTATCATGCTTATCTGGCTATTGAACACATGTTGAGGGCTAAGAAAGATATGGCTACCCTTATCGAGGAGCACAAAAAGAGCTCAAAAGTATTGGGCAATGTTAGATCAAGCCTCAGCGTGTCCCATAAAGAGGCTAAGTTGAAGAGAAAGGTAAACGAGCTGACAGTGAAGTTGAAGGTAATCTTGGTGAACAAGGCCTCAGTCGAATCAATGAAAAAATTGGTTTAACTGAAACTTAATGATGCTTAGGTCGAAATTATGAAGTTGAAGTTTTAGCTAAAAGCTCAAGACAAAAAAGAGCAGAAGCTACAGATGAAAGCTCCAAAAAGTATAAGGCATCCGATGAGTGTCTTTGAGTAAAAGTAGAATTCTGTAGGAAGAATGTTCTTAGGGCCTTCTAGTTGACTTAGGATGAGGTACAATTTAAATTCTTCTCTTTCAATATTGACCTCTCTTATATTGACATCATTAATATCAAATCAAGGCCTTGTTGGAATCAGCTCAAAAAAGATGAAGAAGAGGAAGAAAAAGATGAGGATGAGGCCTTGAAGAATGAGTTAAAGGTTGTCATGAGGACAAAAGAGGAAGACGTGAAGATCATCAAAACTGAAGTCATTCCTTTTGCTCTTATTGATGAGAGTACTCCTCTCGTCGCTGGTGCTACTGATGAATGAATTTTGTAATTTTTTGTTTTTGACTTTGTGAATTTTTTAACTTTAAGGTTAGCTTTTTGTAAAAACCTCCCACACTTTAGCTAATGTCTTTTGTTATAATGAAATAGAAAGAGAAATTTTCTTAAGTTTTAGCTCAGTTGTACTATCATTTTTTTTATCTGCATAAGTTTGAGAAAGATTATATGATCTAAAGGTGGATAATTAAACTGAAAACTTACATAATTGCTTAGATCAGATGAATGTATAGGTCAGATTTTTTCAAATCATTTAAACATAAGCTTACCAAAGATAGTTTAATTCATGTTTTTGTGTATAAAAAATATAAGTGTAAGCTCGATTTCTACCGATATACTGGTAATAAACTTGATTTACATTTTATATACTTGGGATGATAATGCCATTCATAAAATAGTATAAGTATGAGCTCAGTTTACAACAAGTTACTAATAATAAACCTTTAGGTTGTTTGCATTTCACGTCCTTAGGATGACATCACCATTTAGATTTTGTAATTTATGGGTCGCATCGTGAATGACCTTCTTAACAATGTATGATCATTCCTATGTCGGGGTCAATTTGCTACTTCGATTATCTACCCCTGAAGCTTTAATTTTTTTAAGTATCAGATCGTCTTTCTTGATGTGTTTACATTGGACTTTCTTATTATAATAGTTGGCTACCTTTTGCTGATAAGCAATAATTCGTGTTAAAGCTATGTCTCTTTGTTTTTTGGCAAGGTCAAGGTTGGTCCTAAGTGCCTTTTTATTTTTTTCTTCGGACGTCAATTCAACTCTTAAGCTCGACAGCTTGATCTCAATCGATACTATAGCCTCTGTGTCAAATGCAAAATGAAATGAGGTTTTACTAGTAGGCACCTTTATGGTTGTCTTCAAGGCTCACAGAACTTTTGGTATCTCGTCAACCTATTTTTCTTTTGCTATGTCAAGCTTTTTTTTTCAGAGTTTCTAATATTGTCTTACTTGCATCTTCGACCCTACCCGTTGGACTGAAGGTGGGCAATTGACATGAACGTGAGGTTGAAGTAAAAATTTAATACCTTCCTTGAACCTCGAATTTTCAAACTATTTGTCATTGTCCATTATTATAGACCGAGGTAATCTCAATCTACAGACTTATTTTTTCACACAAATTTCTTAACTTGTGCTTTCATGATGGTGGCTAGGGCTTCGATTTCGAACCACTTTGTGAAATAATCTACCATTACTATGACAAATCTCTTCTGACCTATGGTTAGGGTGAATGGTCCGAGGACATCCATTTTTCACTGCATAAATGGCCATGGCTAATGATAAGAGTGAGCTCGATTAAAGAAGATGTTGCACATACTCATGTGTACTCTTTTAACATAAACAAATATATATTTATATGCACCCATGTATCATACTTATGTAAACCATCTCAGTCTCCTATAGTCTACTTACAAACTTACAAATATACACACCCATAAGATATAAATCTTCAATAGTCTTATGAGATGTTTATTTCATAAAATCCTACAACTCTCTTACATTTTTTTCTCATATCTAACCTTATAGAGATTTCACCTATTTATAAACATACTAACTTGCCTATTAAGGATCCATTTTCTCTTAAAATTCTTTTTTTGTAAGTCTTCTTATCCATCAAGCAATATCTAACTAATTTCAAATAAATCTCTTATGAGATTTGAGTCATTATTCTCAACAATCTTTAAGTTGACTCAAATTCATCAATCATCAATCTTCATGCTAGACATGCTTAGCTTCACCTGTAATGAAAATCTCACAATCATCTTTTCTTGTGTGTTTTTACACTTTATGCAAATCGATCTTCAAAACATGAACTGAAACTCTTTTCTTGAATCGAGCTCCTCTGATTTTGTCTTTTCTCATATCTCGAACCTCTAGCTCTTCCTACATTTTGAACCTTTGGCTCAAATACTACTATTAGGTAAAAAGTCTCCAATCAATCAAATTAGCGGTAGTAAAATCAAATAATCGATTAAACACATAAGAAATAGTAATTTAACGTGATTCAACCTAATTGATCTATTCTCACAAATGAGAAAAAAGATCCATTAGTTGTAGAGAATTACAAATAAACATAAAATCAAGCACTCATAATTAATACCCATAGAACCTCTTAATCTCCTCTAGTGGTATGAAGTATTCTTAACCAAAATAAATACATACTCATGTGTACCATTTCAACACAAATAAATACATGCCCATATACATCCATGCATCATATCCATGTGGACCATTTTAATCTTATCTAGTCCTCTTACAAACATACAAACATATATACTCATAAGACGTAAATCTCTAGTAGTCTTATAAGGTGTCTATCTCATAAAATCTTATAACCTTTTTACATCTTTTTCTCATATCTAACTCTAAAAAGACTTCACCATTTACAAACAACTAACTTACCTATTAAGAATCTTTTTCTCTTAGAATTTTTGTCTACAAATCTTCTTATCCATCAAGTAATATCTAATTAATTTCAAATAAATTTTTATGGGATTTGAGTTACTATTCTCAACAATCTCTATTTTGACTTAAATTTCATCAATCATTAATCTTCATGCTAAACATACTTGGCTTCACCTGCAATGAAAGTCTCACAATTATCTTCTCTTTTGTGTCTTTACGCTTCATGCTTCACACAAACCAATCCTCAAAACATGAACTCAAACAATTTCCTTGAATCAAGCTCCTCTAAGCTTGCATTTTTTCATATCTCAAACCTCTAGCTCTTCCCATCTCTTGAACTTTCAGCTCTAATACCATTGTTAGGTAAAAAGCCTCCAATAAATCAAACAATCGATCAAGCACATAAGATACAGTAATTTAATATGGTTTGATCCAATCGATTTACGTTCACGGATTAGAAAAAAATTTACTAGTTGTAGAGAATTACAAACAAACATCAAATCAAGCACTTATAATTAATATTTATAAATCCTCTCAATCTCTTTTAGTCATATAGAGTATTCTTAACCCAAATAAACACATACAATATGCACCTTTTTAACATAAACAAATACATATCTATATGCACCCATGCATTAGACCTAGGTGGACCATCTCAGTCTTCTCACAAACATACAAATATACATACTCATAAAACATAAATCTCCAGTAATCTTATAAAGTGTTTGTCTCATAAAATTTTATAACTCTCTTACATCTATTTCTCATACATAACCCTATATAAACTTGACCTATTTGTAAATATATTAACTTACTTATTAAGAATCTATTTTCTTTTAGAATTCTTCTTCTGCAAGTCTTATTATTTATCAAGTAATATTTAACTAATTTTAAACAAATCTCTTATAAGATTTGAATCATTATTTTCAACAATATATTGGTGGTTAATGAATATCGCATTCATTGAGACACAATCCTAAACTTCTTCCATGTCAGCTATCTACGATCTACCTTCCAAACTAAGTGATGAATGATGGGAGCTGATATTTAATTGATTATTATATAATCAAATAATTAAGAAATCAAATTGAACCACTGATGATTATCATGAAACTTTCATCTATCCATACTAGGTAGCTAAAATAAAGGTTCACAAAATTAGGGTACTTATAATCGTGCGCTTTAGTTCCAATGATCTTTGCAGCAGAAGCGAAGCCACGGGTAAGTGACCTGCAGCTCTCCCATCAGTCATCATCTTGATATTTATTTGGAATTCCTCGGAGAATATCAGCTGTGGATATTTTCTTTATATTTGTTTCTGCAGGCTTGAATCGTTTTGTTGGCTGATTAAAGTTGTGAACTGGAAAGTTTTGTGATTGCTTAAAAAAAAAAATCAAGGAGTATTTCTAGAGGGGTTTTCTTGAGGTGTGAGGACATAGGACTTAAATGATCAACTACGTACGAGACACTGTTAGTTCATAATGATTAATTGAAGTGAAACTTGAACCTAAGTCCATAATAATGCCGATGCTGGTCGACTTTACCAGCTAAGGTGTTGGTGTGCACGGCGGCAGAGCTTAATTAGTCCATAGAACTGTGGCTAACAGTAGACGAGTTCCATGTTTCAGTTCAAGGCTGAACGCAAAACCAGTCTTGAAGAAGTAATTCGTTAACTGCTCAGCGTGATGAGAGTATGCTAGGGTTGAAGTAGAATACAGATTATACAGGCAGAGGCAACGAGATGATGATAGCCTGTAGCTGTTATCCTTTAAAGCCAAAATGTTTTGGTTTTTTTTAAGAAAATTTTAGTAACACCATCTATTCATGAAGTCTTTCTTATATGAGAGGTAGCCTCTTTGTCATCCGCGTGGCTTAAAGACCAACTCGCACGAAATTTCCTAAAATCAACATAAACCGAAGCCTAGTAATGAACAAGATTTCACTACTGAGTTATGACTAAAGATTCTAAACCAGAATATATGTCGCTTCGGAAAATTTTGCCCTGTTAAAATCTGAAGAAGTCATAGACATAATAGAGTTATAGAAAGCCTAGCTCCGCCCTCTTAGTAAAGAGGCAGAGAATAACTACATTATAATGTCTCGTGTCAGTGGCAAACTGGCAACCTTTTTGAGAGGAATGTGCCAGGGTGAGCTTATAGCACTCTCAAAGCATGATGCTTGGAAGGTTTTACATAGCAATTTGCAGCCATAATTTGACAGTCTGCCCCAACATCAGATACTGGGATGGATGGGGACACAACTATCTCCTCCTTCAGCTTCAGTTCTTCATCTTCTTCTATAACTCTCAGAAACTCCTCCAGTGCCTTACGCATCCAGTCATACCGGCAGAGACCCAAGGCTTCTTTTACATTTAACTGTAGAGATAAAGAGATGTTTCAGAAGAATTGAAACCGTTTCAGAAGCTTATGTTTAATTTGAAAGCATTGTTATTTAGCTAGCATGCCTGCCTGCATGCGGCATTTACATATGAAAACACCGGAAACCCAGTGTGGTGTGGATTATTTATGCAGTTTGCCTAATTTTCCGATGCATAAATACTAACCCAAATCCTATCTCGGTCTTTCTGCTCCGGCCAGATGTCAAGCTCCTCGGTCACCTCTAATGCAAACATGAATCCTCTGCAGCTTCCTTCCAGACTGCAAAGGTCCTGCCTGCTCTTGCTTCTAAACTCCCAAACTCCTAGAGGAATTTCCTGAACAGAAAAGAACCTCAGCCTATCAGAATGTTTAAAACTGGTAATAAAAAGAACCTAATACTAATATATTTCTGACATTTAGCAAGTTAATGTGAAACAGCAATTGTCATAATAAAACATAGGTCGGAAAATCATAGAGCACACATCAAAAAAGGCAGCTGTCTGGAAAGTACTATGAATTTCTTGCTATATACTCTGGATAATTAATAGAACCTACTCTTAGTATTCCTCTTACTCCTGCTTCTTCTAAGGCTTCCCGACATGCTGCTTCTACAACAGTCTCGTCATCCTCCCATCCACCCTGGCAACAACACGAGAACAAAGGTGGATAAAATACTAATCAACTTTTCATTCCAAGGCATCTTAAATGTTCCATGAGCTTTTGCCACCTAGGGTAAGAAGAGATCAAAGAAAACGCATGTACCTTTGGAAAGACTAAATCACTACGATTTGGTGAAGAGACCATGAGAACTTCTATCCTGTTTTCCTTGTCAACATCTTTATCGTCCTTTGTCAGCCTGTAGGGAATACATCTGTTGAACGCCCAACACGTACATTCTCAGCAATTTAAAGCATCAGTTTGCAGATATATATGATATTAAGCTGAGATTCTACATGCGAATAATGTGTGCTTGTATAAATGGACAAAAAGTTTTAAGGATCAAATTGTCCTTAAGGCTCACGCTTTAAAAGATTACAACCCAACTTGTCCTTTAATTGTATGTATTATATATCTATCTACTTCTCAAGGCTCAATTTTCTATCTCGAATCTATTTATGTTCATGTGTTGGTTGTATTTCCCATTGAACTTTAAAACCTAACATATAGTTTTATTAATTGTTCCCTAACAGAAATCTTCTTCAGAAGATTTGCGAGGTAGCAGGGATGATCTATTGGTGAGAAGGGCAGAGCATTTGAAATGCCATAAAAATGAAATCTTTCCATCCAACATTCATCATTCTACTCAAAGAATCAATCCACTCATGAGTCATGGCACGTGTATTCTAAAACATTATTGCATTTTGAGTACATCAACATCATCCAACTTCAAGGTCAACAATATTGAGAATGACATGAACATCGTTTATGCTACTACCTGCAAGCTAATTGTTAAGAGAATGGTCGGATGCTTGGATTTCCATTTTGATACAGAGCATTATTTGAGGTTCAGCTATTTTATTGAAGCTGACCAAAGTGGAAGAAGTCTAATGTAATGCGACCAATGACCATGGAATCGGAGTCCTTTAGGCTTTAGAGAAACCAAACTTTAATTAGAAGCACCTCCTAAACAACCCTCAACTGAAATTCTAAATTACCTGAAAGACGCAGCAAAACCATCTTCATTTACACCAATGGACATCAATGTAAGCAAACATTTAAGACCTTTCCAACATGAAATTCCACCCCCATATAAAGAAAAGAAAAAACAAAACTGCCCCTCTATTTGTGAAGGAAGGGACAAAACAATCGATAGTTTTAACTACGTACCATAATGAATTTAATTTTTTTTTTTTTTGAAATTCAACGCATGGGATAACATAGATTATGCAAAACATTGAGTTTTATGAGGTGATTGGGTTAAGTTGTATATATAATAGAATGGAAGAGTAATAAATTAAAAGGAAATACTATGATAACAAAAAAGGAGAATAAGTTTATCGGAGACAGAGATGCTCCTCCCTTGAGAATGTAAAAGGAATCAACAAAGATAAACGGAGTTCCTAGGCAGGCTGATGAAACAAGGAATGTAATGCATGTCAACAGTGAAGAACACGAATGGTAAAATGAAAGAAGAGAACAAGAAAAGATAGAAGCAAAAGGAGGGCTTACCCAGAAACAAGTCGAAAGTTATTCTCATCATACCGTTGGCGGTGTCTCCCTGTTCTTGCTATGAAAGCTGACATGATGATATTCTGCAAATAAACAAATATCAGGTAATGTTCATAATCATACCTAAAAGCTAAAACTTGAAAGATGTGTGTACATCAAAGAGAATTTCTGCCAAAATAAAATAAATTCATGATTTTGTCCTCACCCTTTGGTATGGAGGCACCAAGCCAGCCAATCAAACCCTCCCAAGAAAAGGCCAAGAAAGAAGGAAATTAAGGAAGGAAGGAAGAAGCAGTAAGAAAATTGAAAATACCAATTACGGCGGCAACCTTAAAGGTGGAGTTGGAGAGACAAAAACAAGAGGTTTCATAAGCAGAAATGCCTAAGGAGAAGCTGCGGTCTTTCTGAAACAGATTGGATAATTTGATTAGTATAAGCTAAACACAATCTTTTAATGCATTTGCATGTATGTATTTATGTATGAATGAACTCTCTTTCTGTCTATCTTGGGGAACGAACCAACCTTATCTAGCACTTGTGACCAGAAAGAAAAACGATGAAACTGAATAAAACAATTTCATTTTATTTTAGTTTGGGAGATGAAGAAAGAAACAGAGAAAGTAAGATTGGGAGAGAGCCAGAGATTTTGGCGGGGACAGTGCAGCTGCATTCCATTTATAATCACTGCAACCTCCCAGTGCCCAGGGTGGTTATTAATCAATTGTTTCTTTAATTATTATTATGTATGATATACGAGCAGGAAATGAAATGAACATCTTTCGGTTTCCAGTATTATTTTGTTGCTAATAAAATAATAATGAAGTTGTTGGAAGTTGAAGGCCGGGAAAGCAAATCATGATATTATTAGAGCCCCAATGGGCTTTCGTTTCCACACGGGGCTGGAGACGTCAACTCAAAATGCTTGGCTGCCTTTTTTTTAGCATTTTCTTCTCTCTCTCTCTCTCTCTATCTCCCCGACCTTTTTATTTATTTATTTAGTTTAATAGCTTAGCATACTAAAATAAACAATTCTTTACCCTTACAATTTCAAATATCAAATAAACTATTATGCTCGAATGCTAGCCTCCAAGGTCTTCGTCACAGCAGAAGTCATTATTATTGCTATTTATTTTATTATAATAAGCTAGTTGGGAGTTGTCAAAACTTAATCCAAACCCAATGCAATGATGTGAAACAAAATACTAAAAATCAAACAGCATTAAAAGACGCTTATCTCCGTCCCAAAAAAATAATAATAAAACAACAACTCCATTTATATGGGAAAGTTCTCAACTATCTCCGATCGAGTTCCAACCTCATACCTTTAGTTTTACGCTTACCCATTGAAAAATGAAATCAGAAACCTAACAATATATACCTCTATGTCTCCCAACTTCCCTCCAACGTAAATTAAACAGCTGCTTCACAACAATATTTTTTTCCCGTGTGAACATTTATCTAAAAACTGCCGATATCTAGAGGTATATATTGTTATCTAAATTGGGCAGGACAAAGAAAGAAAAGAAAATGGTATTGGTATTGGTATTGATGTTGTCACGAAGTTTGTACCCATAAAAATTACTGCAAATGTTTGTTAGGGAAAAGAAAAACAAAATGTTGAGTAAATACACCCCAACAAATTTGTTGGATTGAACACTTTGTTTAAGAATTCAATTGCGTAAATTGCAGGCCTCAGTTAAAGACGGTGGTCATCCTGGCAATCAAATAATTCCAAGATGAAGCCCTGAAGTCAAAGGTTAGTTGATTAATGCAATAATTAGAAAACTTTACCTTGAGCACAATAAAAAAATGTAGAAAAGAAAGAAGAGGGAAAAACAAGAAGTGGTCCATGCAATATTAAATGTGACAATGACATGATACGAACTGCACATGCATGCCGACATACATGTCTGATGCATTTTATATATCACATGCTTGATGCTTAGTCATAAATTCTTTTTTTTTTTTTTTGGTTCCAAAATGATTTCTTAAGTTTTCATGCATTCTGCCATGATCCAACCCATTAAGTTACTCCAACTCCATATATAGGTAGTACAGTTATAGCAGAAGAACGTGACGGAAATGAAGGACACAGGACACAGGACACAGGCATGGGCCATGGTGTGTTCTGTTAGATTAACTAAATCCATGACCATGAGTTTTGAGGAAAGGCATTGGATGACACGTGCAACCATCGCCCCATGTGGAAGCATCATTAAGTTAAATCTGACAAATGAAACCAGAACTACAACAGAGTTTGAAATGAAGTGATATATATATATATATATATGTATATATCTTATGCAACCCTTGTTATGTAAGCTAAAATGCATATATGCCAAAATTAAACAGAACTTGATGATTATAAAACTAGGAAATGAAACTTCTGAAAGGAAAAAAAATGGAGCTTAAATTGGTTAAAAAAAGTAGTACTTAATTGGAAGTAGTTAACTTTGCGGTCTAAAACAAAAAGAAAGTAATTAACCTTTAAGTACTTTAGACTCTTGAAAATATTTTGGAGAATTATATTTACACACATTTATTATTTTATACATCTCTCTTTCAAATATATACCAAATTTAAACTAAATATACTCTCGTCTCCCACTTTCTATTTTTTATTCATACCCTTTTAATTCTTTCTTCTTCTCTCTTCACTTTTCAATTTAAAAAAAAATTATAAATTCATCAAATTAACCTTAAATCATCCGTGTTTTTGAGTTTTCTAATAATTAAAGATAAAATTCTTACTTTGTTTTCAATTGATTTTAATTGATTTGTAATTAAAATGCATGTAAATATAGATTAAAATTTGAAATAAAATTTAGGTAAAATCGAATTTAGATATTTGAGAAGCTCTAAAGTTTCATTTTCAAAGAAGTTAAAAAGATTTTTGAATATTTATTTTTTAAAAATCTTAAAGGTTCTCGAATAATTATTTTTAAAAAATTTATTTGTTTTTCGAAAGTTTCTAAACTCTTTGAAAATTTTAAAAATAAATTTTTGATAAATTTTAAAACTTTTAAAAAATAGATATCCGAAAAACTCTAAAATTTTAAAAAAATAGATATCATAGAATCCTTTTAATTCTTCGAAAAAATTCTGTCCAAAAATCTCTAAGAATAACTTAATTAGAAATATATAAATTTATGAATTAATTTACTTGATTATGTACGAATAAAAAATAGAGTATGCGAATGAAAGATATGACAGTTTTCAAGCATGGACAAAAAGGTGTTCTTGTCTTGAGACTCTAAAGAACCAAAGAAACCAAAAACATCCTTTTGCCAATGCAACTCAGCAAGCAGGAAAGTAAAAAAATCTGAAATTATACAACAAATGGACGTTTGGCCGGAATTCAAACACAAGCACATTCCAATTGCTTTCTCTCTCTCTCTCTCTTATTGTTATTATTTCAATTTGTTCAGAATTTGCCTTTTATCTGAAGAGCGATTAAAGGAAAGACCTTGAAATAGAATCATAAAATTACGTAGCCAAAAGCCTCGAACCAAATGGTGCCTCAGCCCCACTTTAAATCTATAGAGTTTCCTAACAAACCTGGAAAGAGTGAAAGACTAACCCAGAATAGCAAGGTCCCAAATTGCCAAACTACCTCCTAGCACAGTTTTTAAACTCATAATAATACATGCTACATTTTGTCTCAATGCCAATGAAAGATTTTCCACCAATGAATCAATCGACCGTGGCAAACCAACCTGAGAATCCACATGCATCTGAAATTTAAAATTGCAACATAGCCTCCCTTCTAATTAAAGCGCCTAAAAGGTGTTTTACTCGGTTGTTCCTACACGAGAACAAACTTAAATCTACTACTTAAATCTTCCACTAACATGCCAAAATTATTCCAGCGCAGCCCAGGAAAAGGACAGACAACGCTATTTGCAAACAAGATAACCAAATTGAGCTACAGGAACCAACAGGCTAGTAAAAAACCTACTCCATAATTTGAGCCTAAGTGGGTGGACATTTGAATCAAAGCAAAAAAGATATCCGTTACAAACTTATTATTATGCGGTAGTAGTAGTGGTGGTGGCAGCAGTCCAAGTATATAGAAATTATCCAAAGTATTAGGCCTCGGCTTACACTAATTATGGGGACCTAAAAACCCACACCCTACCAAGGAAATGTAAGATCTACAATAGGCCTGGTCCAATAATCCAAACCCTTTAAAGAAAATTGAAGATCTGAAGTCTGGTCTGGGCTTCAATGGATGGCCTAAGTGGGTTTGTGGCCTCCACCCACCGCCTTTAACAAGTACAAAGGGAAGATGAAGGGCAACTAGTTTCGTCTCATATATAAACATCGCATTCGCATGCTTTCGCTGTTCCGCTCTGCTCAGAAACATCTGCAATTTCTTAGGATAGGAGGTTCTCAAGGTTTCTCCTAACGCATCTAGCAGCCACCAAAAATGGTCTGTTTCTAGTTCCTCTTTTTATTTTCATTTTTCTTTCCTCGTTATCTTGTCTTTAATTATTGCTTACGCTTTCATAATTTCATATTGTTGATTTCCCGTCGTTTGCTGCTTTTTGGTTGCTTCGAAGAAAATTCTATGATTTTTATATTTCACTTATTATGATATTCTTCTTGCTGCTGTTTGCTTTCGAATCGCACTTAGCTGGACGGAAACACTTGTTTCTTTTGGGCTTTATTGGGGCTTTATGATTTTTCCTGATATGTATTTCCCTTCTAGGGTAGTGCTATTTGTTTTTAATTTTACCTGATTTTGGGGCGTTAAAATGTGAGATTAGGTTCTCCAAAACGATATCGACTTATTGAATCCTCCCGCTGAGCTTGAGAAGAGGAAGCACAAGCTCAAGCGTCTCGTTCAGTCTCCCAATTCTTTCTTCATGGTAATATTTGGCTTTTTTTTTTCTTTTTTATTTTCGTACCGTATTTGTTCTTCCCTATTGATTGTTTAATTTGTTGCCATTTAGGGTATCTCAGAAACTTTTCTTACCACATCTTAGCTGTACTGTAAAAGGTTTTTTACTTTTTGATCTCTGTTTTTTGTGCATATATGTGTATGTTGGATTAACTGGACTCTTTCTGAAGGATGTGAAATGTCAAGGCTGCTTCAACATGTAAGGATGTGAAATGTCATTGCATGTGTAGATTTTGCCTTGAAGTATATTTAGGGTTTCTTTCTTAATTTTCTGCTTTATACTTTGCAGAACCACTGTATTTAGCCACTCTCAAACTGTTGTGGTGTGTGGTAACTGCCAGACAGTCTTGTGCCAGCCTACCGGTGGTCGAGCTAGACTCACAGAGGGATGCTCTTTTAGGAAAAAGGGGGACTGATGGCTATAATTGGAAGCGTTTCAAATGTGAGAATGGTAATGGATTAATGATTAAGCGAATTATGTGTAATTTTGGTATCACACTAAGGATAAGACTACCTTATGCCTGTGGTCCGGTATTGTTTAAAGTAGTTGATGGTTTTGTTTCAATGAATGCTAATGCTTGTTTTTTTAATCTTTTCCAATCCTCCTCTACTACTCTTCTCTACTTTACTCTCCAACAATTGGCATACCAACAGACCACACACACATACATGAATTAATTTGCAATAGAAAAATGAGAAAAATGTGCATGCTTGCTGCAGACTGGGCCGTACTAGCTAAGGAGTCAAGACACCACAATCACAATCTAAAGAATACATTGCATTTGGTTCACTCATAAACATCAATTATAGATAAAAGCACTTAGGTTAAATCTATAGCCCAATCTGTTTCAAATGACAGTATCGTTCTTCACAAGTTCCACCAATGGTGGCCGTTGAGATGCGGGTTTCTCCACAAAGCTTAGCCAAAGTTGCTGTGGGAAAGGATACTGAAATAATTGCTGAGGTTGTAAATGCTGAAGAGGCAGAGATACCTAGAAGCAAAGGGAAGAAAGAACACCTGATTGGAGGACAAACCAACAACACTAGATTTCTTTCCTCCGTTAGAACAAGGTGGTGAGAAATTAGTTAAGCCTCCCCAAAATGTTATTGATGAAGGTATTCATTCTTGTTAGAATAGCCTACTAGTTCGGTTTATAGGCTGGTAAACCTCCAAATTTTAATCATATGAAAACAACTACAAATCTGATACATGGAAGAGATGGTAATATAGAAATTAAACCACTTAGCAAAGGAGTTTTCTTATTCAAATTTCATTCAAAAGGAACTTGTGATTGGATCCTAGGCTTTGGTCCTTGGTATCTAGGCAATAAACCAATTATCATTAGACGTTGGACCCTTGTTATGGACTTCTCAGTTATGCAGCTTACAAAATTTCTTGTTTGTCTAAATCTCCGGAGTATTCCACTCGAACTTTATACTTGGTCTGGGATCAATTTTATAGCTAGTGCAATTGGGAAGCCATCGCATATAGACAAAGCTTCTGCTCACAGCAAAGGCATTTGGGGTTTGCAAAGGTTTGTGTTGAAATGATTTTTGAAGAAGAGGTGCCTAGCACTATACAGGTTGACTTGGGGAGAGGATATCCTATTGTTATTAAAGTTGCAGTTCCTTGGAAGTCTCATAAATGCCAAATTTGTAGGTTGTTTGGTCATTCTATTAGAAATTGTGCTAGCTATGCGGCTCCTAAGACTGCATGGGTACCTAAAAAGCCAGAGAAAGAAGTTGAGGAGGATTGGAAGGTTGCTGCTGGTAACGAAAAGCGGACGGTTGATCCTGAAATATTGCTGCCAGCTGAAATATCTACTCCTAATCAGTTCAATGCCATAGTCGATGCTGAGAATTTTCCTCCTTTTTAAGTGTTAGAAAAAATAAATAAGAGAATAGAAATAATGAAAAAGAATTTTAACTTTGCGGTGTGAAAATATTTTTTTAAAAATAATTATGCCTTTAAGGTATAATAAAATCTTAAAACTTTTTAAATAGAAGTAGTGAAAATGATTATACTAAAAGATTTATTTATAATGAATGAACAAACATAAATTTTATTCAGATAGTTATAATTTTTTGTATAATCATTACCTATATGAATAATAATTTATTTATATTTAAATAGATATAATCATTTGTCATATAATAATTATTTTTATTCAAACATAATTATTTAAAATATGAAATAATTAAATCTTTTTATTTAATTTGAGATACACTACATTCTAAAACTATTAACAATCCCTTACTAATTTAGAACATTGGTGTTTAATATTTAATCTTTCACACAAATAAATATTATGAATATAAGAAAGCATCTCTTGATTTAAACATTTAATTAGCGTATATATCTTAAAATTCTATCAAAGTTGATGGTGTTCACAGATTAAATCTCAACTCTTAATGTAGAGTTGAAGATATAACACATATAATATTTATTTATTCTTTTGTCAGAAATTTATAACCACTTTATTACTATAATGACTATGTGCTTATTCTATTTATAAACATTTACAAGAGAGACCCTAATTCTTTTTATTAAAGCGACATTACTTCTATATTTATATAGATAGAGTTTTCATTATATCTCTATTACTTTAAACATTTAAATAATAAACTTCATTAAAAGTATAAAAAACTCATCATCTTCACACAATAAGTCACACTAATTTTTAAAATTTAAAGGGATTTTACTAGTACTTAACAGACATATAATAATAACTTATTTTTACTCATTAAACTTTGTAATCAGAGGTTACTAATTTAAATTTAGGTTCTCATTATTGGTATCTAACAGTAAGGATTTAAATCCATTCTACTTGTAATACTACTAACAAAATTATTCGAATTCAATTTTTTTTATAATAATTAGCCTTATTTGATATTGAATCTCTAATATAATCACTTCAGGTAATATGTCTAAATTTTTTATTTTGCATATCATTTATATACTCGAGACATTATTACATCGTTCTTGTCATTTTAAGAAATAGATAGTATTAGTTGTGGCCACATCTCTATACTCATTAATATAAAATTTTAATTTTTCTATTTATGCACTTTTATCTATTTTAATACAATTATTCTTATAATACAATTGAATAAACTTAATGAATAAACCAAGCCATTTTAATCTTTTGAAGATATTTAAGGACCTTTTATGATTTTACTTTAATAAGTTGTACTAAACTTATTAGCTTGTATAATTTGCTCAGAAAATTATATTAAAATCTTATAACACTATGGTGACAATTTTTACTTCTTTTGATTCTTATCACCCTTACCATGTTCAAATTTGTATTCTTTTATTACAGAATGTCCCATTCATTTATCAAGATATCATATACACTTAATCAAATTGTTATTTTATTTATCTTTTTACTATTTAATAGTTATTTTTGTTTAAATAGATGGCATCCAAATCTACCCTCAATGAAAGATAGCTAGTAAATATTTTATATTTTAAGATTTTTTTTTCATAAAAATTGTAAAACTTTTATTTCAACTAAATATGAGAGTATGCATAAATAAGTATGATACCAAATATAATCACTCTCAAAACTAGTAAACTCATGCTTTTTATAGTCTCATTTTGAAACTTTCATTCCAACTCTTGCATATTTAAAACCTATTTGATATAAACACTAAAGTCATATCCACCACAGTTCATGTTATTAGAAACAGTCAAAATTTCATGTATAACCACACAATACTATAAATTTTGTATCTAAATTATAAAATACATGAAAAATTTTCACCTAATAAATAGAAAGCATTTTAACTAGTTACATAGAATTATGTAATTTCTCTAATTGAATTGAAGTTATCTTAGATAATATGTTTATTTCTTATCGAAATAGTATATATAAATCAAATAATATGAATAATGCATTATTCTCTTGTCAATAAAATGCAATCATGGAATATGGATCATAAAATATGATTTTATGATAAAAACATATATACTTGCTTCTTTTTAAAAAAGATTTATAAATTCACAATTTCTTTTATACCTTAAAATAATTCTCTAGAATTTTATCATTTTGATTTGATAACCATGGTCTTACCAAAATATAATAAAACTATAAAAGATTCACAATCAGAGCTAGCAAGTACTCCATGTCCATTTTATGCTCATGACCATTCAATGCCATAATCAAAAAAATTCACATATAACATACCATAAAATTATAAATAAAAAATTAAATAATTTAATTCAAAATCAAAAGATTAAAATAATAATCAATAAAAAAGGTAAAATTCAATGAGACTCAAAGTCTTTTATGAATTATTAATCATTAATTCTTTTAGTAGAATATAAAAACTAAAAAGATAATAACAAGAAACTTATTTTGTATTTTATATTACTAGGAAACTATTTGGATAATTGAAATTTTTTATACTTCTTTCAAAAGTCAGTTTTGCCAACTTTGCCAGTTTCTTTTCCTGATATCTTCTTCATGCAAAAAATGAATTTTATAATTACTTTTAAATTGTTAAAAAAATAAATGAAAAAAAAATTGACTTTGAGGCATGAAATTACTTTTTTAAAAGCAATTATACTTGTAAGATATAACAAAACTTCAAACTTTCTAATCAGTATAATAAAATAATTATACTGAAAGATTTATTTATAATAAATGAATAAACATAAACTTTTATTAAAATGATTGAGTTTTTATATAATTATAACTTTTACGAATAATAATCTATTTATATTAAAATAGTTATAACCATTTATCATATGATAATTATTTTTATTTAAATATAATTATTTAAAATATGAATAAAATTCACTAATTAAATTTTTTTATTTAATATGAGATATAGCACATTTTTAAACTACCAACATTAAATTCAAAGAGTGAAGACAAACGGCCTATTATATCAGGTAATATGGATATTCCTTATGTTGGAAAATCAAAAAATATTTTTTCATTGAAATTGAATAGTGCAGACAACCAGTCCGTTATACCAGGCAATATTGATTTTGGTGATTCACATACTGTGGGGAAAAGTGAACAGGAAAAATCAGGCACTATGGACTTTGTTTACCCAAACCTTGATGAAGAACAGGAGATGAACCGACTTGCCCTAACCAAGGAATCCCTGAGCTGCTACAGCAAGGGTTTCACAACTGGTACAGACGCAAGCTATAAGTAGGAATAAGGCTAAGGAGAAGAGGTCAAGCATTAAAGCTGGAGTTAGTTCAAATAAAGGACGTGCAGGTAGTTATACACTATCTAACTTGCAATTAAAATTTTAGTATGGAATATCAGAGGTTTTAATGATCCTCTGAAACAAAAAGAAGTACATAAACTAATCAATCAGGATAAGGTAGAGTTAGTTTGTCTTGTTAAAACAAGAGTTAAATAACACATGCAACAATTGATTTTGTCAAGAAAGTTTGCACATTGGCAGGATTTAAGCAATAATGACTATGCTGTCAATGGGAGAGTCTGGTTTCTTTGGTTGGAAACTAAAGTTACTCATTTTGCTTCAAATGATCATGCTATTACCTGTCACATTTCTAGTTCTTTAGAAGATTTTTATTTAATTTTTTTCTATGGGAGGAACACAGACGAGGAGAGAAGGGTTTATGGAGGCATATCGAGACAATGTATCGTTCTCTCTCTAGTTCCCCATGGATTCTTGCAGGTGAATTCAATGTTATCAGATCTCCAACAGAAAGTTTAGATTTTGATGCTAGTCAGGTTATCACTTCAGATTTTTCATAAATTAATAATATGTATACACTCTGACCCTCCCTAGCTATTTAGATTTCTTTTTGCAATATATATGTACATATTTATGTGAAAACTGCTGTTCAAAATCTTATTTTAAAGCTATATATATATATATATATATATCATTACATTAGCTACAAAAATGGAGGTCTAATTTATTTGTTTAGCAGCAGCAGGAATTTGACTTTACAGGGATCTTAATCACTGATTAATTACTTATTCTCAGGTTTAATTAAGTAGTAGATATTTTCCAAATTGTAAGTAAGATGAAGAAGGTTTGGTGTCTATATATATGATCGATTATTGCTATTTTATTATTTTATTATGTTATTCAGTTTGGTACAATATTGTTAACTTCTCTTTTTAAATGCAATTACTCTTACTCTTGAAAGCAAAAGGAGACCACTTTATTAGGCTAAATGAACCGTCTGCTATGTATAAATTTAATATTAAAAATTAGATATAATAATAAATAAAACTACTTTTTCGTCTCAAAATAATTATTGTTATTAATTTTTGAAGTAAAATTAATTCAATTTAGATTATTATTTAATAAAATTAAAATTTTAAAAATTATAAATTTTGAGTTTTAAATTTTTAATTTAATATATTATTTAAAAATTAAATGTTAAAGTTATGTTCATTTTTAAAAAATAAACAAAAACACATAAAATGTAAAAAAATAAATAAAGAATAATAAATAAAGAAAGTTAAATGAAGGATGCATATATGTATATGTATAATTAGTTGAACCTAGCTATGTAGAAATAGAGACGTATTAATTAGAAATTCGAATGGTAGGTGAGAAAGTGAAGCCGTCAAGGAATTGAGTGAAGCATTAAGATTCAAGATCCATCGTATCTCATCTGCCACCAATGGCCATGGGAACTACTACTACTGCTACTACGAATTATATGATCTAATTAACACAAATTAAACAAAAGGGAACTGGCCTGGTCCCCTCTTACTATTAAATTAAATATGGAGTATCTCTTTCTCTCTTCTTTCCCATGTTTCTGGATGTTGCTTTCCTCCTTCAAATTCTAGTCTCATCTTCGCTTTTTTTTTCCTACTTTATTCACCAAAATCATTGCAAATCCAACATTCATCATGAAATGGCAATGCAAAGAGCACATCGAAAATATTTTTTATAATAAAATCTATTTACTATAATTTTTCATTGACAAACATTCAAAAACTTAGAAGAAACACCCTTAAAAGCAAAATTCATAATCTCACTTGAACTAAACATTAAAAAAAAAAGTCGTATTTCACTTTAAATTAGAAAAGTCTATATACTAGGAATCAAGTATCTACCTAACTCAATGGAGATAATTAAGAAAAACTAGTAATGTGCCAAAAAAATGTTATTTTACATATATATATATATGTATATTGAAAGCGAGTGTCTTATTTATTATAAACAATATAATACTGGCATTAGCATTAAAGTCGAAAATGGAAGTACTAAGCGAAAATCAAATTATTAAGTAGAAAAAGTAACAGAGATGTGGCAGCACATCTACCACCTCTTGAGCAGCCAACCCACACCCTCGTGGCATCCAGCTGCCCGTCCATCCAACCTACCCCTTTCCCTGAGGCCCTGACTCGTATCCAACCAACATCCACACCAGCACACTGGTTTTCTTTTCCTAGTACTGCGACTAGTATATATACTTCTACCTGGAAAGCCCCAACTCCAACTCCAACTCTAACTGCCGCATTAAAGTTTCGTTCTTCCCCCCAGGGAAATTAAGTGACTTCCATCTCCTCCAGATCAGCTCAGCTCAGCTACTAGTCAACCCACCAACACCAATGTCAATGGCAGTGGCTTCCGTTGAGAAGATCAGGAAGGCTCAAAGAGCCCAGGGTCCAGCGACCGTCCTTGCCATTGGCACCGCCACTCCTCCCAACTGCGTTTCCCAGGCTGACTATCCTGACTACTACTTCCGTATCACAAAGAGCGAACACATGACTGAGCTCAAAGAGAAATTCAAGCGCATGTGTACGTATATTAATGCCTACCATCTATAACTTTGTCGTTTACTCCTTTTCCATAACGTTATGTTATGTTCGGATATACATTAGTTAAAAAATAAAATAAAATAATTTTTTTTTAAAAAAAAGGTATGTATATATATATATTTTTGGATAATTACCATTTCCGACGTTATTCATTAATAACAGATCAGACAGGATGCATGTGATGTGATGTTTGTGAGGCTTACTAGTATAATCTTTGCTTAATTTGTTTTTCTCTCAACAGGCGACAAATCAATGATCAAGAAACGTTACATGTACCTGACTGAGGAAATCTTGAAGGAAAATCCAAACATGTGCGCCTACATGGCTTCATCTCTCGACGCGCGCCAAGACATGGTGGTGGTGGAGGTGCCAAAACTGGGGAAAGAAGCCGCAACAAAGGCCATCAAAGAATGGGGACAGCCAAAATCTAAGATCACCCACCTTGTTTTCTGCACCACTTCTGGTGTAGACATGCCAGGTGCAGACTACCAACTTACCAAGCTGCTGGGACTGAGACCCTCCGTCAAGAGGATCATGATGTATCAGCAAGGCTGCTTTGCTGGTGGAACGGTGCTCCGTCTTGCCAAGGACTTGGCTGAAAACAACAAAGGCGCTCGTGTACTGGTGGTCTGCTCCGAGATCACGGCTGTCACTTTCCGTGGACCCTCTGATACGCACTTGGATTCCCTAGTGGGCCAAGCACTTTTCGGTGATGGTGCTGCAGCTATCATCTTAGGTGCCGACCCTGATACCAAAATAGAACGCCCACTGTTCCAGCTTGTATCAGCGGCTCAGACAATCTTGCCAGACTCAGATGGAGCCATTGACGGACACTTACGCGAAGTCGGCCTCACTTTCCACTTGTTGAAAGATGTACCGGGATTGATCTCAAAGAACATTGAGAAAAGCTTGGTTGAAGCATTCTCTCCAATTGGCATTAGGGACTGGAATTCAATCTTCTGGATCGCTCACCCTGGTGGGCCTGCAATACTTGACCAAGTCGAAGCCAAACTGGGTCTCAAAGAAGAGAAGCTCAGCGCGACCCGTCATGTGCTGAGTGAGTTTGGCAACATGTCAAGTGCATGTGTGTTGTTTATTTTGGATGAGATGAGAAAAAAATCTCTCGAGGAAGGGAAACCCACCACTGGCGAAGGCTTGGAGTGGGGTGTCCTTTTCGGATTCGGGCCAGGTCTCACTGTGGAGACTGTTGTGCTACACAGTATCCCCACGGAGGCAAGTCGCTGACCAGTCAATGGAAGCGACAAATTACGTGAGTAGACTGATTGGCTTTGGGAAGAAAATGAGATGATAAACAAAACCAAGATACAAAGTTTGCAACGGTGTGGTTATTGGTTAATGACTTAAATACAAGTGTGATGTAATGTAATGTAATAATGATATCAATATGATCATCTATCCCCTTTGCAATATTATTATTTGAGATTTGAGTGAAATGAAGTTTCTGTTAGGTTAAAAAAAGAAAATATTGTGAGCGACGGGACTGGTTCCTGCCTTGTTCGGCACCCTTCTCTTTGATCATTGATTTTTCTTTTTTTTTTTTTTGTTGTTTTGTTTGCATATATGTAGATTGCTTGTGAAATACTATAGCGGTTTGGATTGTTGGACAAAAAAATAAATAGCAGTTTGATTTGGATTTAGATCCCATTCCCATACACTGTACCATGAGCTTATTGCTTAGTAGCTCAAATCAATGCAACTCCTTTCCAGTCCAAACTGCAAAAGTAAAATTAAAAATATATATATATAATTGTATTGAAAAGTAGGCTGTGATAAGTATAAATTATTTTACATTTTTAAATTTGTATACACAAACAAATTCATATTATTACTTACGTTCTTATATATCAAAGTCTTTTAATAATTACTGTGTAAAGAAAAAGAAAAGAAAAATTAATCCAAATGTGTATCCAATTACCAAATCAATAGAAAAATATACTAAAGAAAAGATAATGAAAAAAATAAAACTTTTCATTGAATCAATTAAAATTTCTTCAATTTGCGGATCTTTATTTTCTGCAATAATATTTATATATTTCATATCATTTATAGGTATTGTCCTATGTGTTAATACAAATAGATGTTCGTATAAACATTCACGTAATATATTTTATTAAGTATTTATGTGTCCTATAAACCAATATATATGATTTGAAATGGCACGTGTAGTGTACAAAATATAAATATTATATATATATTTTTAATCGGATAATATTAAAAATAATATAATGATATGATAAAAAAAAGATAAAAATAAAACGGATTTTAACACTAACGTATATAAATTTGATAAAAATAAAATAAAATAATTTATATTTAATATATTGATATAAATTATGATACAATAATTTTTGCACATAAAATGCATAAAATACATGTCTAATGTATATATAAGAAGAAATCAGAACTGAAAAACTTTGCTTTAGCCTTTAGCTTCACCCAGCTGCCGGCTTACCCCGTTCTCATTGGATCTCATCTGGTCTAATGAAGTGAGTAGAGATGATACAACTTCAATCAATTAAAATGCCATAGACCAAGAAAAACAAAACAAAAAGGGAAGCCTCTTCAATTCAATGTCAATTTTGTTAAAAATGGAAGTAAATGATTAATAAAAGCCACCCCCCCTATTATAATTTCCTCTTTTTTCCAAATCTACAACCTTTTCTTTGGTAGGAAGGGAAGAAGAAGAAAATTCAACTTCATTAATTTTATGAAAGATCACTAACTTAGACATTACTTTGAGTAAAACACTAACGAGGACTCAAAAAAAAAAAAAAAAAAACAAAATTGAGAAACGACTTCCAACGGAACAATTATACTCCTAAAGCCATATCATAATATGAATATATACCAAGTCAAGCGAGGAGAAGCAATTGTGCTTAATATTAAGGAAACACCTTTGGAAAAGAAGAGCAATTTCCAGTTCCTATCACTGCTACTTGTAAATAAAAAACCCCGATGTCTAAAACTACGTACAAGAAAGTTATTGATTAATATTTTGGTCATTGCTTTCGAAATCTGAAGTGGCATCAACTTCCAACTTTAAGTGGGAATAATTTATCAAGCTCCATGTGCCTGCAGGAAGACCTCATTTATTAATTAAGGTTTCCAAAAGGTCTATGAATGGTACTGCATTCATAGATTAGTGGGCTTGAGCTCCAGACTATCCAACTACTTGTCCTGAATCCTTGTTAGATTCTCCATCACCAAGACATCATTTCAGACTTGTGGAGTTTAGAACGATATATGCATGCCATTGGTCCAATTTCATATGGCGATTGGATTCGATATGCGCATGCGTGGAGAAAATCTTAAATGTTTCGTACATTTTGCAATATCCGATCATTCTACTTATAATTCCAAAGATAGGAGGGGAAAAGAAAGAAGGCATTCGAGTGTAATCAAGTCCTTGTTTTGATCCTCCCACACCCCCCCCCCCCAAAAAAAAAAAAAAAAGAAAATGGCCTTGTTCATAAAGGATATATAGTTCGATTCGTTAAGGATAAATATGGCATCATGAAAGACACTGGACATCAATTCGACATCGCATCAACAGCAACTAGTCAACTGGGAAACTGAGAGATTATATGACAGTTAAATCAATGCTTCTGCAAAACAAAGACCATGCCGCAGCTAACATTAATTTTTGAATGTATTGTTTTCAAATGCAGAAATTCACAGGCAGGCGGATGGTTGAATGGACATTGAATTATATATTGATGAATTACATTGTAATCTCGTTGATGAAGGGTGGAGTGTGGAGTGTGAAGACAGATTAATTGGTACATTTTGGGTGAGAACAAAAGCCAAGAGGTCCATGACAAGAACCACGCTTTGACTGACATGGTGTCCATCGATTTGGTTACTCTTTGTGTGAGACCAAGCGTGAAGTTGAGCAGTAATCCAGATTCCAGTGGTTCAAATATCATTGAATCCAAAATAATTTTGGACGTTGACATTTTATTTATGCATATTTAATCCTGTATTATTATTGTTATTATTATCCTTGGTGTCAACATTAAATATTGGAAGCCATGGTTACTCTCTATCAAAGACCCAATCATGCCCTGCATTTGGTCTTCTATGGCAACCATACATGATACCAAAAGAAAAAAAAAAAAAGGGCATCTCTAACTGCAACAATTATGGCCCCATCTTAAAAATCATCCCCATCCATCTTCCATCATTCATGCTTATTGCTTAGGGTCAGGGAGACGAGAATCCGAAGTGTTTCATCTTTCATGTGAGAATTTACAATAAACCAAAGGCAAAAAGAGAGCAGTGCTGTAGAGGTAAGCCGTTTATAATCTTCCTTGGGCTTTTCTTAATTTATAGTAGTTTTAAGTATTTTGTTTGATGATCTGCCGCTGCTTTAATTAAGCTGTATAATAAAATGAAATAAATATTATTAAAATGAATGAGTAGGAGCAATGTCAACATAGCTGGTTGGTGGGGATAGCAACCTCACAGCTTTAAATCTCTCTCTCACTTGTTCTTACTTTATTGCATTCTTTTGTTTGTTTTCTGTTTCAACATTATATCTATACTAGCCAGTCAGTAGCATGTATTTTTTGCTTTTTTTTTTTTTCTTACACTAGTAATAAAAAAAAATTTTTTTTGTTTCCTGTATTTCAGCTGCTGCAGGCATGGCTGCCATTGTTAGAAAGAATAAAGTACATATATATATATATATATATATGGTTAGTAGTATAATATTTTGATATCAGAAAGGGTAAAACTTCTTAAGCGTTTTTGTGTGTATTGCACTGACCACTGAGTAAATTAATTTGCTATAATTAGTAAGTTGAAGTATATATTACTCTTTCCTTCTTTCCGTTCTATTTAGCTATCTTGAGTGGTTTTTTTTTTTTTTTTAATTTTATGCATATTAAAAAATTTTATTTTTAAGTATTTTATTATTAATTTAAAATTTTTATAAAATTAATGTATCATATTATTTATCGTCAAACTGTAAAATAAATTGAAAATTAAATTTTAACTGTAAACATAAGAATATAAACTATTTAAAAAATCATTTTTGGAACACTTATAATGAGAGACAGAGAATAATATAAATAATAAATGTCATCAGTCAGCGTGAATTGTGAGTGGGAGCAGGGGGCGGTGTTTTCTGTTCCAGCCAGGATGCTCTGAACATGACAGGCGCGCCAAGTAAACCCCATCTCAACTTTGCAGTAACAGACATCCATTATAGTGCTTTACAGCCCGCAAATCCCAAAACCAAAAAAACACATCAGATTCGCAGAATTACTAGCAAATAGAATGGCGCCTCCTTTCTTTCTTGTTTATCAATAATCTCTTGTACTCTTTTGGTTGTTATGAGTTTTTTTGAAGCACATCAACCGAAAAGAATAAAAGAGTAGATTTTTATTACGTTGCTCAAGGAATTTTTGGGGTGGTTTGGTAGAGAGAGAGTATTAACTGTATTAAACCCTGAAAGATAGTGTTGTCGGCGCAGGGTGACTTTCTGTCGGCATTGTCTGTATCCAACGATGAATCTCACACTGATTATTAATTTCTAGTACTTTTTTTTTTAATATTCAAATTCAAAAGTACCACGAAGATAGATAGATGCCTCAAGGTAATGATTCGTTTTCATTAAACTTGCAGCCCAAAGCTGTCTCTGTGTTATGTTGTTTCGTTTCTTTTGATGATTTGGACCTTCTCGTTTTTAAAACCAACTACACCTTGTCCACCAACTTCAACCCTTGCTACTTGTCTCTTTTCTCCGCTCACACCCTTTTCCTTGATTTTACTCGTTCACTCTTATCTTATTCTGGGTTTTCTCTTGGTTTCTTCCCCCAAACCAAGATCACAAGCTTCCCTGTTTCTTTCAATGAGGGAATGTGGGTGATGCTGCTCCTAGGAGATCAACTGCATTATTTCTCTGGGAATACAGGTTCCAAGTTTCGGACTTTATTCTGTTTTTCCTTTTTCCGTTAATGTCTAACCTTTTTTTTTGTCTGTGATTTCACTTAAACTAATGCCAGCTTTTTGACGACCAATTGAAATTTTGCCGTGTTAGGCTGGTATTTATATGTCCAATAGATTTTTTTTTTTTTATTTGGGAAGGGATTCAAAACCAACTCTTTGAGAAGGGATACCAAATGCCACCGGTGCTCCAATTGAATGTTTTTGATTTGCATTATTCGAATAATTACAATGTCGAGCGCTTCTGTTCAATGGGTATTCAGTAGAACTGAATGTGAAATGTCCTCATCTTAGTTGCTTCTTTGAGTTTGGTCTGTTTCCATCTAAAAATTTTTAACCAATGCAAAGTCCTTTTTTCTATAAAATTGTCTTCCGCTCGCTAGCTACCAACTTGCTTGCGTTATCCATTCCACACATCTATAGAAATGGATCATATGTATGCCGTTTCATTTTATGCACATTGCTTTTGTTGTTTGAATGCTTATGTTGGTTCTAGATAAAGATTTATCTGATCGTGGCATCCTCTTTATTTCAGGTTCAATGTATAATAAATTGAATCCCAGCAATACTTCACTGCATAGCTGAAGTAGTTCCCATACCAGATGTCAAGGACTCTTGCAGCAACATTCGGAGGTTCTGCAGGAGCCGTGGCACTGCTGGGGATAGTTGGCTTGCTTATGTGGTTCTGCCTATTTCACAAACGCGGTGTTTCGAGGACATCTGAGACAGGGTCCTCGGATCCATCTCTTCAAGGTAACATTTATGTCATGCTTGTTTCTGGAAGGCCCTCAAAGTCAGAGGCCACAAGCACAATGTAACAGATAATGGATTTATGCTTTTTCTGCTGACTTCTAGGAAGACATCTTGGGGTTGAGTCGTCATTACGGGAAGCTAGACGTTTTCAGTTGGAGGAATTATCTTTGGCGACCAAAAATTTTAGTGATAGAAACCTGATTGGGGAAGGAAAATTCGGTCAGGTTTATAAGGGTTTGCTTCAAGATGGGATGCTGGTTGCCATCAAAAAGCGAGCTGGAGCTCCTAGTCAGGAATTTATTGACGAGGTAAATTACCACCTCCCTGCTCTCTACCTAAAGGTGAGTGCATAAGATTTTGCCTTGATCATAATAAAGGCAAATCATAACTAACATCCCTGCTACTGAAAACTATTTTAGATCAAGCAGTTAGTCTATTTCTCCCTTTTAAGATTCCTGTTTATTTCCAAGTGAGGATTGCTTTCAATTGTGGTAGAGTTTTTTCAGCGGCTTCAAAAAATTATAGAATACAACAAGCTCATTTGAGTGCCTAAATTAAATAATATTTATCAGGGTTTCTAGTATCTGTCAAAATGTAGCAATAAATATCATACAACCCAAATTCAGGTCTCAACCTGACAGAGCCTCATCCTAGTAGTTAGTGGTCAGCATGTTGGTTAATCCTTTCTTATTGAGCTCGATATGAGGCCTGCATCATGGTTTGTATTCTAGCTTGTCATGCTCTTTCTTCAGCCTTTCGTATGATGTGTTTAAGATATAAAATCTGGATTTGCTTTTAAATTGGGTCAATAGTTTTCCCTATTCATGTTTCTCTATTACAATCTCTTGCACAGTTTATCCTTAGATCTAATGGTACTGAACTTTACTCCTAGGCATGCTATGTTTCGTCTATTCAGCATCGGAATCTTGTCACTCTTTTGGGCTACTGCCAGGAAAATAATCAGCAATTTCTAATATACGAATATATACCCAATGGAAGCGTTTCCATTCACTTGTACGGTAACTCTCTATCCAGTCACTATATATATATATATATATATATATAATTTTTTTTTGTTGCATTTATGAGCAGACTTTTCTGTCCTATATATTGTATATGCGTCATGTTGGGGGAGCTCAGTTACACCAATGGTTCAGGGTTTAATAGTGAAAATAAAATAGTATTTAATTTTTTATTGAAGTTTTTCCTGATTTGTTTATGCAGGAACTGGTCAAATGTCACCCCAGAAGCTAGAATTCAAGCATAGACTTTCAATAGCTCAGGGTGCAGCTAAAGGTGATCCTCTGCAAAATCAGTGAGCATTTTTGGCTTTCCGGGTATCAGTTTTTCTTTTCTTTATATAAACTATCCAGATTGCAATAAAGGTCATACAAAATTCTTTTGTAAGCTTCTCTGACGCTTTGAAATTCAGATGCTCATCTTCTGTGGTTGTAACATTTTGAAATTTTATTGCCTAATTTATGTTGCCTCAATTATTTGTCCGTTTGCAGGCTTGGCTCATCTTCACTCTCGAAGTCCTTGCTTGTTCCATAAAGATTTTAAAACAGCAAATGTTCTTGTAGATGAGAATTTTATAGCCAAGGTTGCAGATGCAGGACTATGTAACTTTCTGGGAAGAATTGATATTGCTGGACCTTCTTCTGAAGTGGCAGCAGATGAGATATTCCTTGCTCCTGAGTATTTTGCTCTAACTCGCTCTTTACTCTGTGACTGTTCTGGTGATGTGTCATTCAAAACTCTTACCTGCATGCATTGGCTAATGCAGGGCAAGGGAGTTTAGACGTTTTTCTGAAAAAAGTGATGCATATAGTTTTGGAGTATTCCTTTTGGAGTTAGTAAGTGGGCGGGAAGCATCAGAATTACCATCTTCAGGCTCCACAGAGAACCTTGTTAAGTGGGTATGATAATTGCTTAGTATGTGCATGTTCTTTATGTTATCGGATATAAAGAGCTTAGTTTGTTGTTGTTGTATGTGCATGTTATTTATGTGCTTTTGAATTAATTGTTTGGTACCCATGATTTAGTAGAGGAGGGTGACCAGGGAGATTACAGCTATCAGTATCTTGCTATAAAAATAATACTTGCAAGCATCCATTTCTTTGTGGGAGAGGATCAGCATGTTTGTGCATCCATGGAATTTTCTTGCGTCTGCATATGTTATTGGCTTCGTAGATGCCATGGATTGCAGATTTGCCAAGTTGCTGTCCATATGCACTTTATTTGTGTGTTTCTAAATCTTGTGTCTACAAACCACATGGTTTAGTAGGTAGGTGATTACTATAGAGATCGTGGCTATCAGTATTGTGCTACTGAACAATTGATTTGCGAGCTTTCAATTTCTCCATGAGAGAGCATTTGAGCCTTAGTTTGTGCTTGCACTGGCATGGTGATTTTGGCTACTCTTACTATGTTTAGAGCAATTTAGGCTTAGAGAATTGCTACTTTGCCATGTGCTGCTGACATTGTGGGTAGTAGTTAAATACCAGAATTATTCTGGGAGACTAAAATCATCTGGTAATTCTTTTTTTGGAAGGTGCAAAATAGTCAGGATTACAGCAATATTTCGAGCATCATTGATCAGAGGTTGGACAGTAGCTTCACAGCGGAAGGTATGGAAGAATTGATAAAGTTAATAGTCCGTTGTTTGGAACCTTCAAGTGAGAGGAGACCTGCCATGAGCTATGTGGTCCTGGAACTTGATCGGATGGTTGATAAAGAGATGAGCTCGACAACTGTCATGGGGGAAGAAACCCCAACTGTGACTCTGGGGAGCCAGCTTTTTAGAGCAACGAACTAAGAGGAACTTGTTATCCGTCCAAACTGTGAGTGTGATCCTGGTGAAGTAAAAAAATTACGGGTTTGTTTTGTTTTTTATTTCTTTTAATTTTGAAAAAGTTAAGAGAGGAATTCAGCTGTTTTCTAAGTGTATAAAGAAGAGCTGCATTAAGGTATATTTTTTCATTTATTGTTTCATATTTCAAAAATGAATGAGAAATGTTGTAAAAACCATTATTTGTTGTTGATATCAAAGTGGTTGGTGTGATTTATACATTGCTGCGTTGTGTTTGTTTTTGGGAAAACACTGATCACCTCTTACCCTCTGTTTTGCAATGGCTAATGAGTATCAACAAAATAACTGGCATTTGTTCATATTTGTCATCATTTACATAAATAAGTAAATTAATTATTAATTAATTAAATTAATAATAATAATTTAGCAAACTACCTCCCTAACTTGCACAGCCCTGCAAGTAAGTAAACTAGTAAAGTTGTGTAGAATCAGAATTACCTACGCAATGCAATGCATGCTGGGCTGGCATCTTAATTACCAAGTAAGAAAGTCATTGACTCCTCCGCCAGTACTCTCTTCATTGTCCAATGTCCACCACACAAGTATAAAATGCAGTCCTTGACCGGAAAAACTGCTTTCGACTTTTCAATCTCTCTCTCTCTCTCTCTCTCTCTCTCTCTATATATATATATATATATATATACTATTTTTTTTCAATCTTCTTACGTACTTGTAAACAAGAAGATGCAGTGCCTCTCCTTCAACTTCAAGTCATCGCCCTCGAGCCCCTCCGCAGCACATCCCACCTCACCTCAAACTCAAACTCAATCAATCGGTTACAATTCTTGTCCCCCACTTTCCCAAGGTGATGTTGTTATGTCCTCCCTCCATTTTTTCGCTTGCACGGGAAGCGTTTTTGTTAATGCCTCAATTAAACTTGCTTTCGTGTATCAGGGAATTCCACTGACGGAACGCCCAGATCCAGCGCCACTCAGCTCTCCCCCACCTTCAATCTCACTCGCGAATACACTCTCGCTGTGCAGACCAATTCTTGCATTGGGATACGCTCCAGGATTGAAGAGCTACTGCAAGTTGAGAATGTGATTGAAAACGGGGATATGGATAACCACCAGCTTTGCTCGTCGCAGGTGCTGCAACCCAACAGAGATTGCGTCCGCCAAGCTCTTAGCCACTCCAATCCCAAAGCTACCCTTACTCGCTTGGTTTCTACCTACTTTGATCACAGCGAAAATATCACCACTCTCTGCCTCTCGCTCTTCCAATGCCTACGTCGTGCTCGTGCCCTCTATGCTCCTATTAATGACCTTCTTCAAGAGTTTCCATATGACCTAAATTCCATCAATCAGTCGCAGTGTAACTGGGCGTTCGATGTTTTTAGCCAATTTGATAGTCTTGAAAATCCTTTTCCTTGTCCTGATTCCCATAACTTCAACGAATTGCGCCGCAGTTTCTCCCAGCTCAAGGAGCAGCTTGATCACCGCCTCTTCAAATCCCTTTCTAGAGATCGCTTCCTGCACCGTGCAACTACTGGTTCTGCCATTTGCCTAATCGGCACTGTTGTTGGAGTTGTTGTTTCAGCCGTGGTTATCTCCACTCATGCCCTTGCTGCCATTGTAGGCCTTGTCGCTACCCCACTTTGTCCCGTTTATGTTCCAAGTTATCTCAAGAGGAAACAGCTTGGTCATATGGCTCAACTTAAAGCTGCTGTAATGGGAACTTTTGCCCATAAAGAAGATCTTGACACCATTGTTTGCCTTGTTGACTGGTTGTATAGTGCAGTTGAGGGAGACATGCAGCTTATACGATTTGGATTGGAGAGGGGTAGGGAAATATTCCCCATCCATGAAGTCGTGAAACATCTTCGCAATAACCACATCAAGTTTTTTGACCGTCTCGAAGAACTTGAGCAACAGATGTGCCTATGCTTTAGTGCTGTCAATGAATACAGAGCTAAGCTCCTCGACCAGGTCCATCTTAATCAATCTTCTAATTCATGATCGATTGGTAGCCTTTTTTTACTCTCCCTGTCAATGTGTATAGCCATACACTCAATATAACATGCTTTGACTATTGCCACTGGCCCTGCATTTTAACTTTGGGCTGTTAAAGCAAAAAAAAACTTAGGGCATTATGATTGTATATGCACTTTTCAAATGGATGATTCTTGACTTCTTGTTAAAAGCCTTTGTTTGTTGGATTGATTTTTGTGGGAAGAAAAAGTCCTTCGTACTTCAACCATGTACTTCTTTCCCTTAATTTACATGTTCTTGGAAATTGATTTAGCTTTTCTAACAATGAGATGATGTTTTGTTGTTGATCATTTGCAACTTTCTGGCAATGTCCTGGATTGTGTCAGACATCATTGTTATACGTTGATATAAGTATTTAGCAAAGCCTTTCCTTCCTTTAGTTTACAATTCATTGTACAATTATGATATCATATGTGTTTAAATGTTACAAGCTTCTATGTTTCCCATTAACCAGCTTAATGGGATAATATACAGAAACATTATAGACTTTGACCTTTTGTTTCTGCACATTCACTGACCGTAATAATGTTCATTATCCATACTGTAAGTACTTTTGGAGCCCTTGTCTTTTAGCGAACTTTTCTAATCTACTGACAAAAGGATCAGCACTGCCGCATTTCTATGATGTAACCGTTCATCAGCACCAATCGCAGATTGAAGGAATAATTTTAGCAAGGAAAGCTAGTTGCTGTGCGTTATGTGGCAATGGAAATTTGTGAGAAGAAGTAAACGCTGATAACAACCAATGTGAAGGAATGCCAGATTTTGGCCCTCAGCAGGCAGTTTCGTTGAATGATATAATAGAAGAATTTCATTTCCTTATTGTGAACCGTCTGTATTTATTTTTCCTTTTTTAATTTGAAGCATAAGAGCAGAGATTTTTGCTACATGCATAAGAACACAGAATAACTGTCGAATAAGTGTAAAGGGTGTGCTATGTTTCCGATGTTCCTGTCATAATGTTGAAGAGATGTCATTGTACACCTTCATTTGTTACTATGATGGTAACCACAATATTGAGTAATGAGTAAAAATGTTTGAGGGAGTCACTCTAGTTTCTAGCTGTTAGACAGCCACAGCCAACAGCTATAGAATCTGTTCACTTGAAATAAGAGGGATTAATGACAGATAAAAGTGAAACCTTTATACTAACCATTAACCAATGATACAAGCAATGAGACTGTAGTAAAAGAAAGAATCGTATCCTCATCCTGAACCGTGGTTGTTAACTTTTTGCGGTAGAGTAGACTTCCAAGGTTGCAAATTCTTTGGGCCTAGACACTAGTGCGGCCCAACAGACCAGACCGTTTCATTCTTTCTTTTTTTTTTTTTGTTTTTGTTCCGAGTTGTCTTTCCCTTACATTTGTAATCTCAATTTTAATATATGCGATCAATGAAAGATACATATAATAATCTAGCCGATATAGTCATAACTAATTAACATTTTCGAAACCATGGTTTATACTATCGAATTACTTGAATACCTACATATTTTTACAATAATTTAATTAACAAACATGTGATGTGATCACTTTGTCATGCTTATTTAATTTCCACCAATACAAATATTGAACTAATGTGATTGTTGAAACAAAATCAAACAACGAGGAAGGGGCAACGGATGGCAGGGCCGAGGTGAGAAAGATCAAAAATGAATCGCCATGCTGACATTCTTGAGAAACGCCATGAATAAAGCTAAGAAATTACACATGATCCCCCTTAACTTCCCCTAGTGTCTTTAAGGCTCTGAGCAATAAGTCTTTTTGGAGAGTAAAAACATCATCAATACCAAAGTTGAATTTCTTTAATTGAATAAATAAATTGCATCGCAATCGGCATACCATCATAATTACAACAAATTTTTTTCAGCCATGCCTTAATACAACGCTCTACACACCATCTGTCTCAGCATGTCTTTTGCCTCTGCTTGACCTCTTCCTTTTCCTCTTGCTTTGAGCATTGCCATCATCACCCTTAACTTCCTGCAAAGAGACTTACACATCATATAGTGTATGGAAGTAAATTTTAACTTCCATTCCAATGGTCAAAGTAATAGTTTAATAATGCCATCAGATTATTTAACTCAATTCCAAAGACAAGGTAAACAAATCTGAAAGAGAAAGTGCAAGCAACCAGAAACAGTTCTACATTCAAATCAAGCTTACCTTCCGAGATGCAAGATTTGGGTTTTCATGATTCTTTTTCTTCTTAACTGAAAGTGGATTTGGGCCCTATAAAATTCAAGAAAAAATGTTGATCTCATGTGGTTTGTTAAAGAAAGCAGTTACATAGGAATGATAGCACAGCACCAAATTATATATATATATATATATATATATATATATATATAAAGTATGCATAATGCATGTTTTAGAAAAAGCACATAAATCATAGAACTCCTGCATGTAAAAAAGACATAAATCATAAAACTCCTGCACACAGTAAATTTGTAACTAGATTAGGTTAGAGATGTTCAAATATGACCAAATTGGTACAAATAGGAAGATGGATATGAGAAAGGTCCTTACCTTAGCTTTCTTTCTTTTAAATCGAACTCTATCCTTTATATCTCTCTCCTTCCCAGAATAATTCCTGGTATTATGTGGCAGCAACCCTGGACTATGACAACCCAAACCTTCTTTGTCAGATGAATCCTCTGTATCCGCATTTGCAGAAATGCTAGTAGTCCTCTTCTCTAATGCCTTATACTCATTCTCAGTCATATGAAGGCGTTTTTCTTCAGAAGATTTGACAAACTCCCTCTGAAATTTAGATGGTGTCTCAAGGAAAAGGGCATTTCTTAGACCAAATATTAAAGGAACATTAGGCACCTAAAGGAAGACAAAGAAACAAATTAAAATACATGTTCAAAGGTTCAAGGGAAAATTTTCACACAAATTTCAGTTAAAGAGATTGAATAACAGAATACATAGAATCTCCAAATTCTATGAATTTCAAGTTGGAAGCAAAAAATAATATGTCCATGAAGGAACTAAATGTACATAAAATGCAAAACAATAGACCAAATAGCAACATAAAAGGTGAAGAAAAGGAAAGAAAGTTGCCTTCTGAAGTTTCTTTCGGAGATCAGCATCCTGGGTAGCAACAAAAAAGTGTTCAGAATTATGTTCTCCAATGACCTCCGCAATGCAAGCATCAGCAGTGACCCTCTTCTCATGATCACATCTAAATACAAGGTTCAATTACAGTGCAAACAAATTTAATTCATAGAATGAAGGCCAAACTAGAAGAAAGATTGCATAGGATTAACTTTCCAGGAATATTATCTGAAGAATAAAAGAAATTCAAATAGAAGCCAGGGCATCATAATTCAGAAGCAAGATTTACGACGAAAGAGAGAAAGAGAAAGGGTTACCTTGCAATTGTGAGTTTACGAGCTGCTTGGAAGGATGCAGACTGGGAAGCACCAAGTTTTTTCAGCTCCGCCAGAACACAGCTGAAAACCCACCAAAAAAAAAAAAAAAGGGGTTGGATTTTTCATACAAAAGCAATTAGCTTTGGAGAGCCAACCCAATAAGGAAAAGTTAAAAGAAAAAGGAACCTGGTGGTGAAAAGCTTGACAGAGGCAGAAAGACAATTGGAGAGAGCGTTGTCGGCGGGTGTTAGGTCATTGTGAAGAAGGTGGTGAACAAAAGTTCCATCGCAAAGAACCTTGAAGGGCTGCCTGAACCCGAAGCACACTGAGAAAAATCTCACTGTCTTCCTGTGACGCTTCTGCTTATTAAATCTCATATTTCTCTGCTCCCTTCTGCTCAAAACCCACACAAATCACAGACAGAGCACCCAAAATCTAACTCCTTTATGAGGGCCGAGTACAGAGGGCAGAAGGGGTGTTGTAGTTAGGGTTTTAAGTTTAATTTTTATTTTTTACCAATTGGATTTTAAACCTAGTTGCACTTTAGAATTATTATATAAAATAATATTATTAATTAATGAATTGAAAATATAAACAAATTTGATATTTAATGTAAAATTATTATTATAAATAATTTTTATTTAATATTAAAAAAAAATACTTACGACATATTTTAGCAAAATCAAAGGACTCTAAAACCTAATCCTGAAGCAATTGAGGTTTTTTTTCAAAAAGACCAAATTATAATAAATTAAATAATAAAGAATATAACTTAATTATAATAATTTTATTATTGAAACGACATCGTTTGCCACATTGAAAGGAAGAAAAATATGAAATGATGAAGCAATAGAAGCTTGCCGTGCCGAAAGTGTAGTCCACAGAAAACGCTCTGTTTAGGTGTGTTTTGGGTAGTAAATTTGTAATTTACTTGTTTATATTAAATCCAGATAACAACAATTAGAATATTAAATTAAAAACAATTCAAGCAATGCCTGCCTGGTTGTATCCATTAATTTCAATCCCCCTCGCTAGCTAGCTATAAGAATTCCTCCTCCTAATAAACTGATCGCTCTCTCCCAGGTTAACTGATCCATTGAAAGTTTCCTAGTAACTCTGACTGTTAACACCTCCATTCCTCATCATATATATATGTACAAGTACTTGACAGTAGTTTTAGATTGAGAAGGCATATAATTATTATTATTATATATAGAGTATACTTTGCAAGATGCATATAATTAGAAAAACAGAACTCAACACCCTACATTTATTATATTCCAAAAATAAAAAATAAAATTACATGCAGGGTGCGTTTCAATGAAAAGTAGTTACAAGAACGTTGGTAGGTTTGAAAAGAAGATATATGGAAAGGATACTTTTGACAACACGGTTCCTTCCATCTGAAACCTTGGAGCAAAGGTGCATATGAGTAGACTTGTCACCTGCCGATTGCTATCATCAAGTTATCAGGTATGGAGAAAGGTAGCCCAACTTACCAAGGCAGCAGCAGCAGCATTTATTAAGCTGAAATAGAACCCTGTCTTGCCTTAAGCACAACTTCTTCTGTGGTCACACCAATTATCTCATTAGCACGTTTCAATCCAACACAGTTATATCGTCCAATAGAATCCTGAATTCATTAACATTCTCTATTCACAAACCAATTTTTGAGAAGAAATATAGAATATATATACAAACCAACGTGAATAAAATAATCAAGTTTGTCGAGGAGGAAATATCTGGACCCCCACCCGAGTAACAATTTTCAACTTCTCTAGCTTTTCAACTGCATCATCCACATCAAAGTTACAGCTCTCCCCAAACTCATCTTTAATTAGTTCTTCACACCATAGATCCAAATCCTGTATCGAATCATTAAAAGGTTATGCAATATTAGAAAAAGATCCACATGAAATCTTTTTTCACCTACAAAGATATCCACATAGAAATCCAACAATAAAGCAAGCAATAATGAAAAGATGATGATGCATACCTCCATGGTGGCTTTACCTTTCTCCATTAGTATAAAGAATGAGATGATTACCTCTTTCACCTGCCCACAAGATTATCCTTCAGTATGAAGGAAAAAGGTGGAACAGAAACAAGATAAAGGTATAGTAACTCTCATTCAAAAGTAAGACAAGACTCTATTCTCATTATCTTACCCTGTATATACATCAAAGCTTGGCAACTATATATCCTAGTAATTAATGCAAAATCTGATTTCATTGAGGTCAATTAATCTTTTATAAAGTACCTGATAGATTAAGCTTTAAATGGTAAAGCATATACAGCTTCTCTTGATTCCTCTGAGAGAGAGAGGGAGAGAGAGAGAGAAAGAAGACAAAAAGAATGCAACTTACTTCCTGTTGAATCACATCATCACACAAGTGAAGCAAAGTGCCCCTTCCACTATCAAGTTGTTTGTCATACATGGACTGTGTTATTAAATTCTGATATGCATCCATGTTTGCTTGAAACCTATATGGCAATATGACAAATAATAATACAAATTACTAGGTCAAATAATTTGAAACATGGAAAGAAACGGAGGCACCTAGTAATCAAGTATACTCCCTAGACAGCCAACCAGAGGCATGTGGGACAGTAACTCGAAAACAATCAATCAAGGCCCCTGGTCCTTCACTATGCATCGGATTAAACGGAGGACATGCATTAAGAAGACATCTCTTTACTGGCTTATGTTAACATCAAGAGCCATACTAATGGGGTTTTCAAATGCACTAATATAGCGAAGAGCATATGACACATTACATATATTAATCAAAGATGGAGGAAAACATACGTGAAATATGTCTTAGCACAGTAACCAATCACAGTTGACAAAATGGCAAAAATGACCCACAGATCAGCTTTAGGCATTTCAAGAGAACTAAATACAGCAACCTGAGAAGAAAGGCACGGTAATAGAGCATTCTATCAATATGAATACCAGGCAGACAAGAAATGACGGAGGAAGGACAAGAACAGATGAGTGAGAAACATCATTGCTCAACTGACCAGTCCCACAACAGCAGAGGCAAGGAACTTGACCCAGTCCATAGGAGTTAATCCTGGATTTTTCTTTTCAGGCTGTTAAGAACAAACAAAAGAATATCATGCCCAAGATCACATGTCATATAAAAGCTTTGAGCACAAAGATCTAAGAGAGACTCACAAGGGCTATTTCAAGATCTGCCATTGGAATATGTTTGAAATGTTTTACATATATTCCTCGTTCCATATTTGGTTTGGCGCTTGCTCTCCTGGAAATTCCCAGTAGTTCTTAGATGTCTATGAATTGCTCTTTATGAATTTTATAAAACTAATTTAGAAAGACACCAGTTCCGCAAATAATATAGCCTTCTCTCCAAAAGAAAATGAGAATAGCAATGATTTTTATGAATCTTCTCCATAGAAATATCTCATGGATAAGATCATTCTCTCCAGATCAAGAGAATAAGAAACTGAGGCTTCTTCCAGAATACTGTTTGAACAATCAATATGTTCAACCTTGCAATAAAAAATGACCAAGAAACTGGCTTTTGAATAAATAGATATCAATTAGCCAAGAAAGACATCATTGACAATTTCTATTTAATATCAATTGGAAACTTGTATGATAAGATGCAATAGACAGTACCTGTAAACAACAATTATCCTATCAAAAGTAGGTTCCTGGATTGTAGTCTTGCTCACCAAGTTCCGGATGCTGGGTTAAAACAGAATAAGAAAGTTATTGAGTGGCAACAATACCAGCAATTCAGGACATGGCATGACATAAATAGGAAAATCACATTACGTATTTAAGAGGAAACAAATATGTAAATATTAGTAAACTCAAACATAAAGCTAAAAAATATAACTGCATGAAATTTGTAATTTTTCAGGACTTATTCAAAATGAAAAGATGATAGCATGGAAAGCATCCTTCAAGGTGCTTAGAAAGCTACTATACTCCAGATATATGGTAGATATGTTCATGAATGAATGCTGTCTTCCAAAATAACAGCATATGAAGATGGCAATTCAGAACCTTAGGTCCATATTTTCAAGACGGATCCGCTCAACATACAAATCTTCACTGTCTGCTTCAGGGTTAATTTTATCATCCTTCTTTGGCACTTTCTTATGTCGCCTTGCTGATCTTCTGCTCAAAAGTTTGTCCAACCTGCAAGGACCATATTTCTGGAAAGCATTAGAAGGAAGAAGAAAAAAATGCATAAAGCAATCAAGTAAGGAAGAGGAGATAGATACTAAAAGCATCTCGTGTCCAACTCTATATTTTATGTAGTAAGTTAACAATTTAGGACCCCTAAAAAGTGAAGACCGCAGAATGGCTGAACATACCTCAATCTACAATTCATACTAATTCCAAGATATTTCAAATAGGAGAAAAATCGTTAAATTACATTCCATAGGCTTAGCCATAAAAAAATTTCTAAATTACATCTAAGCAACAGTAAGTAAAGGTGCTTTCACCAAGAATATATCATGCCAACTCATAAATGGTAATGACTGTCCAAAACATACTCACCGAGTAAGCCTCAAAAGAAATGCCCAAAGACGTGCAATGATCATGTCCACCTTCTCCATGAAAAAGTAATCAGTTGTACGATCAATTCCTATCCCACGTCTGAAGATAATGTACTAAAGACAAAAAGAATTATACTTAGCTAAACAAATAAAGAGAGTTCAACTAATACTTCTAAATCAAATATGTACAAGCAAGAGCTTCCAAAATTTCCTAGTTTGATGGTATTGAATTGCCTCTACACTTGTAATATATTTGGTGAATATTTATTACACCTATAGAGATGTTCAGATGGCATTGGCAAAATAATTGAGAAAATCATCTGATACCGATCTCATGCATAAGATAAAGCCATTAGCCAAAGCAAACCTCTAGACTCTGGTCTATCTAATTGTACAGATACATTGAAAACAGCACATGACAAATTCTAGGAGAAAAGATAAACTAGTGTAAACTAAAGGCTCAGTAAAGAGAATAAGTTCAAATCAAAATCCTTTTTGGTTTCACCATTATAGGTTTTGTTGTATGTCAAACACAAGAAAAGAGAGCATTTGCCCTACTAGTTATTGTTAGAAAAAACACCAAGAATGATGCAACTTCTATGCTAAATTGTTATCACAACCTTATCAGCAAAATCTGGAAGGTTTTCTTGGGGATGCTCTAAAAAATATCTCTTCAGAAGCGTCTTGTCAATCTGCATTCAGGAAAAACATAATGCCAAGATCAACGAATTTGAATAACACAGAAAAAGAAAATCCATACTATATATTCAAATAAGGTCTTAATAATTGGCCATGATATTGTGCCTAACACATGAAGTTGCAGATGACCTTAGATTCATCAACTGTTATGGGAAGATTAAGAAGATATTGCCCTGCAAGTGCAACATCGATCTCCTCATTTGTAGCTATCTTAAAATTACTCTTCTTCATCACCTGTACACCAAAGAATGGAATTTCAACTTCCAACCTGATGATAAATTGATAGCTAATAAAAGTTGCATATATTGTGTAGTTGGATTCAATTTTAGTCATGTTTGGAAAAGCATCAGAGACACTCTTATTTCATAAATGAAATTCAAGTCACATCAATGACAGTTGCTTGCACATTAGTGAATGCTTGTTATTCCACAGATTTTTTACTATCAATTTCTCCGACGGCCATTATTTCTTTTTGTTCCATTAGGTGCAACACGAAGAATACCTGAAATAAATATGTCAAGAAATTCTGTTCAAGTATATCAACTTCTTCAGGAGATAAATTCTGCTGCTGCAACTTCTGAGCCCCATATACAGGGTCAAAGAGGGAGTATAATTGCTGCAAACATAAATTCAACTAAAATTAGATCAAAAAGCAAGAAAGATGAACAAAATGCTTGAAAGGTTATGTTTGTAAAGAAGAGATGAATACCATCAAATCCTCGAACTGAAGTAGATACCAAGCTCTAATTGTGTACTCAACTCTCTTGCAGAACTTTAGAAACTCAGCCCGATCTGAACTATATTCTGTAACACATGAAACCAGTTAGGACCTAAGAGGAACAAGACCTAATAACCAAAAGTATAAAACGTCAAAGCTATTACGACAAATATCCCACATAGCAATCATCCAAAAAAAAAAAAAAGCCAGGAAACACATAGAAAAGCAACAACAAGAGAGAGGAGAAAATTTTGCGAAAAATAATGGGAAACCCAGAAGAGGAGGGATTGGAGAAAGGAATACCAACGAGGTTGGCCAAAGTCATGATGAGCTTGGGCTTGAGAATGGGAATGACGGATTCACGCTCTAATCGAATCACTTCCTTCTTTTTGTTGTCCTTGTCCATCGCTGAGAAGTAGGAATTCAAACACCAAAGCCAACAATGAAGAAACTAGAAAGAAATGGCATGTTTTATGAGATTCATGGCTTCGGATACAGCTCTATTCTATTCATTCTTTAATTGCGATCTCCGAAGCTCTTAGTATTACCCATTATTCCTTTACAATTTACATTCATTGCAGTTATAACGAACTACTTACTACTAATCTAATCCAATCATTGTTTTATGGGTAGTGCATAGAACACCTGTATTATAGAGAGTGAGATCGCAACATTGTTTAGTTTAGTAGGGAAGAGGAGAATATTGTTTCATCTAACGCTTTCATAACCTGGAACCTGGAATGCAGTGCTGTGTCATGCTGATAATTGAACAAGGATGGTAGATGAGATTATTCACCAGACTCACTCACTGGCTGTATGCAGATTGCAGCCCGTCACATGCGCAACCAAAATATGGGTCTTTCACCCTGCGAGAAATCAACCCCTCCCCCCCAAACTCACCACCTGTAGTCTTTATAACCACTTCCTGCTTTGGAACTTGAAATCCGGCATCAACTATGTTCACAAGCTATAAACAGTCAACACTTGTCCCTTTGACCCATTCCCATTCCCATGTATTATTATTTATTACCCAATCCACAACCTCATAAAAATACATTGTTAAACTGAGAGAGAGAGAGAGAGAGAGAGAGAGAGAGAGAGAGGAGTTGCAATTAGAGCCTCCAAAATTATTGAAAATACTTCATACTCAATGAGAAAAGAGGAATATAAAAGATATTTAAAAAAAAATAAAAATTCCCCAATGTGATATGTAAATCGACCGAATATGAGATGCCAGGACTTTTTCATCCTTCTCCTAAAATCTACGTATATACAAAACAAGGATGTTGAGTTCAGTTGGCTCTTTGTATAGGTATGTACAAAAACCTATCTCCGACTCTTGTATTCTCCACTCCTGCAAATCTGCAGTAGTAAATAACCTATCATTCCTCTAAAATTAATATAAGAAACACAACCCCCATTAGACGAAGTTTGCATTCAACTTATCTTCCAATCCTCCAAACCAGTTCACCACAAATAACCTTTAAACCTCCAACTAATTCCACGATCTTTAGAAATTCTATTCCTCCAAGAAAAAAAAAAAAGACCCCTTATTGATTCCATGACCTCAAATATGGTTTCGCCATCGGATCATGCAAAGCAGAATTCTGATGTGGCAAGCTCATCCATCCCATATCATCAGTCATCAGTGAGGTAGTTGCATCACCACCCCCTAAATAATCAAGTGGATGAGCAGCTTGCTGTAAACTATTTCCAATTATTCCAGAAGAGCTCTCCCTCACCATTCCATTGTTCCTCTGCGGAATGAACTGCTCAGTAGAGCCCATTGATTCATAAGCGCTACTTGAAAGAAGTTGGTTACATTGAGATAGAACACTAAATAGGCTCTGGTCTGCATTGCTTCCACTGGCAATACTCTGACTTGAACCACTAAAACCATCTGAACCAGCCCATCCACCACGAACTTGAACTTGATGCTCTCCGGTAAACCAGTTTTGACTCAACAATTCTCCACTATTCAATTGATGTTGGAAAGGTGCTGACATGCGGGCAGGATTGACAGCCCAATCCTGCATATTTCCTAAAGGCAAGTGTTCTTGCCTTGGGGACAAGTATCTACCCCCATCAGTGTAAATGTTTTCTGACATGTTTTGTTGCATATAAACCTCATTCAGCCTCTTTTGCCCCTCATCTAAAGCAAGTGATGACTGCAACTGCTCCTGAAATTCCCCATTAAAATGACCATTTTCCATCAACACATTCTTTGGGAGCTGGAAATCTAGCGCTGTCTGTTTCTGCTCGCTATGATGCAAAAACATTCCCTGATCCTTGAAGAAAGATTGAAGCAGCTCATTTCGATCCTGGTTCATATAAGAACTAAAGGACACATCTTCAGAATGTCCATGCAACAAAACTTTCCCAGTACTTTCTTCATGCAAGTCTGATTCCAGATCAATCATTTGGTTCTGTTGATCTTCATTGGCTTGATGAGTGAGTGGCAATCCACAGAGAGATGTGTATTCATGGCCAGCGGTAGAATCATTGTAAGAGAGTGGCATGCTGTCTATGGGCCAGCCATTTTTGGGAACTTCCTGATTAACAGTTGCATTCAAATTCTCCAAGTGCTCAGATACATCTGAAGAAGCAACATCTGATTTCGAGAGATTCTTATTGTTTTCAGACTCAATATCCTCACAATTGCAAATATGGCCACTATCAATAGAAGAAATCTGCTGTGGCAACTGATTATGCTGTAAAGCCAGAACAGACTCCCCCTCTTCCATGCCGGACTCACTGTTTGTTGCTTCGGTATCCCTCTGATCCTCAAGCAACTTCTCAGGGTCCTCTTTTTCTACATCTAGAACAGCCAAGTTTATACCAACATTGTCTTCCTGATCCTGGAGCTTTCCAGTATCTTCCTCCTCATCCTGACACACCAACAAAAAGATCAACATTATTGTAGTAGCATAGAAGATAGCCACATAACAATAGAAACACAGATCCAATGAGTTTGGTGAATATCAAACAAGCAACAGCTATGCAAGCAACCAAACTATACATATACAAGGGGAAAGGGGACAGAGTAATTACCTCCAGCACTGGATTTAGTTTTTCCTTCATATCTTGCTCCAATGACTGGCTTATTTCCCATTTCTTTAACTTTATCTCTCTCCTGCTTGCATATGCTGCAGGGAGATCTTCCTTTACCAATCTCAACCTGTTTAAACAACTATTACTTTGAGCAGATGTATAATGAAAATTTTCAGAGTTCAAGAAAGAATTGTTTGCTTCAATACTCACCAATGTTTGTGCAACTTCCTCAGTTCTTCTTCTATGAATACTTCATATGGTTGCACATGCAAGCTATCAATGTCACCTAGGACATGGTTGAGAGATCTAGATTGAATGATTGTACCAGACTGCTTCATATTCTTAATAAGTTCAAGTTGCTTCTTGCTTATCTGAAACATATCAAAGGCAGATAACCAGCAATTACCTAAGAAAGAACGTGAGAGAGCGAGAGAGAAGGCTGAATATTATTAGATACTAAAGAAATCCTTGTTTAAAGAATAGAACGGAAGGGCAAGATAAACATGCAAGCCATCACTAGTACGCTATAGTAATTTTTCCTGCCCCATGGTATAATGGCAAGAACTGAGATTTTATTTACTATAAAGCCTAGAAAGTGACAAGATACCAGAGCAGTAATGGCACAACCATATCTCAGTAGAAACAATCAGCCAAGCATCTGGCCAATGGTTCAGCTCAGGAAAACTCATAAAAGAAGCTTCCAGAAGTTGCATCCTAGTGTAAACTAATCCAGAGTTTAATTAATGACTAATCCTGTACCAGAAAGGATAAATTCTAATCCAAGGAGATAACTAATCAAGATAAAAGGCACCTCCTCAATATAATCTTACAATTTATACCAATCAAAGCAGCTTCTGACCTTAAAAAATGACATATATTTGGCACCATCACTCTGTTGAATATTGCGCTTGTGTATCTTGTCACCCTTTCTGCATCTTGCTTCCATAGTCAGTTCATCATCCTGAGCAGTCAAGAGATTTCGACCTTTGTCCTTGATGAAACCTTTCTTGTACATTCTGATACCCATGACAACTAATAAGATTCATTCGCCATGGAATAAAACAAACTGAGTAAAACTAAAAGAAACTAATGCAGCCCCAATAACAAATTCCCACCAAGATACCTAAATGCTGCAAAAAGTTTCTCAAACATTGTTATTGTTCACAAAATTTCTAGTTCAGCGAAAATGACAAGATTGAGTACCACCTAAACTGCAAATAAAGATAATAATGAAGCAAAAAGTGATCCTACAAGCTGAAAATAACATTACAAGCAGAGAAACTTTGACCAGGATATCTGCAATGTAATTTCCCACAGAACCTAAATAGCATGGTGTGTAAAAATACCCACATAGAATGTTTATACTTCAAACCTCTTAGGCAGCAAATATATTTATTTTTTTTCTTTGTTAGGAACACAATTTACAGATAAATATAGTTATAATAAGGAAAAGCTATGTGCTGCAAAAAAAGCCAACAAGAAAACTACTCTAGAAAAGAATAAGAAAGCTACAATTTCTTAGCACAGAAATCAAAGGTATTCCACCCCATATGGGGATAGGGAAAAAAGATCCAGGGTCACCTTTGCTCTATAGAAATCTTATCATTTACATTTTGTAAAACCCACTATGAAGATTCTGAGGGTCACAATATTTTTTATATTGCCTAAATAAATGAATCACATTTCTAGTTGCAGTTAAAAGAAAACCAGAAAAGTAACTACAGAAAATGAAGTACTAAACTCAGGCAAAGCATGATTTAAGAAAACGATATTCAAACTCTCACTCTAGTGAACCTCAACGAGTTGGGCAAAATGACAATAGATCAAGCATGGTGGTTCACCATGGAAAGACATTACCTTCTTTGTAGTTCTCCTCCCTTCCCAACAGAAGAATTTTGGTTATCACTACTGCATGCTTTCTCATCTGCAACCCAAGAACAAGATTCAGAAGTAGCTGTAACATCCTGCTCAATGTTGCCAATCTTAGATTCATTTGAATGTGAGAAAACCCTTTTCTTGCCAACTCTTCTTGACCTACCAAATAAATTGATTGCAACCCAAAAATGAGATTTGATCTTAACACATAAAAGGAGTTAAATATTAAATAAAATGAACAAAAAAATTAATCCTTAATTTTTGTTCTGAACAACCAATTACAAGAGGAAATTTTAAAAATCGAACAGCCAACGGTATTGTATTCCATATTATGGCATTGTTATAACAACGAAGCTGAGAAACAAGTTCCTGAAAACACATCGTTGCTAATGTATGTGTTAGTTAGTTGCACTTATTTCACACAAAAGAACCTTCCTTTGCTAAAACCCATCTCTTAAACATAAAGTGAAACATGTAGCAAATACAAACCTCCATAACTTCTGCACAATCTCTTGTTCTGGATCTTTGCAGCTTTCCCATTTCTCCTTCAATTTCTGCAAATAGTCTACAATACTGCCACAAGAAGCAAAAAAGTTTCAACCATATTATCAGCACCAAATGCAACCGTGCCAAGAATAGCATATATTCATGGGTATATTTGGCTATGTTCACATACTCATTATGGTAGTCCTGCAAATCTGAGTAGTATGCTTTCTTCTTGGCTTTTAAACATTGTTCCTCCTGAATAGCTACATCAGGGAAAAGATCACCCGAACAAAGTGATGTACCCCTGTAAGCATAAATTCTAGTCAAATATAGCAAACTCAACTCTACATTAGAATCCTCAAATACTATATCTCCTGAAAATAGAACAAGAGAAATAAAACAGTCATTCCCCCAAGAGCTGTAACTTCTATGTAAATTAATTACAAGTAAAATAGTCGCAAAATACATATGTGCATTTATGGGTAAACATATTTGTCACACATATATCGCACGGGCAATAGAAACTACAAGAAGAAAGGATCCATTCTCCATAGGGGGAGGAAGTGTCAAAAGTAAATATATATACTCACCATTTAAGAAAAGGATTTCCAAAGTGAAAGTTATCCCCAGCAAGCAATGCTTGCAGAACCTGCTCTTTGTCTGTTCCTGTAGGAAGAAACTGTACCAGAAGATTTCTCTCATTTTCAGACAGATGAGTCTGCCAAACCTGTAACAATTTCAATGTAAATTCCATAAAGCATGAGATCAGCAGAAAAAGGACATTTGAAGCAACTGTGAAGAATAACAAGCATATTACCTCATAAGAAAGCACCCCTGTCAAGTTTTCTAAGTCAAAAATTTCACGAGGAAGAGTCAAAACATCTGCCAAAACTCTGTGGTAACTTATTTTGGAATCTGTAAATGGCCTCAAATGCCTCCAACTTAAGCTAATTTGTTCCCTTTTGGCAATAACTTTTTTTTGGTTCCCATCCCACTCAAGGGAAATACAAGATTTCGTGTTTAAATCATTTTGTAGTGACTCTAGTTTTGTCTTTTTGGTTCTGTATTGGTCCTGAGAATTGCAGCCAGCAATGCTGACACCATTCAGTCGCTTTCTCCGTTGATCAGCTACCATTGACACCAGATGTCAAAAGAATTGGCAGAAAAAGATCATAGCAATATAGAAGAAGATATGCTCTTGATCACACACCGAACATCATCCTGCATGCACAAACTGAAAATTGTAAGCCACCAAGGAAAGACCTTGAATCATAAAAAAAAAAAAAAGAAAAAGAAAAAAAGAGCAGTACATATTTGAATCACCTTTGAATCAGAATAATTCAGAAGACTGCTTAAGCAGTGCAAAGCACAACACATCCAGTGCTTATAAATTCATATATATTGTTCAAAAGTATATCAGAAAACAAATCCAAGGCATGTGAGAAATCTAAAAGTTGAAGTGATACTGTAACAAAACCACAAAATCCAAACCCCACCCGAAATGACAATGACAAATGTTTCCAAATTTCTAATTGGGCTTCTTCTTTGAGAAATAAGGGACCCCCTATTGATATGGACCAATAAATATGCCATAAAAGGAGCTTCACAACCATTGCAGCTTGTGCAACATCATCTTAAGAAATAGTCCACTCCCAAAGAAAACAAAAGAGGTATAGCGAATCAATTTTTTTTCAGTCGTGCTAGTCAAAACTCAAGTTGAAGCCAAAGCAAGTAAGTACGGAAACAAAGTTAACCAAGTATTTAGTAAAGACAGTATTCATAATTTGATTTAACTCAACATCGAGTGAGCAGCACGTAGTAAATAATGCAAGATATAGAAACTCTATCCACAATAAAAATAACAACAACAGTAATTCAATACGTACAAAAAAAAAAGGACCTTTATAATTGAAACAAACACAATTTAAATTGAAACAATTAGCAAGCATCAAACAAAAAATTTACCCTAATCAGAAAAAGAAAACCCACAAACAAAAAGAGACGCAATGTATCAATAACCGAAACAGCAAAAGACACAAAAACTGCAGGCAACGCACAATTTCACTAACAGAAATAGCAGCCAGTGTTAACAAAGGAGATAAATTGACTAAAACGCACCTTCCTAGTATCAATAAAAAACAATCAAACCCTAAAAAGATTTTTTTTGAAAAAAAAAAGAAAAAGAAAAAGAGCGTACCTAGAAAGAATCCGGAACTGTGGTTTGTTCTCAAAGGCAAAAACAGAGGGGAAAAGAAAGTAAGGAAGGGGGCAGAGAAAAGAGAGAAGGCGGCGAGGCGACCAAAGATAATTTGTATGAAGAAACGGCGAGACAAAGAGAGAAGACAAGGTTTTGGAGTCATCCAATAGACAGAAACAGAAGATAGAGAATGGTGGAATAGTACACGGGGGAGAGAGAAGCGGGTGGGTGCGGTTTCTCGGAACCGTTATGTGAACATTGAATCGTACATTCGCGCGCAGGGGGCTCGGCTTTAAGCTTCTGGGTCCAGCCGCTTCCTACCCCTGTCCTGGTTTCGCTCTCATTTATTTATTTATTTTTATATTTATTTAACACATTGAGAAGTAAAAAGTCCACATAAGATAAATATTTTTGTTTAGAAAATGAAATTTATTTTTTGTGACAGAAATTGTTGCACGGATGTTTAATGAAAACTTTAAAAAATTTGATTGTCATTTTTAATTATTTTATTAATTAGTATTATTTTCCTTTTCAGCCCAGCTTTTAGCCAGCCTAGTAGAGGAGTAGTTATGGTAGCTTGAGCTTAATTATTAAATGGGCTTGGGGGTTGACGGTAATATAAAGTCATTGGATCTCGTGGACTTTTGGGTTTCAAGTAAACCTCTTTTATTTTTTTCTTATTCTTATTATTATATTATTATGCTCCTGCCTATACCTTAGTTTACTATTCCACAGTAACATTAATTATAAGTGTTATGAAAAAGACGTGAACGAAGTTTTTTACATAAAATTTGTAAAATTTTTTATTAAAAAAGATTAAATAAAAATTAAAATTGATAAATTGAAAGCTTTTGGTATATAAATCAAGTGTGTAAATTTAAAAAAATTAATAAATTTTGATTTTTTTTAAATAATTATTTTTATATAAAAATTTTTATAAAATTTTTACCGTTAATAAATACTAATCAAATTTAAATTATAAACTGTATTTTTAATGATTTTTACATATTAATTAATATTTTTGTTGAATTATATTAATCTATTTACTTTTATTTTTTAGTAAAATTTTAATTTAATCAATTTTATTAAAAAAATTACGGACTTCACTTAAAAAATTTCATTTGAAATTTGCTCAAAACGAGCCATGTTATAAATGAATTATTTGACCCTATTCAATTTTGAAATTTGAGGATAAATTATAAATTTATCCTATTAAAAATAAAATTTGAAAATAAATTAACTCTAAAAAATTAAATCAAATACATACATGACAAGATTTAAATATGAAATCTTAAGATTTTAAGATTTCTTCCTTTCAATCAAGCCCTCGTTGATAAATGGTAATAAACAATGAACCTTTTCAACCAAAAATAAAAAATAAAAATTTGTTTTTTTTTTTAATATTTTGTTACATAAATCAACAGAAGATAATTTGATTAATAATTATTTGATTACATATATTAAAGAAATACATTTGATATATTAATGATAATTTCAAAATACGAAAGCTGATTACAACAATTGCAAAGTATTTCTTTATATTGAATTTTGTTTTGAATTATTATTCTTTATAGATAGTTGCTATATGTTTATTTAATAATTGAATTTTTTATTTTTAAATATATGTTAATGGAGACATATTAACTTTTCAAAATTCCACTATCATACAATTATCTTTTTTTTTTTTTTTTGTATTTAATTTTTGTAATGACATTATATTATTTGAAGATTTTGCACAAAAAATCTTATATTTATATATTTGTGTATTTGAAAAAATAATCTTTCTGGTTCATATGTTCTTTTTCTATTTTCATGATTAAGAAATAGAAAGCAATAAATGTTTGAAAAGGACAAAGAATATCATGTGTTTAATGTTGGTCAAGAGAGGAGCAGATCAAGGTTATAATGCTGGTTGCCGAAGAGGGACTCCGTCTGAGATTGTTGTTCAGGGTGATGACCAGCAAGTAGATCAGATGAGAAGATAACTCAAGCTCAGAGAAAAAGGAATGGTGCATGTAAAGGGCATCTTCAGGAGATGATTAATTAGACCAGTGCTTTCACAATAGAAAATATGGTATTGCAGCTTGGCCGATCATTGAAATGCACTCTTGGGTGTATGTTTAATCGTTCAGCCATTTAAGTAGGAGACTTCTGGAAATAGACTTTCTCAACCGTGTTCCCTGAAAATTTTCTCATAATCTCAAGGCAACTTTGTCTTGTCTGCTGGAAATGTTAAAAAATGTTTAATAGTTGTAATGCCTTTCTATCCCTGACCGGTTTTGGTACTCTTCCCAGAAGTGATCAACCTCTACTTGCTTGACCTATGCATATGATAGAATCCCTAAGGTTTTTACTTGGCGTTGGAAATGTTGGAGAATACAGCAGAGCACCATCATGGTAAAATAAGCAATCAAAATAATTAAATAAAAGCGTCCTGGTATAATGAAGTCTAATCAGCATCAATGCTCAGCAAAATCCAGGCAACTTATTCAAAATTCAGAGCAGCATCAACTGGCTGCAGTTACAATTGTCCCAGTTACGAAAACAACCCTAACATTGCCCTAAAAGTTATGTTGAGAATAATTATTCAAATTTCATAAGAAATTTATTTGAGATTTATTTGAAATTTATCAGATATTATTCGTGGACAAAAAGACTTATAAAAAAAAATTTTAAGAGAAAAAAGATTCTTAATAATTAAGTTTGACTTGCAAGAGAATAATTTTAAAAGGAAAAGGATTCTTAATAAGCAAGTTTGACTTACAGGAGAAAAATTCTAAGAGGAAAGGGATTCTTAATGGGTAAGTTTGTATGGTTATAAATAGGTGAAGTCTCTACAGAGTTAGATATGAGAAAAATGTATGAGAAAAAGATGTAAGAGAGTTGTAAGATTTTGTAGGATAGATACCCCATAAGAGTATTAGAGTACTACATCTTATGGGTGTGTATGTTTATTTGTGAGTGAATTAGAGAAGACTGAGAGAGTCCATATAGGTATGATGTATGGGAGCATATGGGTATGTATTTGGTTATGTTGAAATGGTGCACAAGAGCTTGAGTTTGTGTTTGTTTGGGTTGAGAATACTCCATAGGACTAGAGGAAATTGAGAGTGTCTTATGAGTATTGATTATTGAGTGAGGTTGATGATTTGATGTATTTTTGTAATTCTCTATAACTAGTGGATCTTGTTTCTCATCCTCCGTTGATGTAGGTCAGTTGGATCGAATCACGTTAAATGTTGTCTCTTGTGTGTTTGATTTATTGTTTGATTTGGCTTCCGCTGGTGTGATTGGATTGGAGGCTTTTAGCCTAACAAATGGTACCAGAACTGTGGTGATCCCCAACAAGATGATCCCTAATAAGTGGTATCAAAGTTGAAGGTTCGAAACGTGAGAAGAGTTAAAGATTCAAGATGTGGAAAGAGCAGGTTCGAGATGTGGAAGAGCTAAAAGTTCGAGATGTGGGAAGAGCTAAAAGTTTAAGATGTGAGAAGTGTATGGTTTGAGATATGGGAAGAAGCAAGTCCAGAAGAGCTCGATTCAAAAGAAGAGTTCGAGTTTAAGTTTTGAAGATTGAGAATTGGTTTGTATGAAGCGTGAAGACACAAGAGAAGAGAAGATGATTGTGAGACTTTTATTGCAGGTGGAGCCAAACATGTCTAGCATAAAGATAGATGATTGATGAAATTTGAGTGGTGGAGATTGTTAGAAATAATAACTCAAATCCCATAAGAGATTTGTTTGTGATTTGTTTGAAATTTATCAAATATTGCTTGTAGACAAGAAGACTTGCAAAAGAAGAATTCTAAGAGAAAAATGATTCTTAATAGGTAAGTTTGACTTGCAAGAAAGAATTTTAAAAAGAAAGGTATTCTTAATAGACAAGTTTGTATGGTTATAAATAGGTGAAGTCTTATGAGAAAAAGATGTAAGAGGGTTTTGTGAGATAGACATCCATAGGAGTATTAGGGTATTAAGTCTTATGAGTGTGTATGTTTGTTTGTGAGTGGACTAGAGGAGACTGAAAATATTTGTATTTGTTTAGGTTAAAAATACTCCATAGGACTAAAGGAGATTGAAAGTGTTTTATGAGTATTGATTGTTGAGTGAGGTTGATGATTTGATGTATGTGTGTAATTCTCTACAACTAGTAGATCTTGTTTCTTATCCGTGGATGTAAGTCAATTGAACCGAACCACGTTAAATTGTTGTCTCTTGTGTATTTGATTTATTGTTTGATTTAACTTCCGCTTGTGTGATTGAATTGGAGGCTTTTAACCCAACAAGTTAAGGGCAGCAAAAGCAAAGATCTGCAACAAGTCTTCGGCATTATCTGATGTAATTAAAAAATTATGCGGTAACAAATGAACACTGTATGCTTGATTACTCTGCTATTCTCGACCGATCAGCACTTATTCTCATCCAAGAAGGTGTAAGTGAGCACCTCCAGGTTGTCTGGTGCTGGCCTCTTGCAAATCCTGCCAGAGACATTATAATGGGAACCATGGCAAGGGCAGAACCATCCACCAAAATCACCAGCATTTGGCAGGGAATGCAATCCAGATGTGTGCAAACCCCAACAACAATTAACCACTCCGGATTCTTAACCCTTGTTACATCCTCTTGTGGATCACGAGGAGATCCTATATCAACACTGTTAGCCAATTGATATCCTCCTCAGTTCGACGCCTGAGAAAGATTGGCTTTCCACGCCACTTAACAGTAACAGTGCTGCCAGGTTCAATGCTGGAGAGATCAACCTCAAGAGTAGCCAAAGCAAGAACATCTTTACTGGCTAACATCTCAGCAAAAACTTGAGGATAAGCAGACAGATAAGAGATGCATACACGAACCTACCACCTGTCACGACAAAATAGGCAAATGCCCGCTTACTGGGATCACCTGGAGGAAAACGTTGGTGGTTGTATTCATCATAGACTATTTTAGAAATAGGGTTCTTAATAGTTGCACTGTTGCTGGAACATGAAGAACACACTGTTTTCACTTTCGGAGGTCAGTGACTCAGAAGTAAAACCTGAAGGAAACATTATTCATGTCTTTAGTGAACAAACACAAATGAGAAAAACAATTTTGTTCACCATTCCAATAGTTAATTACAGAAAAGGAAGAATACTGATGGCAAACATGAATCGTGGTCATGGAAATTTATAGGATAGTTCCAAACAACCACAATTTGGGTAAAGAAATCCTAGAATCGAGCCTCCATTGCAAGGCTTTGGAAATATTGGTCTCAAAAGGGGCATAAAATGGCTTCACAATCAGCAGGCTAACTTCATATTCATAAGAGTGGATTACAAGCAGTTTCAGAAAGAATTTATGGTCTTCATTGGTGCTTTCAAGCTCCTCTTGGGAACAAAATAAGAAAAGGTATCCCCCAAACAAGGAGTATAGAACAGATATCATTAAGCACTAATCTTGAACATTGGCATGATGCATCTAAGAGATGCCTCCCACAACATAGCTTCTAAAGAAACTGATGAATCCCTGTGTTAACTGCTCGAAGGAAAGCAAAAATTTCCTCAAAAAGAAAAACAAAACTTTCGTTGTGATTAAAAGAAAACAAAGAAATGAAAAATGTGTTAAAAACATAAAATATTATTTTTGTGAATCTTGAAATCATACTACTAACTACTAATACTCTAATACTATTACTAAGTACTTTAAAAAAAAATCTAATAATAAAAAGAATTTAAATTTCTATAAAAAAAGAAAAGAAAAAAATAATTTTATGGGGCCAGCCCTGGAACACATAGTCCTGGGAAGCATCAAAATTAAAAGCAGACTCAAAGGCCGGGCCTTATTATGCTTCTCACTTCTCCCTTGCAACTGCATTTCCTTTCACAACTTAGGAAGAGTCCACCAGCCTTCTTAACCGAGCCGGAGCCCAGAAGCTAAGACCTGGGCCAACTCAACCTCCACTTTTTCTCTTTACTTTGTTCGTTTTACTTTTGCTTCCTTGCTTTTTCATTCTTTGTACTTGACCTTATAATTCAACCCCGAAAGGAAAAAAACTATAATATTTTACACAAATTTCCATCATGTATAACAAGGAAATCAAGTTCTTGCCATTCTTATCATTCAATATTCTAACCTTTTGGTACTTATACATATAATTAATAATATATAAATTAAGTATTTGTTGATAAAAACTATGTATATTTGCGATTGAAATCAGACCATATATATATATATATATATCACATCAACTTGTAAGAGTCATACGTAAAGTAAGTAACAATTGAGAGAAAGCAAACGCCGCAAACATTGACGCAGACAGCAGCGTGGGGTGTGGAAAGCATGCACCGCCTTTGGCTTTTGGATTGTGGGCTGCGGCTTGGCAAAGGGAGATGCATCTGTCTTTAATTCAGTGGTGACAATTCTATATTTAGGGATTAAAGAATCCGACAAAGGGCCTTTAACTAGTCACAATTAATCTACTTAAAGATGACATTCAAAATTGCAAATCATTATTAAAATGACAGATTTTCTTAATTTTACTAGTTAGCTAGCTACTTGTTTGTCTTTTAATGATATCGCCAACCCAAGCCACGACTTTAACTTAATTATTATTTTCAACATATAATTTTGCCAAACCAGATGTTGATTGAAGGTTTGAACTGAGCTAAGTTTGAAGTCGGCACGTCGTCGTAGGAAAACTACATTAAGTGATCAGTAATTAATCAGGATTAAACGTACATTCTATATATAGGACTAGCATGCATTCAATGAACAAAAGGAATCTAGACATACTTAATTATTTATCTTCTTAATTAATATTATAGTGAGAATATTGTTCATAATAAACTACTAGCTAGCATATAGTATAAGCTAGAATAATTAATACTACTGTTGTTGCATTATCCATCTCATCTCATCATAGTTCCTGCACAAACCAAAACAACATTAATTGATTTCCACCCAAAGTATGCACTCTCAGCACTCCCTAGTCACCATCAATCATGTCAATATGCATAAGGCTAGCTAGCATTTCTTGGAAGATAATCTCTACCCTTGTCACTTAAAGCAAGGGGCTAAAAGGGAATCTCATGAAACAATAGGATACATACATGGTTTCATTCGTTCTAAACACCGACGTAGTCTCAAAGCGAAATTAAGCTAAATCACCCCATCCGCCCATGATCAAGAAGACACAGGACAGGTGTAACCAAGAATCAATCCTGCCGTAATTCATGTACCTGACCATGCTGCAACTGCGCGCAAAGCGCTACTCCTTTTGTTTACTATCATCAGAATCTTTCCCAGGATTAAGAAATAGATGAGAGCCAGAAGAGAAGCTTCTCATCTGTGCTGTTGCTGATGATGAAAACCTTCGCAACTCTTCCTCATCTAGTTGATTTTGAGGCATCAATATTGCTGAATAAGTAGTACTAGTGGTTGAAGAAGTACTCAGTGATGACGAATATTGCGAGATCAGAGGTTGTTGATTATGAAGGCCCGATTCAACATATTGCCTACGGTTATCAATATCGTTACCAGAAAGCAGCTGCGCATACTGTGATAGATATGGGAATGCTTCATTGGATAATAAGTCACTACGAGAAATATTTGGAAATGAAGGGGGAGGTTGTGGAGTGGAACAAGAAATAACTGAGCTTGGAGCTGCAGCGATTGGATTATTATTATTTGAACATGCTAAGAAGCCCAACTCAAGTCCTCCTTGAACACGTTCAGGAAAATTGAGTTTGGCCTTGCTTCCTTTAAACTTTAAGGCTGCTGCATCATAAGCAGCTGCTGCAGCTTCTGCAGTGTCAAATGTACCCAGCCAAACTCTAGCCGCCTTCTTGGGGTCACGGATTTCGGCTGCCCACTTGCCCCATGGTCTCTGCCTTACACCTCTATAGTGCCTCCTTCCTACTTTTCCTTTTCATAGAAAATAAGATCTGATTTTATGCTATAACCAATGTATAGAGACGCACACGGAAATACCAAAATCAGTGATTAAGAGGGTAAAGAAATTAAACTAGCTAGCTAGGGCCACATACCGATGGCATTTGAAATTATTATAAAACTATATTTGTCATAATGAATATTCTTTCTGAAAGCAAATATGTAAAAGATTGCTTAGCAATATCAATCTATTTTCTTATGCAATCTCCACAACATGGCATATTCTAACTAATTACCATATTTATATAATTATATATATATATATACACAGATATATATAGCCAACTAATTAAAGTACGAATAAATCATATAATTTTTAATCCCTTCACCTGTTTTTGGGCGTGCGCGAGTTGGGAGATAGAGCTACAATTGCGCCCTGATTTTAATTTTGAAACTTTATATATATATAAATATATATATATATATATATATAATCAAGCAGATAGATATTAATGAATAAAATGGTATGTTTCAATCATTTACAAACACGTGCTATTTAAATCTCGAGAGAAATATATAGGACAATACAGAAATCAAATCAATATATATTCCATAGGAGATCTTGAGAGTTGAGAGAGCTGGACCTGGGCAGGATTTAGACAGTACTAGAAATGAACAATAAAAATTAGTGATCATCAAGTACTCATCAAATGAAAACCTAGCTAGCCAGATGGCTTGATCATTTATATATATGTTGATTTACCTGGATCCTGAGCAGGAGGCTTGGGCTGCGCTTGCTGATCTGTCACGAGAGACTTGTGATGATGAGTTGCTTGCTGTTGCTGGTGAGGCAAGATATGAGTTTGGGCGATGAGATGATGTGCAAGGGCGCCTGAGGGTGCAGCCATGGAAGAAGTATCTTGTTGAAACAGCTTCTGTTCATATGATGAGTATAGAGAGAATATGTTAATGTCTTCTTCCTTTTTCTCCTCGGATGCATCGAAAGGAAGAGGCCGCTTCCCATGCCTTCGATCCACCTTGTTTAACCTCTAAACTACACCTTTATTATTTCTTTTGTATATGTAGGTGATCAGTATGTTTCATGTATGATTTTTGATCAAGTTATAGTTAGATAATTAAGTTACCAGCTGCTACTCTTATAGCAAATTATTAAGACCAATTAAAAGTATAGATCTTGAGGATCAATCTGGTTACGGTAAAGAACAACACAAACCAAGAAAGAGATCATAAAAGATTGATACGCTGATGACGAAGAAAAGGAAAATTTGAAGAAGAAAAAAAAAGGAGAGAGAGAGAGAGATTGTGGAAATTAATAGAGGGTTGCTTGTAGGGTTTTCATTGCTGCGTCCTAAAGTCGGTTTATATTTGGCCTTGCTGGGAGAGTTGATTTCCTGCCTTGTGAATGCATGACCTGAGGACTGCACCCTATTTTTGGACCATACACCTGTCTATCAGCACAACATATATACATATATATATATATGAAATCAAAATTAAAAAGCAAAAAAACATAATATATATATATATATGAGTAGCGATCAAACTCTGTTTGATCTTTAGATTAAATTAGTTAAAATTAAAAATATTTTAAGATAAATAAATCTAAAATAAAAAAATGTAAAATTTATATTGATGTAAATGGATTTCTATACTCTTTTAATATATATATATATATGAGAAGAGTGAATTAGTTGATAGGAAGATGAAATGGTGTGAATTCTCCAATTAATAAGCCACATGAAATGCACTTTGAATTGGGAAATTAGGTGGAAGCCTTCAGCTTTGCACTTTCAGTCACTGTACACACAAAGGGGTATCTTTAGAAAACAAAGCTTTAACCTCCCAAAGCAAACTTCAGTTTAAATGGACCAAAATGTTGGCTTGCAAGCTAGCACATAGATTAGCTAGTGAACAGGGGAGACTAATAATGAATAACAATTAAATAAAGAAAAAAATCAATACAGAGATCGGCCATAGAGCCTTGTCAATCGCCATGTGTAAGGGTAAAGTGTTTCATTCAGAGACTGATGAACCAGTCAATTCGGCATGGATGCATGCATGCGACTGATAGGTACCAATGCTTGCTTGGTGAGTAATTTAGGAATATATTTGCTTTCTTTTCTTGGACATTGTTCCATTTGTTGGTTTGGTCTTCTCACTCCGCTCCAAGGCCGTACACTTCAACTTTTTTTTTTTCAATTCATTTTTTTAATCTTCTTTGGCTGTTAGGAATCCAGAAAGAGAGGAAGAGATCTATTACCCACATTATATTTCGATTGAATCTTTAAAAATTCTTCTTCAAACCCAAACTAAACTTGCAATCAAGCAATTGGTATTAAAAAAAAAAAAATGGCAATTCGCAATTCAACCAATGGTTATGGGCCCATAAAAAACCAAATGGTTGTAGATTAGTTTAGTTCCAAAAGACCAGATCGACTAGGCCCAGTGAAATGATGCATTTGCTGTAGTAGGCCTCTATTTTAAGGCTCAAAATTCTATTGAAGCCTACGTAGATTAATTAATTATTAGCTAAAACGAAGAGACTGATTTGGGGCAGCAGAAGAAGAAGAAGAAGAAAGGCGGGGAAGGGGAGGAAGCCAAAACAATGGAAGCAAGCTCCGAGGAGAAAGCGGAATTTGAAGAAGCGGAGATAAAGTATGTGAGCTATGAAGGAGAGCATCACCTGCCTCTCATCATGAGCTTGGTCGATCAAGAACTCAGTGAGCCTTACTGCATCTTCACCTACCGATATTTCGTCAATCTTCGGCCCCAACTCTCCTTCCTCATAATCTCTTCTTTCCTTTCTTTTCTTTATGTTTTCAAATATTATTTGTGCTTTTGCACAATGGGTTCCATCCAAAATTTCATTTTTTTTCTTTCACTTGATTATTAAAAAAAGAACAGGCTTTTCACAAGGGTAAATGCGTGGGAACTGTGGTGTGCAAGATGGGAGAGCATAGAAATACTTTCAGGGGCTACATTGCCATGTTAGTTGTAATCAAGCCTTATCGTGGAAGAGGCATTGGTAATTTCTTTTTTCTTTGTATGTCATTCTATTTTACTGCTCTTTAATGCGTGATAATTCTTTTCTTTAAATTCTTGAATGGGTTGGATTCTTTCGACTGAAAGTTAAAAAGTGTGTATCACATGGGTTTCTTGTCAACTGTTAACACCTGTTCATATCTCAATGGCTTTATAGTTCATGTAAAATGTAGATACTGACTTTTGATGCTTTTGCTCATGTTGCGGCCACTGAACTTGTTACCAGATCAATTAGAATGATGATGGAATCAGACTATGAAGAGGTACGGGATTTTTCATTCTTTATCATGGTGATATCATTTGTAATTTGATTTTAATGCTTATTTCTGTATCTCCAACCTCTAAATTTAAAAAATGCAAAGTACGATAAAAGTATGAATTGTTAAAGTGTTGGTTTGTTTCCTTCATTTTCAGAAGGATAAGATGCTATGCTAATGTTTGTGTGGGAAAACACTTATTTACAGCTGGTTGTAATCTTGTAATCTGTATATTTATATTTGTATCTCTAGAATTAGGTATTTGTATCCCTAGAATTAAGGAAGATTTAGTTTCCTAGTTTAACCCCTAGTTAGTTGTATATAAACCTAAGATTCTTGTATAATTCATATAAGCAGTTTTTCAATATACATTCAGTTTCCACATGGTATCAGAGCTTTAGGCTCTTCTGGGGAAGCAAAATTTTCAGCCTTCATTGCTGACTTTTTTAGGCCTTCATTGCCGAATCCTGTTTAGGCCTTCATTGCCGAACCCTTTCAAAGAAAGATATCACTACACCTCAATTTGAGAAAATGTTAACTGGGAAAATCACTAGAGTACTACAGATGTCTCAGAAACAAGGAGAGTTCAACAGGGAAGAGATTGAAAAGCTGAGAAACTTATTGAAAATCCTTGAAAAGCCTACTATGGTATGTTCTTTGGGTAAAGTTTCTAGTTCAGGTAAAGCTTCTGGTTCTCATTGATTAAATGTCTCGGCTAAGCCTATTACGAGTTCTTGGGTCATTGACTCAGGAGCCACAGACCACATGACACATTCTTCACAAAAGTTTAGTACATATAACCTGTGTCCTAGTAATAAGAAATGTTGTTGTAGAACACTAGGATAGGAGATGTTCAAGTTAATCCCTCGTTTGTTCTAAAAAATGTTCTTCATGTTCCTGGATTATCTATTAATCTGATATCTATACAAAAACTTACCAGAGATATGAATTGCAAAGTAACTTTTTATCCCTCTTATTGTGAATTTCAGGACCAGAGTTCAGGGAAGATGATTGGACTTGCTAAGGAGAAGGATGGACTATACTATCTTGAGACATCAAATAGCACAAGTAGTATCAAAAATAGTTTACCTTTGTCATTTCTTTCTGAAAAATCTTCCAATAAAGACAAAATTTGGCTTTATCATTTTCGTCTTGGACATCCTTCTTTTGGAACCTTGAGAAACATGTTTCCTTCTTTGTTCAAAGGATTAAATGTTGAAGATTTTCATTGTGATATTTGTGAATTTGCAAAACATAGACGTGTGTCTTTTCCAATCAGTAACAAAAGAAGTTCTACTCCCTTTTACTTGATTCATAGTGACATTTGGGGTCCCTCTACAATTCCTAATATTTCTGGTGCGAGATGGTTTGTTTCATTCATAGATGATTGTACTAGGGTCTCTGGGGTTTTTTTACTTAAATCCAAATCAGATGGTGAATAGTGTGTTTTTAAGCTTCCAAAACATGATCCAAAATTTAATTTGGAGTGAGAATCAAGAGATTAGGTCTGATAATGCCAAGAGGACTACTTCAACCATAGTCTATCCACCTATTTTCAAAAAGGGGATTATCCATGAGTCATCTTGTGTTAATACTCCACAGCAGAATGGAGTGGCAGAGAGGGAAAAACAGTTCATTTACTAGCCACAACCCGAGCCTTTCTTTTTCAGCAAATGTACCTAAATCTTATTGGGGGGAAGCTGTCTCACTGCCACATACATTATAAATAGGTTACCTTCAAGAGTTTTGGGATTTAAAACTCCTATGGAACTACTCTCACAATTTTATCCCAACCTCAATACCACAAACAATCTCACACCTAGATATTTGGTTGTACATCATTTGTTCATGTTCACAGTCATAACAGGGGAAAGTTGGATCCAAGAGCGATTAAGTGTATTTTTGTGGGTATTCTTCAACTCAAAAGATATAAGTGCTATCATCCTCCTACCAAAAATTCTATGTGTCTGCAGATGTCACTTTTGAAGAAAATAAACCATTTTTTACTCAACCTTATCTTCAGGGGGAGACTTCATTCATGGAAGATAAGGATAAAGACTTTTCTTTTGCTTGATTTGCCCCTTCTTCAACATTTACAACCCATTAATTCTTCTGAGTCGAAACCTGTTTCTGCTGAGCCCAAGTCAAACACTGAATTTGAGTCTGAACCCATTCCAAATACAGAAGATGTGACAAAGGATAATATTATTCTTGATTCTATGAAGGAATTACAGGTGTACTCAAGAAGGAAAGTTCCAGATCCTGAACCAGTGCCAGTCCAAGAGCCTGATCCTAACTCTGGAAATGAGGTAACTACAGTTTTTGACTCTGTTTCTCAAATGAGCATGAATCTCCTAAAACTATAACCAGTGATTATGATTTGCCTATTGCCATTAGGAAAGGAACCAGAGAATGTACCAAGCATCCACTATAACCCAATATCTAATTTTGTGTCATTTGAAAATTCTCACCATCCCACAAAAATTTTCTTGTGAGCCTAAACACTATTTCTGTTCCAACTACATTATCCGAGGCATTATCCAATGAGAAATGGAGGCAAGCCATGAAAATAGAAATGGAGGCCTTAGAGAAAAATCAGACATGGGAACTGGTAGAGTTGCCTAAAGGAAAAAATTCAGTGGGGTGTAAATGGGTTTTCACCGTAAAATACAAGGCAGATGGTACTGTTGAAAGGTATAAAGCCAGGTTAGTGGCTAAGGGCTACACTCAAACTTATGGAGTGGATTACCAGGAAATTTTTGCTCCAGTTGCCAAGATGAATACAGTTAGAATTTTGTTATCATTGGCTGCAAATTACAATTGGCAGCTTCAACAATTTGATGTAAAGAATGCTTTTCTACATGGTGATTTGGAAGAAGAAATATATATGAAGGTTCACCGGGATTTGAAGGTCATCTAGAAGCAAACAAAGTATGCAGGCTAAAAAAGGCTTTATATGGCCTTAAAACAGTCTCCTAGAGCTTGGTTCGGGAGATTTTGCCAAAGTGATGCTAGTAATGGGATATAAACAGAGTCAAGGAGATCACACATTGTTTATCAAGCACTCTGATTCAGGGAGAGTCACAGTTCTATTAGTGTATGTTGATGATATAATTGTAACTGGAGATGATGAAAAAGAGAGAGAATCTCTAAAACAGTGTTTGGCTAGAGAATTTGAGATAAAAGAGCTAGGGAGATTGAAGTACTTCCTAGGAATTGAAGTAGCTCACTCACGGCATGGTATTTTTATCTCACAACAGAAATATGTGATGGATCTTTTGAAGGAAACTGGGAAGCTTGCATGTAAACCTGCAAATACCCCTATGGATCCTAATCATAAAATTGGAGAAGCTAATGAAGATGCTGCTGTAAATAGAGAGATGTACCAAAGATTAGTTGGAAGACTCATTTATCTCTCACATACTAGACCTGATATAGCATATGCTGTGAGTGTGGTAAGTCAATTTATGCATAATCCTAAAGAAGTGCACCTACAGGCTGTCTACCGTATATTGCACTATTTGAAGGCCAATCCTGGAGAGGTATCTTATTTAAAAGAAAATTCGGGGTTAGTTCTAGAAGCATATACAGATGCTGATTATGCAGGTTCAGTAACTGATAGAAGATCCACCTCAGCTATTGTACTTTCTTAGGTGGTAATCTTGTGACTTGGAGGAGTAAAAAACAGAATGTGGTGCAAATCAGTGCTGAAGCAGAGTTCAGAGCAACGGCTCAAGGGATTTGTGAACTACTATGGTTAAAGATTATCTTAGAAGACTTGAAGATCAAGTGGGATGGACCAATAATCATCTACTTGTGATAACAAGTCTGCAATAAGCATTGCTCACAATCCTATACAACATGACAGAACAAACACAATTGAAGTAGACCGGCATTTCATAAAGGAGAAACTAGATAGTGGGTTGATTTGTACACCTTATGTATCAACCAAGGGTCAACTTGCAGATGTGTTGACTAAAGGTCTCAGCAGTGCAACATTTCAAGGAATTATTTCCAAGCTGGGAATGGAAAACACCTATTCACCAGCTTGAGGGGGAGTGTGGGAAAACACTTATTTACAGCTGGTTGTAATCTTGTAATCTGTATATTTATATTTGTATCTCTAGAATTAGGTATTTGTGTCCCTAGAATTAAGGAAGATTTAGTTTCCTAGTTTAACCCCTAGTTAGTTGTATATAAACCTAAGATTCTTGTATAATTCATATAAGCAGTTTTTCAATATACATTCAGTTTCCACAGTTTGGTGTAAGGTGAATTTAGTCGCTATATGTGTTGTTAGCATGCATATGAATTGCATCTTTCTTGTAGGCTTCTCTCTTCATATATGCTGATGTCTATTGTATTGTAAACTTTTACATTGTAAACCAGTTAATTCTATGGAGATATCTCCACTTGTCAATCAATTAACCTTGTTTATGTTCCTAAAGTCCCCCTGGATTGGCTAGTTTAGTGCTTAGTATTTGCTATCTGAACTCTAAATTGATGGTTTTAAGTGGCCATTCAAGTAGTGACGATATCCCTTGATCCTCTATTCGACCAAAGTGGATCTTGAACATGAATCAGAAACCCTATTACTAAATCAGCATTGGCACTACTTTATCTGTTTCTGCATTTGAATTTTACTTTATTTTATCAAGATGACATCTTATTTCAAAACTTTGATAATGTTTGAGATGTCATGGCTCTGATTTGGGGATTTCTTTTATTGTTTCTCAACCTAATAACACCTTCCATCTATTTTTGCCTTGTGAATATTGGTGCCTATTTATATCCCTGTTCTTGGTACTCTGTTGATTCAAATAGGTGGAAAGAGTTCTAACAGTTTTACTGTTTGCAGAGGGATCTTTTCAGTTAGAAAAATTAGTTTAAAACATAAGAATTTGAAAAACAAAAATTTTGAGTATTTTCTTCACTACTCTTAAGTAGGTTGTATGGGTAATATTATGTTGTCATAAATTTTAGTTTGTTATAGTTTATGGGAGGTTTGAGGCAATGATGAGATTCAGAAACTGATTACCCCATGTATTACTATTTTGAAGGTTACACTGGAAGCAGAAGTCACGAATAAAGGAGCACTGGCACTTTATGGCCATCTTGGTTTTATAAGGGCAAAACGGCTTTTTCACTACTACTTGAATGGAGTGGATGTTTTCCGTTTGAAGCTATTATTTCCTCGCCAAGAGTTGCACTATTCTGTACCCGTTATGACAAACAGAGACGAAGTCATGAACATGCTCATCTGGATAGCACTTGAAGAATGTTCAGGTGTTGGTCATGGCTTGTGATTTAGATTTTAGATTTCATACTTATGGGTGCATAACTGTTGTATTTTCCACCCTTAAGTTTGTTCATTACTAGATCAAGTATAAAAGTTTAATGATGACTTTTTCTTTTTGAATGGATAGTGAGGATATACATTAAACTTTTATGAATTTCCTTTATGTTAGCAAGTCTTGTTCATGGTTCTTGCAGAACCGTACATATAAGATACTTGCATAAGTTACAATCATTAGATGCATTATGTATGCTATATGCATATGTGGTACAATCAAAATATGTACAAGACCCAAGCAACATATAGAGTAGGTTTACAACTAGCATATACAGAACAGAAAGTAGAGGTAATAGCATACTACAATGTAAGCACAATGAATTGGGAAGGACGGAGGAGGAGGGAGATCAAAATCCAAAAGGAAGGAAGCATGCAACAGTAAAAAAAAAAAAAAAAAAAAGAAAATACTTCTAATACATGTATTGCAAGTCTATGAAAGTTGCACTGAATATAAAGCTCATCCTTATGTGCACCGTGATGTGGCAGGTAAAATTTTAGAAATAGGGAGGCTTAATTGCTTATACCATACTCTTTTTTCTTATCATTTAAGCATCTTGCTTAATAGTGCTCCTCTACTTCTTCAATTCCGGATTAATTGAAGCCAAACTTGCTGTCTTTAAATGTGGTCTAAGTTGCCTGAATTGTACATCTCAGAGAGGATTGAAATATCGACTTGAGATTTCTTATTACAGCAAGAAAAAACTAATCTTCTCATTTCTTATTTGATCCTGTGATGAATTCTGGTTGAAACATGTCCAAATAAAATCTAACTGACATGAATTTGCAGGTCTTCCATACTCTGAAGAAAGGATGAGCTGTTAGATCTTGGGATTTATTGGTGCCCCTGTTTGTGAATACATTGGAGTACTTACGAGGACAGAAGAGCCGGACAGTGTCTTTGAGAATAATTACATTTTTTACATTGATTGCTTGCAAACTATGAGAGGGCTTGGTGGCAGAGAGGTATAGTTAGTCTCTCTAGCATAGTATTACATCTAGCTTTGCATTTCAAGTCGTTGAGTATTTAGTTCAGTACAATAATGACAGTAAACTACAAGAAGTTGTTCAAATGCCACCCTTGCAGCAATGTTAGGTGATTCTGATTTATTAAGTTTACAATTATTGTAATATCCATGCAAAGGTCACATCCAAAGGGGCCCAACCTTTAATTGTTGTAATATCTAAGTTTATAATTGTCAGTTCCCTATTTAATGGTGAATTTGAAATTCATCTTCTTATAGCCTTAAAAATATATAGGCATAGACAGAGTGAATCTTACCTAATTTGTGCATAATGTGTGCATTTCATTCTCTCAACTTTTATAGCAAATCAAATCCATATCCATCTCTCAAATTCATCTTTCCGAACATAGCATTATATTATTTCACAAATTATGATAATGCGTGGAGCTCGAGTCAACTTTTTGGGCTCATGCATCATTGATATGCTTAGAGGTCTTGTTATGATTTATTTATATTTCCCCCTCTTGCATTACCTGGAAATTTTGGCTGGAGTTTGGCGTGATCGGACCCTATTTTGATATTCTTGGTTGTAGGAGCTTAGTTATGACTATGGCTGTGCCCTTGATAGCGTTTATGGTCCGGATTGGGAGGTAAAAAGGATGCCATGCTACTGTGGAGCAGAAGATTGCAGAAAGTGCTTTTTCTAGGTGCTGAATTTTCTGCTCATTTGTGTCACGCTTTTCATGGCAAATTGAGGGCAATATATAGGTTTCCCATGGTTTTGTATATGATGAGGTGCTGCTGCTTGTTCCTTTTTATGCCAATGTTTGTTGCAAGTGTAAAACCTTGTCCCCTACACTATATACAGATTTTAATAGATCATAGCCCAAGGGAATTGATGAAAAAGAAATAGCAACATTTTGTTGAAGATCAGTTGTAATTTATGCAATATTACTGATAGATAGATAGGTACCTAGTTCTGGTTGTAAGACATTTATGCATGGTGCTTTTGCGATTTGTACATATGGGTCATCTTTTTCCTGCATTTGCCTTCCTCTATAAGCTTATTTTATTAAGCTTGTAGTGAGACAACATTTAGAATGTCTCCTTTTTATGCTTTAGAAAATGTATATTCCTTGTTATTGTTGATTGGAAGGGAAATTGATGATATGAGAATGCTAGATTATATTCATATACTGCTTGTAAGGGTTTTTTCCCTCCTTGGGTGAGTTATTTCATTCATCCTAAAAGTGAGTGGGAAATGGCTTCCTCTTCTAATTCTAAAGTAACTGTGGAATGTGTTACCCAGCTTACATTCCATTTCAGGTTAATCAAATTTACAGAATAATCTAGTTTCCATTCCGTTTCATGTTAATCCTCCAATTACAGAATAGTGCGTACGCTTTATTTCCCTTTTCAAGCAACCAGAGCTTCGTTCTGTAGATGATGGTCAGGCAGGCATTAGAACGATCATGCCACCAGGATATGGTTCTCGTCTAGTGAATGTTCAAATGGAGTGATACCAAATCATGAGAAAATAAGAGGGAGAAGGGGTTCACCTTGCCAGACTACATAATCTAAAAGGATGAGGTTATTATTAATCAGAGGCATACATCAGTTACAAAAATACAGAGAATTAAAACTTGCTGATTAGCCAAGGAAAAACGTAAAAAGAAAATATTGAATCATATAATTAAGTCAAAGTAAAACAGTTTACCCTCTCAAGCTCTCTTTCTTTTATCTTTACCCAGTTTTCTACATTTAAGTACAAATAAGCGAAAGAGAACTTGAGAGGGTATACAAACAAGCTTTCTCTGTCGCCGACGATCCATCTAAAAGGAGAAAACTAGAATAGTTCAAGTCAGAATTCCATTATAAGTGATCTAATATTAATTATGGAACTCCAAGCTAGATTTCATACGATATTGCCGGCCTGGTCTCTCTGAGATGTTTCTCTTGTCAACAATTGCTTGTGATTCATCTTCATCCATTGCACAAACTCCATCAATGGTATCCTCAGCTGCAATTCCAATTGGCAAGCCTCTTCTATGCATGGCCTCCTTGTCAGTATCTTCCCGGATTTGTTTTGACTCACTGCAACTTTCTCCCATGATGATGTCACAAGCTTTCCTCCTCGGTATAAAAGTTATTGGTTTTGCAAGATCACTTGGAGCATCATCTGCCTGTGGCTCTGTAGCATTCGACCTCTTAACCTGCTTGACAAAGGCCATATATGCTTGCCGATTTGATTCATCATCAACATCACTAGAATCAAAAGTATAACAAGTATATTTTGAAGGGTTACGCATATAATCTGGAATTCCAGAAGGATAGTCCTGAGGCAAAGTAGACACCTCATTGGAGATCATAGCTTCCTCCTCTGTCAAGCAAGCTTCCCTTGGGACATTATTGGTTCTTTCAGGCCCTTCACTGCAATCATTTTTACAATATTCAGAATCAAATCGAACGCGTTTCTGTGACTTTGGATTTGACTCAGCATCCTTTCTCTTCAGAATGGATTTCAGGTTAACATCCTCAAAGGTGCTAAAGTGAGCATCCACGCCAGCCGTTGCATCACTATCAGACACCTGCAACGAATCAATCTTTTTAGCAGCTTCAGCATCTTCTTCAAGCCTTTTCTTAGCAGCTTCTTCATCTTCCTTGAGCCTAAGTTTTGCTGCAATGTGATTGGCACGTGGATCCCTACTGAAATCCCTGAATGTAGTTGGAAGCACATTGCAAGAATCTGCATCTATCTCATAGTCATTTACATCCTTCATGTAAAGGCGATCTCCGCTCTTCTCCCTGCCAACAGCCACTTTATCATACTCATCTTCCTCTTCCTGCAGAACAACCCCAGAGAGATAATGGCAGATCAGACCCTAATCTACAACCTTATAAGAATCCTAAGATCTGAGACAATATGATAAAACCAACAAGTTAAACCGAAGCATCTCCCTTCCGTAGCATGCTCATATGCATTTTATGGTTATTAGACAATGCGACATTGCCACTTACAATTAGTTTGTGAATTTTGCAACTCGGGTTTTGCTATTTCCTACTCGTAATTAAATTTCGACATAAAGGAAAGAAAACCATACTCGAATTAAAAAAAAAAAAAAAAAAAACCCAATTCTTTTTTAGGGGGAGAATTAAAATAACTCCAATTCACTTCTTATATATGCTTTTTACTAGTCCTAATAAAATTCATTCAAAGATTTAACTTTGTGAAAAAGTTTTTAACTTTGACATTTTCTCAGTAGAAAAGGCATATCCCTACAAACATAACTAGCTAGCTCAATTATATCATCAATATTCATTGAAAAAAGTAACCTCATAATCAAGAGTACAGTCCCTTCCAATGGAAGACTTAATCTCCCACTCTTCATCATTATAATCCTCTGGTTTAACACCTTTACTCGACGACTCAAGTTCTTCTTCTTCCTCCACATCCTCGTCGTCCAGGTCATCCAGATCCTTCTCCAGCTCCGCACGGAATTTAATGGGCTTCTTCTTCTCAGGAGAGTTCTCCTCCGATTGGGGACTCTCCTTGTCTCGGTTCCACTCTCGTTTCTCGATTTCATCGTCGGTGAGGCTCCAAAGAGAGCTCAAAGACTGCGACTTTGAATTTGAATTTGTAGAAGAAAAGGATGAAGCTAGGGAGCCGAAAGCTTTGCCGACTCGGACATTGAAGCTGTCTTCCATGGTGGTAGGGTTGAATTGAAATATCAATATTGGGACGCAAGGTATGGTCATTAAATAGAGCGTTCATGAAGATTTGGGTATGGAATGTGGATAGAGTTGCGACCAAACAGGCATGATTGGCCCATAACAATGTAGCCCAATAATGCTTTGCGGAGGAGGCCTGGGCCTTTCTTTCAAAACGGTAAATCCATGGCTTGTTGTTTTTCAGCTTTGAGCTTGATGTATAAAACGTTAATCAAATCTACTTTGAGTATTAGTAGCAGATAGACGGAAGTGAAGTAGAGATGACCATTGCATTTTGGTAAACTGAAATGAAAGTGTAAATATAAGAAAATTAGGAGTAGTTCTATTTGTTTATCAGGTTTAATTAATTGATAACTGGATGAGATGTCATATTCTCGGGCATTAAGAGTAGTTCTATTTGTTTATAAGCTTTCCTTGGACTTTATAGCTTAATTAGCATGCCACTAACATCTGTTTTTCTAATAGTAAATTATGACATGCAAGCTGCTTGTCATTTCCCTTTCCTTCTAACTTATATTCCTTTTTTATTACAGGAGCTTGATGATGATGGAAAAGTGCTCCTTAGGTTGGAACCTGTGTACAAGGTTGACCATTCAAATTATTCAAATTATGGTTACGTTTTTTATTGCATTGTGTTTATCATAATTATGTATATAATGAAAATTATTGTGATTATCAAGGTCATGAATTTTTTTTAATTTTTCATAATTTATTATAAAATATAGTAATTATAATTATAATAATAATAATTAGTACTTATAATTTTTAAAATAATTTATGATATTTTAATTTTTATTTATAAATTAAAATAATTTTTTCATGTTTTGTAGTTATAATTTAGAATGAAAATGCATATTATAAATATTTTTCTTTATTATACGCATGAAATTCAAATACATAAATATTATAAATACATATGATGAAAAAATATATATCTTATATGAAGTTAATTAATATTATAATTAATTTAATTAAAAGATTAGTGATAAATGTTTTAGATATTTTTATAACGTATGTTTATTGGGAGAATATGATAAAACTAACTAATTGACTATGAATAAATATACTTTACTATTAGATCAAATTTTCAAATGCAACATTTTAAATAATTAAATTAAATCAAAATAATATAATAGTAGCAAACTAATCTTTATTAACTAATAAAAATATACAATTAACAATAACATTAATAATATTAAAATTATATAAAAAACTACTAACTACTTTAAAATGATGGTAAAAAAAATAAATTCACTAATTAATAGCTCAATTCTCCTTAAATTTTCATCAAAATCAATAAAAAAATTTTCTAAAATATCCAATTTCTCACCAAATCATTTGTTTTTTCCTTTCTATATTTTCACCTAAATAAGAAAAAACATAATACAATGTATTTTTAAATATCACATGTACCTAAAATTTAAGTTAAAAAAATAAAAATATTTATGAATGATTGATTTGGCTCAACTGAACTTAAACCCATCAAACATTTCGCTCGTTCTCTCTAAAAATTTGATTGACATATCCCGTGCTTCCCCTATCCTCTAACTTCTTTCAAGTTTCATCCACGTTATTTTTATCTTCTTTCTCAATCCAAGCCACTGAAGACGCTACTATTGAACCCAAGCCTCTTATCTTTTTATCTTGACAGTTAAAAAATATTTTATTTTTTTTCAATTCTCAAAGTCTGAGATAATTATTGATTGGCTTTAATAATATATTCTTTGATCTTGATTGAAATTTGTATTTACTAATTAAGTTGAAAATTTAAAGGTTTTTATTGTTTAGAATGTAATTTTTTATATGAAATTTTTTAATTACTAAAAAAAGAATAAATTTTCGAATTATATTTTGAACTGAAAATAATAATTGTGGTTATAACATCCCGCTATAACTGTTATTGTCCGCTACACAATTATTTTACGACCGTGAATAGTTGTAATGATTGTGAATTTCATTTACAGTCTAATTTTAGGTATGTAGCAATGGCGGAGACTACTAAAACCGTGAAATAGCGGCCGTGATGCCGCTTACAATCACTATTTGAAACCTTGGGTTGGCCTTTCATACTTCACTTAAATCATCTGGTACATGCTTTGAGAAAATTTTCACCCAGGATTTGCCTTTAATATCAATGGCTTTCCACTTGAATCTCAAACAAAAGGGAGTGGTTTTCCACACTTTAGGAAAAGTGCTACCATAGACTCAGTTACTGAAATTTAAAATATCTTTTGGTGGTCCTTTGTTCTAAGCCCGGCAGTTCTCTACAAATAGCTTTCCCATGTTCCACAAATTCTAAAAATTGCTATTTTTTTCTGCAAATGGTTTTCAAGGTGAGCCAACCCTGTGAGTGTGACAGTGTAGAAAAGACCATGATTATTATTTTTGTATAATCCACAAACTCTTCTTCGCACTATGACTGTTTATTATGCCCGCAGATGTTTGTAAATGAGAAAATTTTTCTCTTTTGCCATGTCATAATCTTTGTCATTGTCATGCATGAATTTGATATTAATAGGCCACATAGGATTCTGATGTACTAAACTCAAAAGTCAGTCAAAATGAAATATAATGTAATGTAATGGGATCATGTTGTTTGCAACTCTTAGTTGTTCCTTAAGAATTAGAAGCCAAACTTGTTAGAGCAAACAGAAGATCGAGATCGGCGACATCTGCATCACACTTTCACAATTGCTAGAACCAGATAGGCAGGCAGCAGCATGACGATGACTTTACATTACTGTCATTTGCATGAACCCACGTCATCAAAAAGAAAACAGAAAGCTAAAAAACACTGCTCAATTCTCCAGATCTTTCATGAGCAGATGGAGATTACTCCGAAACGGAAAAACAAACATAAACAGGGTGAATCAGAGGTGCTCCTCATGACAACTAAATAATTAATCTCATCCTTCTGACAACAAAAAAAAGAAGAAGAAGAAACAGGGGAGGAAGGGATAATTAGAGGCATAAAAAATATAGCAAGGGTATTAAAGTAATTAGACGAAACCAACATGTCCTAAAGCGACGCTAAAGTCGGTCAAGATGCGGCAGATTCTCTCTCCTGTTTCCCTCAAACTCAAAGACGAAAAAGAAAAGATTTTGGATCTGAAATAATAATGCGTGAAAAGCCCAAAGGCTGAAACGCCAACGCCGTCGCAGAACAAAACACTCTCAAAACAAAGCTTTGAAAATTTTCATGTCCATCTTGCCCTCAGAAGCTCAAAGTTCCAAAGCGTCGTCTTCTCAATCTCTCTCTCAAAACCCTAATTCCAATCATGGCAACTACCAACCCTCTCCTCCTCCAATCTCCTTCGGATCTCTTCATATCTCTGATCCTCCCCCTCCCTTCCCTCTCTCCAATTCCCCTCCAGGTATTCCCTGCGTAACTATGCGTCAATTTTCTGTTTTTCCTTCTCCTTCTTCCAATTCTTCTTGTTCGTTTGATTCTTCCACGAATCCTAATCTGGGTTTTTCTTTTTTTTGTTCGTAATAAAAGCTTGTCTTAAAATCTGAAACTCATACGCACTGTTTTTTTGGCAGGCCCCTTGGCTTCCGCTGCACAAGGTTCAGCTGGATCCTCCAAAGAGGTAAATTTCATACTAATGCTCTTGGATGCGATTTATTACCTATCCGATTGCTGTTTCTTTCCTAAAAAAATAGGGTAAATAGTAAACTTTACAACTGTTGTGTATGCGTCCTTGTCAACCATTAGGGAACTCAACAGAAAACATTGGAATCGAAGATACATGATGTTTTAGATGTAAAAGTTTGTCCTTTTATTGGTAATAAGTTAAAAATGACTTGCTTTTCTGTTCGGCTTAGGTGAGTGAACTAGACACGCCAATTGGTAAGAGAACTTCACTACACGAAAACAGGGGGACAAATTCCCAATCTAAAGGGAAAATGTCCGCAGACATGGTTTCTACTCAAAATCATAGAGGCACTGGGCCTCATGGAAGTGCTACACATTCGGCAGGAAGAAGAGCTCAGATGATGAATGGTAATCACTTGCTGAATTTTCATTATGACCCTATTGCTCGCTCTCGTCCGCAACCACGGGGTCCTCCTCCAAGAATGCAGCGGAAGATAAAGCCTTATAACAAAGATTTATTCCTTCAGGCAAATTTCAAGTTTGTTGTGTTGGATACCGGAAGATACATGCCTGAATCGATGGATCCAGATAAGATGTTGCTATGGGAGGATATTATTTGTGTGAGGTATTCTACCCCATTTCCAGTGCAGTGTCCAATTTGTTTGGAATACCCTCAATGCCCACAAATAACCTCATGTGGACATATTTTTTGCTTCCCATGTATTCTGCAATACTTGTTAATGGGTGAGGAGGATCAGAAAGGTGAGTGCTTCAGAAGGTGCCCTTTATGTTTTGTGATGGTATCCCAGAAGGATCTGTATACCGTCCATATTGAGAATGTTAGACAATACTCTGTGGGTGATACTATAAAGTTTATGCTTCTAACGCGACAAAAAGATTCATTTGTTCCATTTCAGAAAAGTAAAAAAGAGACGATTACCATGCAGTGTGGTGAAAAGGACATATATGATCCCTTTTCAAAGTTTACATTTACGTCAGATGTTGATCTGTCAGTCAGACAAGCGATGTCAGATTTAGACAGCTGGTTGGCCAGAGCAGATTCAGGACTTGTTGATGATTTGGAGAAGCTTCCATATGTTTGTGCTGCAATGGAACAATTAGAACAAAGGAAGAAGTATTGGAATGAGCACCGAGCCTCTGATAGCAATAAAGCTAGTATAAACACTATTTGTATGGTGGAGTCTCATGGACTTTCATCAAATGCATCCAAGGCTAATGTTAATAGACATGGTTGTGGAGGGGGAACACTATCTTCTGGGGCTGATGAGCAAAATAAGTGTCTATATAGCCCAAAAACAGACATGTCAAATGCAGGGAGTGGTTTGGATCAAAGTAGTGTTGTTGCTGAACCACTAGAAGCCCAAGACACATTTTTATCTTCATCATATGAAGAAAGCAAGAATTTGCAAGAGTGCTTAGGTGGCTTCAGAGATGCAAAGGACAATGACTCTTATACCTTCTACCAGGTGACTATAATTTAAGATGGTAGTTTAACTTCTATATTTATCTTTTGTTATTACAATTTTATATTGGCTGGGAAAGGAAAGAATAATTTTAGTTGTGAATATTTTATATTAGTTCACTATGTGGCCATCTTCCTATTCAATAAAGTGGGAAATGATTTTTTATGGCCCTTTTTTTAATAAGCTACAAGTCTACGATATATTAGAGTTATCATGCTATTTGAGAGATTTTCTGTTCTAATTAGCTTGCTTAGTTTTATTTATTTCTATAATGTGTGACAGCTTAAGCATTTGCATCTGCTAGTACTGGTGATAATGAATGATGGTATGACTCTTTAAGTGTTAAATATTTACCTTTTGTAGTTTCTTATCTTTCACTTCTATTTGTTACAGGCAGTGGATGGGCAGAACATCATTCTCCATCCTTTAAACGTGAAGTGTCTCCTACACCATTATGGAAGCTATGATTCATTTCCACACAGGTTTGACGGAAGCCATGATTTATTGGTCACCATGTGTCTTAAGATATGGGACAATGAAATTTAGAAATATATGGAATCATTGACTGGGAAATTGAAATATAAAAGGAGCATTTGGAAAATCACTATTTCTTGGTGCTATCTATTTTTTGTGGATTGGATGCTAATAAGACTTGTATAACTCCAGGCCTTTCCTATCTGTTGTATGTGCTTCTTCCCAAATGGTTAAAAAAATGTGCGTCATGACATTTGGAAAAATACTATTTCTTGTTGCTATCTAGTTTTTGTGGATTGCATGCTAATAAGACTTGTATAACGCCAGGCCTTTCCTATTTGTTGTGTGTGTGCGCGCTTTTTCCCAAATGGTTAAAAAATGTGCATCATAACATTTTCTTTTTGATGGCCAGTATGTTTCAATTTAGTCTTTTTAATCAGTACTTATTAATTGCAGAATAAGTGGAAGGATTTTAGAGTTGGAAACCATCACTCAATCAGAGGCAATGAGGAGGCGTTATCGATACTTAAGTCATTTTTCCTTAACGACAACTTTTCAGGTATGGTTTTATCGCTGCGTGTTCTGATTCCAGATCTTGCTTTGTCTATCTTTTTCAAAAGAATTAGCCTTCTGTTTCAGCTTTGCGAAATTGATTTGAGTGGAGTTCTTCCTCCTGATTCTTTGCTTCCATTCATGGATGAAATCAAGAAGCGTGAGAAACAGAGGAAGCAGCTGGCTAGAAAGGTACGATTATATGTGCATTATCATTTTAATACACTTACCACATGCAAGCTTTAATGTTATTGGTGGAATCCAAGTCTATTAGGTGACTATTGGTTGCTTGATTTAAAACTGAAACATTAATTCACTTGTTATGGTGTTTAGCAAAGCCATTTAAGTTTAGAGTCAAAAGGGAGTTGTTTTAAAGGTCAAGGACTGTCATTATGGGTTATCATAAATTGTAGTTCAAGGTTTTTCTGTTATTTTATTTTTTTGGAGAAAGTGTAACTTGAGTTTGTACATGCTTTTAGAATAATTTTTTATTCTTATTTATAGGAGCGAAAGGAGAAAATCAAGGCTGAAGTTGCGGCTGCAGTGCAGTTTACACCCATAATATCCAGTTTTGGGCAGTCCTCTTATAATGATTCCCCTACATTCTCTATGGATGACTTTGAAGGTAATACCGTGTTTGATTAGGTATAATATCTTGCATTTGGTCTTATCAGTATGCCTTGCATTTTAATTTTGAAGTTTTTGTCATGTTTGATCCTTCTGGACCCAGCAACATTATGAGAAACTTGTACTGTGTTGCAATGGTTTTCTCATTAAGCTGGTTGGTTCCGGATTTGCTATATTAAAGGTTGTTCTAGTTGGTCTTTTATTTGCTACTTAAAGTTTTCAATGCGTGAACATATCATTACCTTATATTATGTTTTTTAATGTTCTCCTGTGTCAGCCCTTCGAAGTTCTACTGTGATATCATCAAATCCCTCAGTTCCTGGGGAGAGGAAACTGTTCTCAAACGTTACAAGGCTTGGTTTTGCTGCTGCACATGATTCTCCTTCATTGAAAATGGGGGAAGGAAATAGCTTGCATAACAATGAGGTGGCAACTGATTCCGCAAGTGTAGCTGGTGCTGCTCTGATGCTAATATTTAATGTTATTTGTTCTAGTTGATATTTTGAAAAGGATATGATCCAAGTCTTCTCTTTCTCCAGTTCTGCAGATCTTGATATTTTGAAAAGGATATATCATTAATCTGTTTCTCAAATTCCTCAACCCTAGGCTAACCTTCTCTCTTTTGTGTTTCTTCAGGCTCAAGGAATTCTGTCCCAACTTCTTTTGCCAATGTAATATCTAGAGCAAAGGCTGTTGAAAATTTGGACACCCCTAATATGAATGAGATGGGAAAGAAAGGAAAGAAAGCAAGTCGGGTCCTATTTTCAACAGCTGGTGGTCGACGCTATTGATATCTAGGCTTGAACTCAACTCAACTTTCTTTAGCTTCATATAATCAAAGAAAAAAGAATCAACTCTGTTTAGCTTCTATCTCATCTTTGTAAATTAACATGACTGGTTTTAGGTGACATTGGAAGAATAAAATTTAAACATTTTCTGTTATGTAAATCCATCGTTCAGTGCTTCTTCTTCCTTTTCCTTTTCCTTTTAATAGTCAAAACTTGCTTCATTTAGCCATCATGTCAAATTGTCATGCCTCCCGAAACATGACAATAGAAGACAGATGTTTTTCATGCATGGATAAGACTCGCGGAAATATCTTAAAAAGTTCCGAAATATCTCCAATATGATTGAAATAGGCCAAAGTTTCTCCTCCTCTTAAGACGGTGCTGGTTGCCATCGAGTAGAAAAGGAACCCTTACCCAGATTGAGTGGCAAATATCTTGCTCTCTCTAACCTCCTAGCCTATAAATTGAATTGCCTCTCTCATTGAAATTTATTACTCACCACTTTAATTTGATAATTACAACCATCCAATTTAGTCCAAAATGCAGGCAGTAGCTTTGAGCATTGCGCCACCCCTTCTCCCTAATTTCTCTCCCTCCAAAAAACTTGTGGTAAGTTCCTCTCCAAGGCAAGGCCGCTCAATTGCTTCCTGTAGCGGTCGCGTTTCATTCAAAGCAACCGCCACCACCTATGACACTTACACAGTTGACTACAGCTCTATGCTCTCGTAAACCTTTTTTTTTTCTTTAAACTAGGCTAGATAGATCTGCTGGCTGCTTAAACAATACTAATACTAATTGAACCATAAAAAAGGCAATCGCTAGAGCTACGCCACCTAGCCTAGGATATATTGTAGGATAATTGTAAATAAACTATCAATTGTTTTGGTCAACTATAACTGGAATTTATACTATATGCCACGCCATACGGTGATCAGCAAAATTTCTACGTACTTTAATTTGTGTTTCCAGTTATGATCTTCTTCTTAATTTGTATATGAGCTCCGTTGAACACCAAAGCAATTTGCACTTATGGCAGTGTGTTTCCGGCAGAGGCATGTGAGACAATTGGCGGAGATGCGTGTCGGGCAAATATATACCCTGAAGTAAAGCTACAATCAGAGGCCAGAAACGACTTTCCAAGGACCGCAACAGAGTTGATTGACAGAGAATATCTCGAGTACAATGATGCAAAAACGTATTTTCTCAAGAAACCAAATCTATTCTATAATTAATTATCATTTTTCACAATATCAGTGACTGAAATTTTAGAATAGTTTCATATTCTTTGCAGTAACGTAACGATAAGTAATCTGTTCCACATGCAGAGTTTTCTGTGCTGAGGCTTGCGATGATCTGGGTGGAGAATTCTGTGGCCGAGAGTATCAAAGGGAAGTGTATTAGAAACAACTGACCAATCCATGTGGTTCTAGTGTCCAGTAACACCAGGATCGTTCAACATTCAGGATTTCCTATGTATATATACTTGATTTTTACTTGTCTATGTAACTACTTATACTTTCCTTAATGATATATAGTTCCATTTGGATAAGAAAAGAATAAAAATTCTATACGTCTTTGCAACAGCTGCCAATAATATTATGTACAGTACAATAATCAAGTTTCTTGAGCCTTACCGGCAGAGAACCATTCAGTCGATTGAGAAAAGCTTCTTAATTATATATAATTAGAATGAAGTCCCAGAGGCTGTGAATTATTCTCTTGAAAAGCTACATGGTTTTGATCTATAAATAAGCTTGACATGTTATAACTGCCAACCATGCAAAAATAAGAATTATAAGATATGCTGCACCTAGCTATATCACAAATTATGACAGTCCATTTTTATTAATATCAGGTGCGGCAAGCTAATTTGAAAAGTTCATCAACAAGTAATTACTGATATTTTTTGATGCGACGGATCAATAATGATGATGTAAAGTTATTATGAGATACTATCCGGTCTGGAGGCCCGAGAGCCTGCCTTTCCTTCACAGTTTTATCCTTTGAAAAAAGATGTTTAGATAGGGCAAGCGTGACCGACCGTTGCTTATAAAAGATGCCATTTAACGTTTTCATGATATGCCTGAAAGGAATATAGTCTCTTGGAATGCCCTGTTCTCAGCCCATGCTCAAAATTGTGATGGTGACCCGACCCTTGACTCGTTTGAAATGACGGTTCAGTCAGATTTCCAGCCAGATTCTGTTAGATTATTCAGTCTTTTATCTTCTTGCATTGTGGGCTTGTTCAAGAAGGGTTAAGATATTTCAGATCCATGACTCAAATCCGTCACCTTGTTCCAAAGAAGGAACATTATGCATCTATGATCGATATGTTATGCCGAGTGACCGGTTTAATGATGCAGAAAAGTTGATGGCTGAAATGCCATTTAATCCTGATTAGATTATGTGGTCACCAGTTCTAAATTCTTGTAGGATTAGTAAGAACCAAGAACCGGCCATGAAAGCAACAGACCAGCTTTTCAGAATGGAGGTGCTTAGAGATGCCACTGCTTATGTCAGCATGTCTAATATTTGTGCAGTAGCCTGCCAATGGGACAACGTTGGGAAGGTAAAGAAGACAATGAGGGAGCGTGGAATTAGAAAGGTTCTAGCTTATAGCTTGGTTGAAATAAGACACAGGGTTCATGTGTTCTCAGAAAATGTTGTGTTACATCCTCAAACGGAGGGAATCCGGAAAAGATTGATACGTTGTCAAAAGAAATGGAAAAGGAAGGTTACAAGCCTGATATAAGTTGTGCCCTTCATCATGTTGATGAGGAAATCAAAATTGAGTCTCTTAAAGTACCACGGTAAGTGGCTAGCAATTGCTTAAGGGTCACCGCCTATACTGGTGATGAACTTACGGACATGCACAGACTGCCATGCTGCAATAAAGATAATCTCAAAGATTGTTAGAAGGAAAACTACAGTGAGGGATTCAAACAGGTTCCATCATTTTAAGGTTGCGATCCGTTCTTGTGGAATTATTGGTGAGTTTATAGAGGGGTTATTGCCTTGTTAATCACCTTGAAATTGCATGCTTAACTTATCTCTACTCCGTACAACATATACCACTCTGGTAGAATCACAGTCTTAGACTAGGGAACGATTGTATTCATTTGATAATTGTTTTGAAAAGACAGTCATTCCTGAGTTGATTCATGCAGCAGTGAAACTTATCTCGCATAGAATGACTGCTCATTATTTTGGGCATTTCACATGTGTTAATGTTATCATGGGCATTTCAATAAGAAACCAGAAGTGAAGAGAGCAACGGACTCACTGATAATGAGACTTCACAGTGATTCGATATTCTTAACAACCTGCTTGGTGCAATCTAAATGGCATTGGCAAGTAAGGAAATGATCGTGACATAATCGAACTTGGAATTTGTACATGAAAACTGGAAATAGATTGGAAAACCACATCACTTCACAGTCGGGGCATTTTTGAGCCTAAAGTTTCCACAACATTACAGCAAAACAATTGTATTAGAGAGTAGGCAAAAACAGTAAATATCCTGAAGCCAGTACTCATGCAGCTCAACCTCAAGGCGACTTTGGACTTGAAGAATTATTGACAGGCAAATTAGTTGATGAAGAAATATTCACTGGTCTTGCCTGCCTGGTGTTGGGTTTAGTGAACCAAGTTGTATACAGAAATTGTTTGTGAGGCCCCACATGGTTGCATATTAGCCTAAGTTTCTGTCTCTTCCTCATCCATCTCAGCACGATCTACATATGCCTCTTGCTTGTAAGTCCTCTCAATCCAACATCCTGAAAACATTTTTACCTCAACAAAACCGTTTAGTCAAAGGTTATCGCAGTCTCAGGCAAGCACACGATGATACAAGACTTATAAACGAACATTTCAGATTTGTTAAAGAAACATGTCACCCAGGAAGGGCCCAGAAAGATTAAACAATGATGAAATTGCGACAGGCCTTTCTTCACTCTTGGCTTAATGCAACATGAAAAGAGAAAATTAAGATACGTACAAGAAAACGGACCTTGACCCGTTCCCAATTATCACCAACGGTGAGGGGGCCATGCTCCTTGAGAATTTCAAAGTTGAATCTGGTTATGGTCTGCGTTTGCTCTGGTGGCGTTTTGAGTTCGATCGGCTTCATTTTTGGCTTGGGTTTCGTTGAAAAGTACCGAATCGCGTTGAAAAGTACAGAATCGTACTCCCAAACATCTTTTATCTCTTTCTGCTTCCTTACGGAATTTGCAATAGATGAACAGAGTTTAATTTCATTCAACTAAACTGAACAAACTCAAGCTTAGGAAGAGAAAAAACAAAAAAGCAAGTAAAAGAATCAAAACTTAACTCCTTTCAAAACTGCTATTGCAACTTTAAATTATTGATTGCCATTAATTCAAATGACAAGAAGCCATAAAGCAGGCGAATCAAATGGGTGGCTGGCCGGCTGCTCGGTCCAGGTTGCATTGAGTAAACTCCATAAGAGCTCTATTTTATACACCCTTTTGCCCTTATTCTTTCTGGGCATTGATTTTGGAGTTCTTTTTGGGCCAGAAAGACAATGCACATTAGTCCATTAGAGAACTGAGAAATTTCTTTAGCTTATCAGACCCAGATGATTTTGCCACCTGTTGGCTACTTCATGAAAAGATGCAAAGATAGAAGAAATTAAACTGTTTTGTTTCTTGTTCGTGGCTTCTTCCTGGGAAGTTTATTTTATTAATGGCGTGAAACTTAAACCAGCCTTACGCCCTTAATCACAGATAAAAAACTGCAGAAAAGGGTAGAAATTTTGTCTTCCTTCCTCTACCTACCCCTTCTTTTCTTTCAAATGCGTCTTTAACTGAGACTGAGGTATCAGTTTTAAAGTTTTTGCTCTTCTATTAAACATTTTGCTCCACGCCTACATCTTGATTCTGACTGAGGTTATTGAATATTTCTTCAGGAACTGTAGCCTTGAGCAATTCTTTAGACTGACCATGCCTAAAATTCAGACCACTTCCCGGGGATATCCCTTTCAGACTGAAATCTAACTTGTATGCTGTAATATTGCTTTTCCCTTTTCTTGTACAAAGTACATCATTGCCTATGACATATTTTGAAATGTATAGCAAGGAACAATTCCTATTTACTTTTGAGCATAAAGTAAACCAAATTAAGCAAAGGTTGTAGATCATAGTAAAGAAAAGAAATCCATAAAATCGGTAGATCATAAGTAGCAAAGTTTGTCGCTTGAATGGGGATTTTTATCAAATTATGCACTTTCGTATTCACCAAATCATTGATGAAAACCATATTCTGAAATGAAATGAAAAAACATTTTTGAACACATGGAGGTTTCAATTAAGGCTCCAACTTCCCAGAAGCATGTATAAAATGATACCAATTCCACTGCCATTTACCTAATATATCACAACTAGAATACATAATCCAATACCAGCCCATAACATATTCATCATTCATCTCATCTTCAGAAGAAAAATCCAGAAAGCAGCAAAAACTAAAAAGCAAACAGAGAATTCTAATAAATCAGATTTCATTCCCAGAAAAAGCATAACTTCTTTGAACTAAAAGAAACAATACAGCACATATAACATTAAAGAAAGAACCCAACCCAACAAAGGTTGCTTTTTGTTTTGTTTTACTTGGATTTCTTGTTAACAAATTCATCAGGGACGACTTGAAGCAACTTCTTCTGCTTAGACTTAGCAATCTTCTTCAAAGTACTAGGATTAGTAATCTTCTGAAACTTGGTCCCAGACCTCAATATATTCTCTTTCTTCTTCTTCTCTCTCTCCTCTCTCTTCTTTCTCTTCTCGATCTTATTTTGCCTAATCTCCTCCTTCAACTCATTCATCCTCTCTCTATAAGCTCTCTTTATTTCCTTTTGCCTCTCTCTTTCTTCCAAGGTCGTTCTCTTTATACTCACGCGCTGCGCCGACGCACGATGCTTCCGTGGCTGCTTCCAGTTCCGACCCGACACCTTTCCCGCAATCACACCATCGTAGGTGGGTCGACCGAAGGAGGGTTTGTTGGGATCGTCCGAGGAAGACAGGGCTGAGCGCTTGGCGGGAGGGGGACAAGATTCATCAACATCCATGAACGTGGCAGCATCGTTGCTATCGGCCGTATCGGAGGCTATTTTGGATTCTTCGCGCTTCCTCTTGTAAGTTTTGCCGCCGAAACCTTCATCAAGGCGGCGGAAATCGATTGTGCAAGCCATGGCGGTGGAGAAGCTAAACCCTACAAAGTTAGGCTTTTGTGGGAACTTAGCGTTGTATATATATATATATATACATACACACGTGTGTGTGCTAAACCCTATAAAGTCAGGCTTTCGTGGGAACTTAGCGTTGTGTGTGTGTGTGTGTGTGTGTGTGTGTGAGGTTTGACATAGGCTGTTGCATTGCATTGTTGGCTTTTGCTGAAGCCCGTGAAAACATGAAGAATCGAACCCATTAAAAGAGCCTTCACAAGTTAATTGGGCTAATGATCTGTGTGTGTGTGTGTGTGAGGTTTGACATGGGCTGTTGCATTGTATTGTTGGCTTTTGCTGAAGCCCGTGAAAACATGAAGAATCGAACCCATTAAAAGAGCCTTCACAAGTTAATTGGGCTAATGGATCAGACTGAGCTTTAGCCCATGTTAATCTGGAGATAAGAACTTGGACCAATTAGTTATTGTCTTACCCTGCTGATGTTAATCGGGGTTTTGGGTAGGTGGCTCAGCTTATGCTACCCATGAAAACTGAACCAACAAATAGGCCTAGTTGAAGAAATCAATAAGCTTATGCCCATTAAGGCCTTGAAAGGAAGGCAACGGAGTCATGCATTTTCCAAAAATATAGTTGGAGTTGGAAAAAGTTAATAAAGCTGAGAGTGCTTACACAGCTATCCATAAAGCAGCATGGAGAAAGTTACTTACAAAGCAGCCTTATGTCCGGAAGGAAATCAGAAATAGAGAAGCGAAAACGGACTGGCATAAGTTAGTTTGAGTTCCATCTTTCTAGGCTAGGCATGCCATTATCTCTCGGATGACAAGGCAATACTTGATAGATTGCCAACGAAGGAGGTGTCAGTTCAAATGGGGGCATTTAAGTTCGTTGGATTATGCTTGTTTGGTCATGCAGAGGTAAGTAGGAACGAAGGATCATTATTCTTTACTTGCTCTTTTTCTAAGCGGTATGTGGGAAAGTGCTTGTTGCTTGTGGTAGGTGATCTCCGTCGTCTTAAGGCTGGCTTGAAATGCTTATATTTACTATGGAAGGAAAGAAATTGCAGGCTTCATGGAGGGAGGAGCTGTTCTGATCAGCAAATATTGTTTAGATGTCGATTAGCTGAGGTTAAAAATGTAGTTAATGATCCTGTCAATAGGGCTCTTTACAAATTGGGGCTTAATGTGATTGTATGCTATCAACATTCAAATTAAATTTTCTACTCTATTTATTTAACATATATACACACATAATAGTATTAGTATATAACCAACCAATCAACAATTCAATGCAACTTTTTCAAAAGTTTCGATTGTTTGAATCACCGTTAGACCAGTGAGTCTGCCTAACTTAATGGCAGCTCTGGGTGCCATCAACCCATTCCAAAAAATGTTAACCATTTGTCGCATCCATCAAAACCCTAGTTGAAAACCTATGCATAAATCATGAATGAAGAGATATAAAACATCCAACCATAATAATCAAATCTTCATCCAGCAACAAATATCATCTATATATAAAGGTAGAGAACAAGGAGATTTTATTTCTAAAAGCTGAAACTACTAAAGAAAAACTCAATCATAATCTTGTACCTCTCCAGTAAAAACTAAGAAATTAACATATCTGCTAAAGATGCTTGCTTCCACCACCTACAAATGTCAAGAACCTAAACACATTCTACTTGAAATTGGCCCTTTACCAATGGGATGAGAAGCAAATTGAATTTACAGACTACCCCCAAGACATAAGACTACAGTTAGTGCCTCTGTTCATCAGATAAAGCTATTCAAGTCGCATTATACCATGGAAGCCTGCTGAATCCAAAAGTACTGCTTTGATTTGTTCAGGCAATACATCCTGGCCTTCCCTGCATTGCTGTTAAACAACAAATCAAATCATGAATAATCAATTTCTTGATCCAAATATGAATATCTACATATGAATACTAAACACCTGAAAACTTTTCTTGTTTATATGTTACCAACACAGTTCCTGATGAGTTTGTAATGCTTTTGACCAAAAGTACAATTGAGATGATTGCACAGCTCCAGCTTTCAAATTTTCAAACTCTGTCTTTGTTTAGCATTTGACAAAGCAGCATCATTTAATCTGGACTATGAAACTAAAGTTCAGGGGAAAATGCTCTTCAATGTCTTATTATTTGATTTACATAACCATTTGTGATACTAAATGATAGGTGCTGAGTTGTCTCCTCCAGTTTTCTATATCATGTTTCCTTGGTGGCAATCTTAGCCTTTATTATTTTGTCAATCTGGTCAATCCTGGAAATGGCTTCACACTGATCTCAGGAGTAATTCTTTAGTGAACTAAGATCAACAATTATTAACCATTAGCAGTAAGTTAACCTTCAAAAGTATGAACAGATACATTTAGAGAGGGGAGAGCCAGGTACGGAGGAAGGTTTAAACATTTAGGGCAACAGAGAAAAATGTGTATAAAAAAAATACCTAGCATGGGTCCCACTGAAAACCACGATTCTTACTTCAATCCATGTGCAAAATAGTACAAGTAATCTGGCTAGACAGATCCTATACAACAGTACAAAGGGAAGAAAGTCCTCAATCTCAAGCTTTTGACTCATTGTCTATACCCTTATTTGGACCTGCCATTTACTAAACTGGTCATGTTTTCAACTACAGTCCAACCTAGAAAAGATACAGAGAAAATAACATAGTTTCTTCGATAAATGCCTATTTCATTGTAGTTGTAATAGTTAAACACAAGAAAGAAACTCATTTTGGAGCCTTGGATTTTGCGCTGGAGTTGGCTTGGCTTGGTGAGAAACCACATTCATCAGAATTGTTACAGAGATGTTAGTTGCAATCATATGAGAAGAACATATATAATCTGTTGGATAGACATGCAAGATAAAACTGATAGGAGATGATGACAATAAGAGAGGAAAGAAGTGTACCTCAGCTCGGAACACATCCAGTGCAAACCCATTGAAACAGCTGATTACAGCTTGCTGTATATCCAACCCAAGGTTGTCTAGAGCTCTCATAGTGGAGAGCAAGAGACCTGGCCTGCAAGCACAAAACATGTGAATGTTGACAGCCCTTCCTTCCCTTAACCGAACCTCCACCTAGAAATAACACAAATACAAATGTAAAAGTTAGGAGTTTACTTGTGTTATTGCTCAAAAATTTAGGAAAAAAAAATTCTGTAACAAGTTATATTAACACAACCTAGTGAAAGATTTGTGCAATCATATATCTATCCATATATGTATATAGATCTTGTCTCATGTTTGACTAAACATGAAGAACAATGTTGACAAGGGAAATAACAAATATCACACTTCACAACCAACAAGAAGCTTTGGAACATTTATAAGCAGAAAACAAGAAAATGATCAATAAAATAAAAAGAAGGCAAAAAAGCTAAAAAATTAAAATTTCAGCCTCCTCAATCTATCATATTTACCAAACGTAGATTATTCTACTTTTCATGATAAATTCCATCAAAAACCTACCAAGTTTGATGAGGACATGTTCTATGTATAAATGGATGAAACATTGGACCCCATTGTTCATGCAAGTATATACGCAAGAACTCACTTGTTGAGTTGATTTAACAGAGCACAGTTAACTTTCCAAAATCAACTTCAAACACAAATCATTTGAAAGTCTACCAGTCCACAGTCAAAAATAGAAAGAGTACAATTTTGTGCAACAAACTAGCTCAAACATAAGCTTATTTGTCTTGTTGATATCATGCAAGTCACAATCAGACAAGAACACATAGGCAACCCTGTTTTGCGTCTCTCACCTTCAAGATTTTAAAAATCATCACATTTAAAATTTTTGCCTAGTAGGTAAAAGGACTTATATAAGTTATAGCATCAGTTTCTCATAGGAATTATGCAAATCAAGCAATTGTGGAGAAACTTGAGAAAATAAATAGAGCAAAATAAGTCAATATTAAGTTCAAAAATTTACCTTTGCAGTTTGGGTTTTAGGGCTTGTCAATGAGCTAGGGCATAGTTCTTCCTTGACACTACATGGAAGGGTAGGTGGGGTGGGTGTCAACGGGAGGAAGCTTGTAGACGGTGGCATCAAAGAGCCAGGTGGGGTGGATTCAAGTTCATTATGTAGATCATTGATCCTTTGTAGAAGCTCCTTTAAGTAATCAATGGTGTCCCCAAGTATTGAAGCCCTATCCATCTGTGACATAATAAGCACAATCAGTAGCTGTCATGAATACCAGTTTCAATTAAGGGAAAAAGGAGGTAATACACGCCTAACTAAAATAACCACAAAAACAAAGTAATTTAAAAGCAAATGTGTAAAAAACTAAAATCGAGCATGCATCATGCATGTTATCAAAGTCTCAATAGAAATTGGGTGACATAGCATTCAACTCAAGAGTCAAGACCAAATGCCACATATAAAAAATTCTAACTTTGTATACCTATAACATGAACAAACCAAAAAGACAGAATAGCAAGGCCACAAAAGAAAATACTAGTCTAAACATGTATAATTTAATTCCTTCAGAATTTTCATATAAAGATACCTTGCTAATTTTGGGCACAACAGATCTAAGCATGTAAAGCCTATCATTGAGCTTCTTCCTCCTTCGCCTCTCCGCCATCAGATTTTTTGCCGGCATCCCTTTCTTCTTCCCCTTCTGATCTCCACCTGTACTAGTTGCATTTGAATTGCAACCACCATTCTTCACACTCTCCTCCACTTTGCAATCATCATTCCTCTCATCAGAATCATAATTCCAACCCAACATATCGATGCTGGCTTCCTCAATCTTCCCCTCCTCATGTCTCTTCTTTCCCTCTAAAGCTTCCCCTCCCAATCTCATAGCTGAAACATCCAAATTCCCCAATTTATCGGCCCCACCCGTTCGCTTCTGAAACAAAGTTGGTTGAGAACCAACTAAAGGGAAAACTTCAAGGGGCTTCGAAATCTTTGCTCTGTTCATAAACAGAGCATTCCCTGATCCATCAAAACCCCCAAAACCATCACCACTAAACCCACCACTCAAAATAGAAGCATTTTCAGTTCCTGCGAACAACCTTGTACCTTGAAACTCGGAGCTCGAACTGAACTCAGGAGTATCCATTTGAGTTTGAGGAAAACCCATCAAATTCGGGGTTTGGTTCGGCTGAAACTGAGCGAGAAAAGACGTTCCAGAGGCGAAATCAAAGTCATTATCGAAAGGGCTGTTGTAGGAAACATTGATGAGAGAAGAGAAGCAAGATTTAGGAGGCAAGAAAGGGTGGGAATGTGAAGGGTCAAGCGGAAAGGCATGTGAGGGAGAACAAGAAGCAGCGGAATCAATTGGCTGGTGAAGGAGGAGATTGTTATCAACCTGGTTGGAGCAGAAACCAAGCTCTCTGATTTGAAGATCCTGGTTCATAACTGGGTTCATGTACCAGTCAGCGTCAAGCATGGATTTGAAGGTGGAAAGAGAAGCAGCCGACATAGTCACGACCTCTTCTTTATTCTCAATTTCATTACTGCTACTACTGTTGTTGTTGTTGTTGTTTGGGGTCCAGGAAGAAACTGCATCTTCTTCCTCTTCTCCATCCATCCAAACGAGGCCGTTAGCTCCAAGGACCATCTCTCTCACTCTCAAGTCTCAAGCTCTCAGCTTTTTGTTCTATTATGTTGTTGAGAAAGAGTGAAAGAAAGGCAGTTAAAGGAGCAGTGAGAATTGAGACAGAAGCAGGAGAGAAAAGTGAGGTATGTCTTCAGCAGAGCATCATATGCTTCCTAGTATGAACGTTACTAATGTACTCTCAACTGAAGTAAGGCAAATGAATGGAAAGCGCTCATAGATGTCTACGTGTCTGCCGCCACTTACAGTTGCTTACTTATGTTTTGTCTTTTCTTTTCTGTTTTATCTTCCATCCAACATTGTATTTACACTTTTGTATATCTATTGCATACAGGCTTTGTAGATTTGAGGTTTGAGTTAGTTATTATTAGTTTTGCCTGCAATATCACACAGCTTTTATACTCGCATTTTAGTTTAAGTTGCTTAGGGTTTGGGATTTGAAATTTGTAGCTCTTTCCACGTAGTTAATTTTGGGTTTTACGTTTATTAGTCAAAGCAGCCGCTATCATCATCAACATTATCTATCTTAGGACTGTACCTTGTACTTTTGTATATAATTATTAGCTGCCACCAGCACCACCAATACCAATTATAAATTACAAACAAAAAATTTTGAGAGTGTTTATAATAGGTTAAATAATCCTAATCTAAACCCCTTTTTTAGGATGATGAAATGATTATTCAAATAATTTGAAATTAAATTTTTAGAGTTTTCAAAATCTAGCTCAATGTATGGTAGGGCTGCCTGTTAAATGGTACAAAAAGTTCAATGAAAGATCATCTCTAGCTATATATTAAATGAAATCACATGCTACTACATGTTAGATATTTTTCTACTTCTTTTTTAAATGCCCTAATCTTTCAGAAACATATCAGACATGCCGATTGCATCATTCATGAGAGAAAGAGATAAACAAAGAATACAATATTATAATATCATCATGCAGTGATTAAAAAGGGAACCAGAAGGAATTAAGTAAGACAGGCATTACAAATAAACTACTATACCATATATGCATTCAAATAGCAAAGCAATAATTAGACGCCATTTTGTTTGCCATCTTCTCCATGCAACACCTTTAATTAATTTGGAATAAATTTTTCAAAAGGGAACCCAAGTTTCTCGTGATCTCCTTTCCCACTCAACCGCACCTACTCCCAATCAACCCTTCACTTTTTTTTTTTTTTTGAACTTCCCTCCTGTTAATTCAAATCTTTTAATCATCTCCTCTTTCCATTACACTTGTCTCCTTCTCTATTCATCTAGAGATTGATGATGATTTAAGTTAACTTAGATTTTGGTTAGCACATTAAAACTGGCTACAGCGTTTTCTCTGCTTTGCCATTTGCCAACTTCTGTAATTTTAGACCTCAAGACTCCAGAGTCGAGAGAGACGACCGAACAGTGAAGAGGGAAAAGCCAAGCAGAGAGTTTTTCAACTTTCAACAAATTAACTTAAGACAATAGTCCTCTCTCTTCACGTGAGAGACTACTATTACATGGAAGATAACATGGAAAAGCACACGTGGCAAACATGCCACTAATCAAGAGAAACTGACTAATCAAAAGCGTGGGTCCTAAGGCTCTCCATGCAAGGCCAAGATCTATCATTGTTATTTGTATTGTCCCCGCCCTTCATTTGTTTTTTAACTTGGCGGTTTGCAACTTTCCTTGGCCTTAGCCTCAGCTGCTTCCGACATGTGAACTTGACCACCATGTGGTGATGGCTGATGCCTGATAGCTCCCCCTATAAAGTTTTCAAAGCTTAATTGCTTTCACAAATGTTTGATAGAGGATATCATAATTAGGAGGGTTTGATCATATACTTCCATTGATGCGATGAGTACAAAGTAACAAGTATTTCCAAATTGATCTCCATCTATATGCTTAAAAGGTGACGAGCTAGCGATCGAGCCCATGGCAGCTTATATAGACGGAAGCAACACCAAAACAAACCAAACCGTGGGACCTTCTGCTATTAGTAGAGGGATAGTTCTGTGAGCTCAAAAAAAGGCTCTGCAAATTGCAACCTACATTCTTCAATTATCACCAACCCCATGGCTATTGCCTGTATATGGGCTATTACATGATGAGTTCTTGGATATATATATATATATATATACACACACACACATATATACAAGCAATTTTCTTGACAAAACAAGAGAGTAAATAATATTGTTCCAAGGTATTAGGTGGGGTAAGCCATCAAGGTCATTAATAGTTGGGTTGCACGTCTCGTGAGTTTAATAAAATGCAGACAACTAACTTGTTTTTTTCTGTTTTCGATTGATCGAGCATATTCAATTTTAATTAGAATTATAACCTCCATCTTCAATGTTTGTCCTTCTCAACTGTCCTTTTCCTTCATCATCATCTTTCAAAAATCCTTAGTGTTGGCTATATCTATTCCTATATTTTCCAACGTCCAATGGGTTTATATATTTACTGTAACTTTACAAAAGGAAAGTATTAGTTATGATTCAAACTTGAATCGTCTAAATGATCTCCCGCTCACCCTTACTATTTCAGTTTCAGTTCTTCCATTCGTTGTGTATTACGGTAAGTTTTCCATGCCCTTTACATCATCCACACAAATTCAAGAAAACCTTAGTCCAAATTCCAAACCAAACAAAAGCTAATTTAATTTGATGATAATCAAGGAAGAAAGCAAAACGAAAAGGATGATGATATTAAACAAGCTGGTCAGGGTGGAGAAGGGAACCTAAGATTCTTGAAGCTGGTGAACCCTCCATCAACAACCAAGTTATGACCTGTTACATACTTGGCTTCATCTGACGCCAAGTACAATGCAGCCTTTGCCACATCTATCTCTTCACATTCGGCCCCTTTCAGCTCCCCTACCCCATTTATAATCTCAATTACCTTCTCTTTCTGAACACCTTGGTAAATTTGAGCTATTTGACTTATCACCATTGGAGTTGGAATAGGAGCCGGTGAAATGCAGTTGATCCTCACCCCACTTCGGCACAGTTCGCTAGCCACAGACTTGACAATTCCAGGAATTGTGAATTTTGCTATTGTGTATGGATGTGGCCCAAGCCCACCCATAATCCCACTAATGCTTGATGTGCAAAGAATGGAGCCCGACCCCAAAGGAACCATCACTCGGGCTGCATGCTTTATCCCTGCGACCATGCCTCGAACGTTGATCCGCATTACCCTATCAAATTCTTCTAGGTCAAGGTCTGCAACGCTCGCTGGGAATGCCTGCCCTGCTATGCCCGCGTTGTTGAACATTATATCTAGTTTTCCATGACGGGCCATGGCAATTTCTACAGCTTCTGCTACTTGGGACTCAATGGCCACATCACACTGCACAAAATGAGCTGCATGGCCCAGGTCATTTGCAGCTTGTGGGCCTATTTGGGAATCGATGTCTGCAATGATGACCTGGGCTCCGTTTTTTATGAACTCATAGGCAGTGGTCTTGCCAAGCCCACTTGCACCTCCTGTGATTAAGGCTACTTTGCCTTCTAACCTGCTTTTTCAAACAAAGCAAAGCAGATATTAACCACATATGCATGAAAAGGGAAAATGTGGGCAGAAAAACAAGACCGGTCACATTGTCTTATTTGAACAATGTGGTAGTTGAATATATTGAAAAAACGGATGTTCATAATGATGACAATGCCCAATCAAATAATTGTTTATGTTGACAAATATTCGAATGGACCACAGTTTCCCCATTATCACAAGTCACAACAGGCTAGAAGGTTTAACCAAAAAAAAAATGAAGAAAAATGTTAGTGATCTGTTCCATCATGTTAAAAATGAATAAAGCCAAATACGAAAAACATGAATAAAACAAAAGGATCCTTAAAATATGGCAGATCTTCAGCTTACATGTGTAGACTACATTAATTTTCCCAAGTATAGTCTTTAAAACGTTTCAGACAAGTATTTTCTGAAAACGTGGTCTGCTAGATCTAGGGGCGAAGACATGGAAAAGAATATTGAGACAATAATCTGCATAAATCATGTGAGTAAAATGAAAGAATCGCAGATAGAAGGAGAAAATAAAACTAGGAAAGAAGAAAGAGAGATCAGGGAAAGTCTCATTTAATCAAATATTAATGAAAAACTGATACTTTCCTAATGATTACTTCTTTCTTCATTAAAGGAAAAGAAATATATATATATAATACCAAGAAGTTTCAAAGGTAATCTAGAGATAACAGGCACTTTAACTTGAAACTTAGGTCATATGAATCATTGATAAGATTCACAAATGCTTGAAATTAAAATTACTTTAAAATTCAAATGGAGAACATTTGATCTGCATATCAGAATTAGAACTTAGCATCAGCTTTTGGCGGAAGATTTTGAAAGAAAAGGAAGCACAAGTTAGATAGTTTGATGGGAAAATATGGAAAGGAACCAACCACCTAAACTTGCCAATCTCTAACCATTCAACCATGAAAGGGAAAGGTGCAATAGTCTTGTGTTGTGCAAATTAAGAAAAATCAAGTCATTACTCACTATAACTATATTTAGACCAACACTATTCTGGGTAAATGTCATTTCATTGACAAGAATTTCAAATGTCCCTTTTGTATCAGAATATCTAATCAATGAAATTCAGATTTACCTCTCCATAGTCCATAGTCCACAGTTTATCCCCTACCAAACATATTAGTAGGTACTAACTAACAAAAAGAAAAAAAAAAAAGAACAAGAAAGACAATAATTGAAGTAGCTGAAATCAATAGGTAGTTGAAGAGCTTAATTACCTCCTGCCAGAACCAACTGCGGAGTGAAATCTTACTTTCTCACTGGTGACAAACTTGAACTGCCTGGATTAGTGAAAGAGAAAGAATGAACAGAGGTGTTGTGAGTGAACATAGATGAAGCATAATTGATTAAGGTTTGAAGGCATAAATTAGAGAGTACCTGACTAATGATCTATGCATGTCGGAAATGAAGTAATGAGAAGTGGAAGGAAGAGCAGTGTAAAAAGATTTGAATGGAGAGTCAGGGAATTTATGGGTGGATCGAAGGAGGAAGAAGAAAACGTTGTTGTTGCATTTTAAAGTTGAAACCGACACAAATTTCCATGCAGAGGAGAGGAGTTGGAGAGCATATGTTATATAGCACTTAAATGAATTCTCCCTTCAAATAAGACATAAAGGAAGGCAACTGCATGCTAACAACTTACCACTACTTTCAACAATGGTGGGCTGTATTTGACATTTTTTCAAGCCATAAAACATAAAAAAGCAAATGTCTTCTGCGGTAGGAATTTTCATCTATCTTTCAATAAGTAAGTTATTATTATGTCTATGAACTAATCAAATAGAGCTCAAAAGTCAAAAGCTTTCTTTTTTATTTTTAGCAAAAAAAAAAAAAATTTTAAACTTAATTGGAATGAATGATCAATTTGAGAACGAAGCCAGCTGTAGTACAGTCGTATTGAAATTGATATAAATAATAATACTACAAATAAATATATGGTGGAAGAGAATATTATCATCAGAAAGATTTGGTCTCTCACGCCAAGTCAAGGACCAAGACCAGCCATTTGTTTCAACTTAAAAGATGTCTTTGTTTCCCTTGGAAACATTAATTAATTAAGATGATTAAAGGAAAAAGGTGGTGTCACCTTTTCTCTCTCTTTGCTTCGCATGTATAATTCTATTACGACCACTTTTTTTCCATAATACAAATTACTTTTGGATTAAAGCAAATTTTTTGAAATATTAATTATTAATTTTTCAAAGATTTCATTTTATATTTTTTAAAATATTTTTAGATTCACTAAAAATGCCGTAAATAACATATATTATTAAAAAAATTCTTTTGAAAATTAAAAGTATTAAATTGTTCAAATTGATTTATAATATATTCTTATATTTATTATTTTAATTATATTAATATTTTTAGAAAGAAAAATTAGATTTAATTAAATTTTGAATGATTTTATCTAAATATTTTTAATCATTTGAGTTCGAACAATTTTAGGTTTGATTAAAATCGAGTTTAAATCAATTTAAATTTGGATTAATTAAAATTTAAATTGAACAAATTTGGATTATTAACTTTGAATCAATTTGGGTTGGAATGAATCAAACAGATATTTTTGGATTGGGGTGAAGCAGAAAAATTATTGGGTCATTAAAGTTTTGTCATTTTATTAAGAACGTACGTGGAGACAACCGTTAGACAAGTTTATCAATTTACAACCTGTACTGTTTCTTGTCTCTTAATAATATAATCTATACTTAACTAATTAATATATAATTAAGCTGATGAATGTGGTAGTTATAATAATTAACAAAACCCCTTCATCATTCGTACTACTAACTAATATTTAAACTCCAGTAATGATTATATCTTATTAATATAAAAATGCAAGCAGCATGGGCAATTCATTTGTTTAATTAAGTTGTTAGTTAGTGACCGACCTAAAGTTGTTGACACATGAGATTTATATATTAATATTTGTTGTCGTGGATCATAAACATATAGATAACCAACCACAATTATAAATTCAATTGCCTTATGATTATTTAAAGTCAAATTGAGAAGTAATTTGAATCCTTAGGGCTTATATATTTAATTATATTATATGCATGTAAACAATTCAAGTAAATCTAAGTCGTTGGTAATGGTAATATTCTTCTCTATTTGGACTTGAAATGGATTTAAAACTTTCGTATCATACATAATATTTATTGGTTTATATACATTTATTTGTTACTGTTTACACTTATTTGCATTTATTTTTTTTAATTGTTACTTGTTATCTGATAATACTATCATTTACTCTTTTGCACAAAAATATTTTTTAATTTACTTACTTTTAAAATTATGATATTATAAAATAAAACAAAAATAGCATTATAAATAAAATAATTCTTGATACTCTGCTTAGATGTTGGAGAGTTACCAATAATTATCTTTCATAAAGAGTATTATTTTTATTTTAAGGAGTATTTTATTTAATTTTAAGCGAAAAAAGTTATTTTAAATTTTATCTAAATGTTAGAGAATTTTAAGATAATTTTTTAACTTAAAGATTTGTTCAATATTTCTAAAAAAGAATTTTAACCAAAATTTATTTTTTAAAGTCAAGGGAATTAATATTAAATTTTAGATTGAAACCATTTTTATCCAACACCGAAAATAACGTATAATTAAATGGTATTAATTTATGGGTGTTGTAGGGATACTAATCATTTTTTATACGTAACCGACTCCTTAACCTAACATGATTTTCGCATATAAAAATTTATCTTTTTGATAAATTTTAAACTCATTTTTATAGTTTTGTTTGAATTGAAAAAATATATCATAATTTGTATAAATATAAAAATATATCATAATTTGTATAAATATAAAAATATAAAACATATTTTTAATTTTATTAATTATTTTTATTAAAAATTTAAATTATATTATTTTTATATTTTTATTTATATTATTTTTTTATCGTATTATCATACCATATTTAAAATTATCATATCTACTTTAAATAAGATAAGATGACTGATAATGGGTTGCCAACTTAATTAAATCGACTGACTCTTTGCATGACAAAATATGTTTAATGATTATTTAACACATCTAGGGGACAAGAAAAAATGAGGGGGGAGGAGAAGAATAATCTCCACTTTCCATGCATGCATATAAAATGGAGTTGCTAATAATCGTAGAAAATTGTAAAAGGGCCGGGGAGTGCGAACAACAATCTTGGGAATTGAAGTGGTGAGACAGCCAATGGTTTTTCATTGAATTTAGTACTAGCAACCTGAGACATTGGCTCCTGAGTAGCCAGCCAGATGTCAGTTATTACCACCCAAATAAAAGAATCTGATCTTTTATTTTCTAAAATATATACAGTCATATAAAGACGAATTGAAGAGACAACAGTTGGAAATTGATATGGATAGCTGGAAATGAATTTAACATGAATGAATATATATTTATGATTTATTTGATTATTTTTAGAGTTATTTGAGTGTGATTTATGTTTGATAAAAAAATTATTAATTGTGTTCGAGTTTGATTTATTTAAATAATAAAATGTTCATTTTTATTTGTGTTTGGTGTGTTTTTGTCTAAAAATGTATTCACTAATTTATATAAAAAATTTTGAAATAAATTATTAAAAATATTTTTGATCAAAAATATTATCTATAATTCATACAAAAAATTTTGAAAGGGATTATTGAAGTTGTTTTAATCAAAATGTTTTCAATAATCCATTTCAAATTTTTTAAAAAGGATTATTGAATGTGTTTTTATCAAAAAAATTATTATTTTTTGGTCAAAAATATCATCAATAATTTATATAAAAATTTTGAGAGGAATTATTTAAGATATTTTTAGTAAAAAATATATTCAATAAACTCTATTAAATTTTTGTAATATTTTTATTAACTTATTATTATTATCAAATAAACCAATAATAAATGAACGAATTTTAATAAATCATAAATGAATTTGTTTATGAACATAAATAAATGAATAAATAATTATTTGTGTTCGATTCGTTTAATAAACGAACGTACAAATGATATTTAAGATAATTTATTAAACTTAATAAACGAACATAAACAAATAAAAATAAAATATATTCATAAATAATTCATCAAAAATTTTATTAGTTTATACCTCTATTGGTATCGGGACACAACAGTTGGGGTGTATATGTCATACGAGCCTATATATGTAGAAGCATAGGTTTTCATTATAATGTCACATTAGTTTAGGGTTGGGTGATAAAAAAAATTATTTAAATAAAAATTTTAATATAAATAGTTATTTGAAAATTATAATTATAATTAAATAATTAATAATATATTCTGTTTATTTTTTTAACTAAAAAACAGTCAAGGCTGAAATATTTATTTATTTTAAAAAGCCTAAGTTAACTCGGTAGCTAAGCCCACACAACACATTAAAACTCATAGGACATTACACGTAAGCAATTAACCCAGATCTCATCTCAGTATTGCATTCCTTAGAGTTGGACACGACACAACCCATCAAAACTCGGACTCTCTGCTTTCTCAGATGTCCAAACGAAAACCCAATAATGCCAAAATCAAAATGCACTGCCTGAACTCCACAACGCCCTCCTTTAGATCTTCCCATTCCCTTTCATAGATCTTTCCAACCTCCTAAAAAATGGGCTCCAACCAGTCCGTGCAAGGAGTTGAAGAAGAAAGCCAAGACGAAGAAGACGAGGAGGAAGAAGAAGACAACAATGAAGAAGGATCCAACATAAGGGAACTCGAAAATAAACACTTGGTCAAGAAAGAACTCGAACAAGAACCCGAAATGTTACCCTGCTACGCATCAGCATCCCCTCTCTCTCCACAACTATCTTCATTGGGTACTCCTAGGATAGGTCCCTCAATCAAAGTGTGGGACCCATATAATGTTTTAGCTCGACCTCCTCCGCTGCCTCCTCCGGTTTTCTCACGGAGTTTTTCCTTGGATGAAGATCGAATGGTGATTGAGGTCTATTTGATTAGCCATGGAGAGTGTGAATTGAATTTGAGGCCTGATATTGTGGGTGGAAGATGCGACGGAGCCGCCTTGACCCCTAACGGGAAGCGACAAACGAGGGCATTGGCTGTGTTCCTAAATTCTCAAGGGGTGAGGTTTAATGCGATTTATTGTTCTCCGTTGGATCGGGCTAGATCGATGGCTCTTTCTGTTTGCAAGGTAAAGGCCTTTTTTTTTTTATCGATTCTTAAAAGAATAAAGGAAATGAAGTATGAGAGGGTAATAGAATTGTTAATTAGGATAAAGCTCTGAGCTTTAATTGTTAGTCTCTTTAATATCCCTTGAGCAAATTGAGAAATTGGTCCTGCTACAATTGGGGTTTTCTATCAAGCATCTGCATGTTAAGCTAACAGATAATAAGAATAGGATTGAAATTTGACTTTGGATTAGAATTTCGGTTCTAGAATTTGGAATAAGGATCAAGAAAGCACAGGAGCAATTCCATGGGTAGAGAAAATTATATACCATTGGACTAACGAGTTATAGAATGAAATTGTCTATCCCGTGGCCCTGATTTAATAAACTTTTTTGCCTCTATGGTGATGGAAAGAGTGTATTTTTCGTGATGAATCTTGATATTTAGATTGCTTTTGTAAGCGATTCTATGTTGTATGCATTAGGTTGCGGAAGTCTCCTCTTCTCATCCTAGTTATTCAATTCTTTTACACTGACCTGTAACGTTTGTTTGGAGTTTGCCGAGAGTTGCTATAGGTGCATGATTAAGTGCACTCAAGTTGAAATTCATAGTTTAATATTAGTATTTAGCATCAACATAGTTTTTTTGCCCTGGATAAGTGCCGTGAATACTTCTTAACATTTCTAAAGGATATGCTTCCACCTGTCATATTTGCTTGACCAATGTGTAAATGCATAGTAACTTTAGCCTTCATTTGTGAAAAGGCTATGGTCCTTGTTAAAGCCAAATGGTAAACAAGATGTCAAGGAAAAGGCTAGTCATTGTTAGGAACTAAGACTCTGATCTGTGTCTATTGTTGCCTTTTGTTCTAGCAGTGGTAACAATAATTGATTCTTGAGTCAAAATTTTGCTTATATATTTTACATGATATCCCCTAATTATTTGTTTGTGATGGAGACAACTTTAATGATGATAAAATGTTGAGATTTATGCATTTTCCCACTTAGATATTGACTCAACTACATTGTTCTGTCCTTTAAAATCATGCAGGAGATGAATTTTGCAGAGGCACAGATACAATCCTCTGACGCACTTATGGATCTGAATATGGGGCACTGGGAGGGTTGCCCTCGATCAGAAATATATACACATGAAGTTTTGAGTCTAATGGAAAGATACCAGCCTGATTTTTCTGCTCCTTCTGGAGAATCTCTCAGGCAGCTGGAATTTCGAATGGTTCAATTCTTGAATGGGACGGTCCTCGGACTTCCTGAAAAGTTGAGATATGATTTTTCCTTACACCAAAACGAGAGTCGAGGATCTACACACCATAACATTCATGCTCTAACCAACTCAGTTCATGACAGAGATGTAACTTCTCTTCCACCACCCCATTGGGGCATGCTTCAAAGGCAGCGACATGGGCTATCAAGGAAGAAGTCTGGTAAGAGCAGGCTACAATTTGTGTCGAATATTGGTGAAAATGATGCTGATGATGAAATGTCTCCTCGGAAGGCCAATTATCAGCCTGACCTTCATGACATAAATGTCAGGAGTTCCTCTTCCCCCTCCACCTCCTCAGCCTCCTCTTCTGTTGGCATTTTCACTCATTCCCTGCCAATTAAGTGTCTCATCACCGGCCTTCTTGACTGCAGCCCTGTAATGTCACGTAAGATCTGCATAGAAGACTCTTCTGTGACTGTATTACAGCATTCATGGAAAACAGGCTGGCAGATAAAACGCTTGAATGATACTACACATTTTAGGCTTCTTTAGTTGGAGTTTGAGACTTCATATTATCATATAGCAGAATATGGCATTTCTATGATTCATTCATCCTAGTTGTATACTGCAACTCATGCTTTAACATTTTATTCTTCTACACTATGTTTTAGCATTCAAATTTCAATATATTTAATTCAAAATTCATCATATCCAAAGAGACGAGTTCTGTAGGAAGTTAGATCTTTGAATTGGATGATTCTTTTGATTTGTAGTGTTTTGACAGCTGATTTTATGGAGTGAATTTATAATGTAATTCCTGTACTGGGTTAACATGATTTTGTTCATGTATAGAAAATTGTGATGAACTTGCATTTTATTTCGATTCATTTACCTTAATCTTGTGTGTTCCTTGTGTTCCATTTTATTTTCCTTTGCATTTATTATCGCTTTCTGAAAGTAGCATAGGGTCTTTGCAATCATGCATTCATTCCCTGGTACAAGTGCAACAATCCATGCTTTTAAGAATCTTAGGATTTGTGGGGACTGTCATACTTTCATCAAGTTGATCTCAAAGATTATTGATCGGGAAATTGTTAGAAGAGATTCAAAGCAATTTCACCATTTTGAGGATGGATTCTGTTCTTGTGGATATCATTGGTGACATGCATTGTTGGATAACAAAAATTGAAGATTAGAATAAGATGTTAACTGTGAGCTTGAGGCACCTTTGACTTGATTGACAAGGTGTTCATTTTGGCTCTCTAAATGATTTGGGATGCAAGAAATTGCATAATTATTTGGCTTTGAAGTCTGAAAAAGTGCTCAGATGCTACACCAACAAGGCTTGATATCAGTTGGCTTTACCATTATTGGTTATTGAATTGACAGAAGAATAGATTTTTAGCTAAACAGTTGCATTCAATGACAACAAGAAACCAAGCATCTGCTGACAGCTTATAGATCATTCTTTGGAGTTACCAATGTACCAATGCTAAAAATAAAGTAGTATTCGCTCCTGTCATGACGTCCTTAAGACTAACAGATGGAAATTAAAAAAAAAAAAAAATTATGAACAACGTCCTTGGAAGAACTTGCCCAAAAATAGTCCTGTTGATCTTGATGTCTGAGAATAGTTGTACTTCTCGCCAATTTTGGAGCAATGGGGACATTTCTGCAGGAGGGTCTTGTTCTCACTCTTTAAGTGCTGGAGTTGTAGCCGTAGCCCATTAATGGTTTGTCTCTTCTCGTCATTCCTTCTCAAGAGTTCTGCTTGCTGACGCAGATTATCCTCCATAAGCTTTGTAAATTGAAACTTGAGTTGAAACCATTTATTCTCGCTTTCGAAACCACCCTTTTGGAACTCTGCAGCTTCAGGATTAAATCTTTGAAACCCACTCATCTTCAAAACAACATCCTCTTCATCCGAAAATTCTCCGTTAGTTTGTTCATGATTTCTCATGGAAGACATATTGCATTGTTCTGTCAATATCAGATGATCATCTGCTAACTTGTTCAGGTATTCAAAGTTAGATCTATAATGTTGAAAATGATCAGGATCATCAAGAACAAATTTAGAAGCCTCCCATATGGGATCATCAGAGGCTTCCAAGACCCTTCTGTTACTGGTGGCATGTTGGATTTCTGTAGAGTTAGAGGACAATGATGAGGACCCAGAATGAGAAGGATTTTGTGATTTAGACCTCAACTGATCATACTTGTGTAGTAAAGAAGAGTAAGATCTGTTTAACTCTCCCAACATTTGTACGAGTTCTTGTTTCCTGTTGAGAGAAACATGAGCATTTTGGCATGAGGATTTATCATCTTCTTCCAGAAGGGTCATCATGGCCTTCATCTTCTCGTCCAAATCTGCGGAAGGAAAACAAGCAAAATATGCAGAGAGTTGGAGGATTTAAGCATATGCATGTATATATATGTATGCTCATAGACCTAGCTGTTGTAATCATTAATTAATAATGTAGAAAAGGAGGATGGATGGTTTTACTGACCCAATAGAGTTGTGTGAAGCCATTGGGACTGTTGAGGGGTTGCAGGTGAAGAAGAAGAAGCTGTACTGTTCTCCATTGAACCAAAGAAGATCTATATATCTATATTGTTCATGTATCTTGTCTTGGGTCTAAAAAGAGATGAAAAGAAAACAAGAGAAACACGCCAAGAACTTTGACAGCTCTATGATTCTTCCCCGCCTCTCCCTTGAAAGGGCGATTCTTTCTCAATTTCAAAGTTTAAACGCATTCCCTTTAATGTGGCGAAATAAATAAATTTTTTATATATTATATTCCCGTTACGTACGTAATAGCTAGGTTTGGTCTGGCATTTTACAAGCGTTCAAAATTCAAAAGTGATGAAATTAAAAAACCTTAAACGGTTCCTCTTTCATTAATAATTAATAATAATAATAATAAGTCAGTCTCCTCCTTTAAAAAATATTAGAGTAACAAGATAAAGAATTATATATTTTAAAGGAAAAGGTAGGTGTTTCCAAAATATATGGAGTAGTGGGTAGCTAGGCAACTAATATACAAGGCAAAGCCAGCCACTCTTCTTTGACCAGTCACGCAGACCATCATTGTTAGCCTTAGGTAGCCCATTTATAATTAATTAATTAAATCAAAATGGGAATATATTTTGAATACCTACTTACTTACTTACTTACTAACACAGAAAAGAAATTAGAAAAAATGAAAGTTATAATGATAACTGGTGTTAATGCGCAGCTTCGCCGGTGTTGACCAAATTTATATATAAAAAATTAATTAAACAGATATAATATTATTATTTTTAATAATATATTATTTTTATAATTTTATTTGTTGTACTTTTTTTTATTATCTCTTTTTTTATGTTGATTTTCATAGGAAGTAAAATATTTCTAAATTCTTTGAATTTAAAAATATCTCTTGTCATTTGTAATTTTTTAAAATTATATAATGTAATTTGTATTTGTTTAATATTTAGTATTTTTATCTTTTTATTTATTTTTTTAAATTAATCAAATGTTCGAAATAATTCTTAGGTCTCTTTTAATCGTATTATTTCTTATTTTAATTTTTTTCTCGAAAAATATTGCTACAAATTTCTTAAAATTTCTATTATTAAGGAATTTTCAACAATCATATTATATGATTATTATGACTTTTTAATTCTTTCACTTTTATTTAGTAAATCCAATAAAAATTTAATTTAAATTAAAAGACTCAATAAAACATAATGAATAATAATCAAATTAAATTAAATGACTAAAGATTATATATTTAAAATTATTAGGTCTTTAAAAAAACGGTCCATCAAGCTTGATCATTTCTATTGGGCATAAAAAAAAAATTCTTGATTAAAGTTAAACTTAAACTTAATCTATTCTCTCTTTTTTGTAATAAAATAAACAAGTGTCAATCAACCCTCCCTTGGAAATAGTTTTAATAATACAGGAATAAATAATAATAATCGGATGCATGAACCCAAAAAAAATACAATAATTTTACTTTGCGTTTAGGACAGTCGTACCATTGTCATTCTTCTAACTGTGTTGGAGGTGCCGTCACCCTGGTCCAATGAAGGTTGACCAACTGTTATTTTCGTAATTAACAGCAAACTTCATGGTCATTGCTGTTTCTTCATCCCCTTCTTTCTTTCTTTCTTTCTGCGTCCCCGCCCCCAATAAAACCGGAAATGTCACCTTTCTAAAACAGCATTTCAGCGAGCGAAAGAGCGAATCCAGAAGCAAATAAAAATATATATATTTTTAAATCCCTCTTTGATTCAATTTCTCCAATTTTCTCCGTTTTTTCTTTCCACCATGGCTTCCATTTCTGATTCTTCCAAACAGTCCCTTCTCCCAACCTTCCTATACTCCTCTCTTGATCCAATCCTCAACGCCTACAATCCTGTCTTCGCTGCTTCGCGCTCCGCTAAACTCGATGCTCCCGCAGCATCAGCCTCGCCCTTGATCAAGACGAGAACGTTCATGATATCCTCCCCCAATGAGCCTGGGAAGAAGATCGAGATGTACTCGCCTCAGTTCTACGCTGCTTGTACCGTCGGCGGTATTCTTAGCTGTGGTCTCACTCACACGGCGGTTACTCCTCTTGACCTCGTCAAGTGTAATATGCAGGTATACAGATCCAACTCTCCTTTTACCTACTTTCTTTGATATTCTCTAGTTTTTAAGATTAGATCTGAGCTAAGCTTGATGCTTGCTTGAGAATTTCGATTGACGGACTGTTGCTTATGAGATCTGTGCGTAGTTTTCACTGCTTCAATTCCAGAACTGAATCATTGTCTGTCACAGTTATTGAAGATTTATGATTCGTTTCCTTTCGAGTTTGATGGCTTTAGTGTTTGAATTTTGTTTTTTGGGGTTTTATTTCTAGAAATACGGAACTATATAGGACTATATAGGACTATCACTTTCATTGCACTCGAGATTTGAATTTTCTGTCAAAATCTCTCGCTTTTTATCTCGTAATAGATACTTTTACTTTATTTTTACTTTGTGCATCGTGTTATTTACTACTATCTAATAGTACTTGTAGTTGTATATGTTTTGCTGTTTGTGGATGGATTTCCTAAATTTATGTTGGGAAATTTTGTTATATAAATACAACAACAATAACAAATTAAGCTTTATATCTTGTAACTCTGGGCTCGGCTGAATGAAAGGTCAAAAAAGGATTTATGTTAGGTCATAGTTTTGATTCATCTTGCACCAGTCATTTTTTTCAACAACTTTTTCATATTTTCTTAACAATTATATCATTTTTTGTCTGTCGTGGTTTGCCTTTGGAAACTTTTAAATCTAAAAACTCATTTCTTTCAACTGGTGCACAAATAGGCTTACATTTTACATGTACAATCCATCTCAAATGGTCCTCTCTTATCTTTTTTTCAATTTGAACTACCTCTAATTTTCCTATATAAAATACTTGTTTTATTTGTTGCAGTCAATCTATGCTTATTTTTCATTGCAATGGCTATTATTTGGTGGACCCGAAAACCATACATTATCGACACAATGATTTTGTAATAGAACAGTAGATGTTGCTTTATGGATTTGTTTTTCTGTTACCTGGTATTATTCTGGATTGTTCTTTTGTCAGATTGACCCTGCAAAGTACAAAAGTATCTCATCTGGTTTCGGAGTTCTGCTGAAGGAGCAAGGACTCAGAGGCTTCTTCCGTGGTTGGGTTCCTACCCTTCTTGGTTACAGTGCACAGGGTGCCTGCAAGTTTGGATTTTATGAGTTTTTCAAGAAGTACTATTCTGACCTTGCTGGACCTGAATATTTTGCCAAGTACAAGACCCTGATCTATCTTGCCGGCTCTGCATCTGCTGAGGTGATTGCTGACGTTGCACTTTGCCCCTTTGAGGCAGTCAAGGTCAGGGTTCAAACTCAGCCTGGTTTTGCTAGGGGTCTGTCCGATGGTTTTCCCAAGTTTGTCAGATCTGAAGGTGTTCTTGGGTATGCTTCTCAGCGTTGTTGAATTTTCTGTTTATGTAATAAAAGGAAACGTTTGTTGGAATGAACTATCTAACTATTTCACTTTGCAGATTGTACAAGGGTATTGTTCCTCTTTGGGGTCGTCAGATTCCATGTAAGTTTACTGTGTGCATTTGCTAATTACTAGCTTTATTATCATTACCCATTGCTTAGGAGCTTGTACCTTTTGATCACGCTTCTTTTTTTCTTTCTTCCCCTTTTTCTTTAACCCAGTTTTTTTGGCGGCTGTTCTAGCATTTTCTAATTACACCAGTGTAAGATTATTTAGATATTCTTCCTTTCTTGCAGATACCATGATGAAATTTGCATCTTTTGAAACCATTGTTGAGATGATCTACAAGTATGGTATTCCCACTCCGAAGGACCAGTGCAGCAAATCTCTGCAGCTTGGTATTAGTTTTGCTGGTGGTTATATAGCTGGTGTCTTCTGTGCTATTGTTTCTCACCCTGCTGACAACCTTGTCTCTTTCCTCAACAATGCCAAAGGAGCAACTGTTGGTGATGTAAGTTCTGTACCTGGGATTATCCTTGTGTTCTTTAATTCCCATTTAGGAATCAATTTTTACTTTGCGTTGACTGTAATGTCTTTTGGCTATGCAGGCTGTTAAGAAGCTTGGATTGTGGGGTCTGTTTACCCGTGGGCTGCCTCTCCGTATTGTCATGATTGGAACACTAACTGGAGCTCAATGGGGTATCTATGATGCTTTCAAAGTGTTTGTGGGACTGTAAGTTCTTCCCATCATGGTTATAAAGTATCAGTTTGCTAATATACATATTTCATGTGATTATAGTTTATGGTAATGAGATTTATGCAATCTTTCAGGCCAACAACTGGTGGTGTTGCTCCAGCTGCCGCTGAGCTTGCAAAGGCATAGAAAGTTGGAAGATCAACAGAATAGTTACGTTGTTCAAATATACCTGCAAAAACTTTTCATAATAGGGATAAATAAACATAGCATTGGTGAAAATTGCTTAAATGGGTCTCAAGCTGGTGGAGAGTATTTTTTTGCATTTAAAACTTCCATCAACTCCTTTGTTTTGAAAATACTGTTGGTTTTGTGAGAGGATGGTTTTGGTTTCATCCTCTAAACTCGGGAGACTATTTTTTTGTAGTTAGATCATATATGAAATTATGCTTTTTCTTCTTTTTAAGTCATATTACTGTCATCTTTTCGATTCCTTTTGGATTTCTTCTTAGGGCATGTCTCTTCGGATGAAGGCAGTGATTCTTTTTTTTCCCCTGTTTTCACATAACATTGTTTTTACCAGATTCTTTTGCAAGACTTGCAACAAGATTTAGGTTGCTTGTAACTCTTAAAAAACTAAAAACTTGAGGTAAGAATGGGTTTCACTTTCTTCCTAAGGATTCTGCAATTAAAATAAAAATGAAATTTAAGTTTATGCCAGCAACTGAAATGAAAAATATGAAAATGAAAAAAAAAAATTACGGAAAGTTCTATGTTTATTGGTTATATTTTGTGGTTGATCCCAATCTGCTCCATATTGAAGCCAAAAAAGTAGAAGATTGGAGGTAATATTCAAACTCGTATGTCCGTAAGTAAGAACTTGTATGCATTTAAGTGAGAAAGAATTGTATGAATCGATTATTCAACATCAATAAATATATATATATATATATATTATTAAATTTTGACACGCAATTATACTATTAAAAAAATCAATTATTTATTATATAATTCACATGTAATAATTAAATAATAAATATTTATTTTAATAAATTTATGTAAATAATGTATAATAAATAATTGACTTTTTATAATGTGATTAGTGATATAATTTGAATAAAAAAAATATATATGCTGACGTGGAGTTTTGTTTAAATTATTGTTTATTGTGTTTTTGTCCTGGAAAGAAAATTAAAAGATAGTTTTTTTCATATGATCAAATAATGTACTGCCATCTTGCATCCAAATGGAATTCCAAATATTATCGTGCATTTTAATTTCCAGAACGGCACACACGGGAGTTCACTATATTTGTCAAATGCCACGTAAATAAAACTGATTTAACGGTGGTAATTGTTGGACTAACATGATTTCTAATTCAATTATACTTTCTTCTTATAAATTGGGTATCATATGCCTAATTAACTCATCTTCGAACATTCTATCAGAAAAATAAAAAAATATATATAAAACCTCGTCTTCGAACAAGGCAATCTCTTTTTATCATGCAGTTCATTGCTCTAGATATTAAAACAATCTAAGAAGGCACAGGTGGAGCCTCAAATATTACTTCTTGTTAACAATAAGAAACTACGGATTAAAGCCTCATAAAATTGGATTAAAGCTTCCCCACAAAGTTCATCCATAAATTAACTAACGAATCGAGCTATTAAACCAAATAAATATACAGCATCTCCCACACTTTTCATTATTATTATTGTTGTTGTTGTTGTTGTAGTCTTCATGAATATGCTTGGAATCAAAAACAGGCAAAGCTACTCAAGACTCGGCATTCATCAAGCAATGTTGATTGTGAAGGAGACATAGGGATGGGCGTCAGAATCACCTCCTAAACCAGCCATTGCCCCAACTTCATCTTCAGTCTTCCAGTATGTGCTGCATTTTGAGGTGGATCAGTATCAGTGTAAAATCATGGAAGGTAGGAAATAACTTAGTATGACAATCAAGGTAACTTTTTTTAGGGTGGACAAATTAAAAGTTCACTGTTTCATAATAGCATCAATAAATTTGGTATCTAGAGGACTTTCATAGCCATTGTTAGTCACGTACAAACCAACAGAGAGAAACTATAGCACGTGTTTTAAACAACTCATTTCAACACAATTTCCAGTTAATTATCTTCAGAACCCTTCCACATTAAAGACTAATGAAACAAGTTCAGGAATTTGAGCAGTTTCGTGCACCCATATGGACTTACCTGTTTGCACTGTCGCATAATCCTTCAAGGATAGACCGCACTTTCTTCTCACCCTTCACAGATGGTGATAAAACACATGCCTGATATTGGTTCAAATAAAGCACTCAGTTGTCAAGCAAATGTTTATTCAAAAATGATTTATGGAAATCAATGAGTTAAAGTTACCAGGAAAGACGGTGGCAAACCATATCTCAGAATGCTCTCTGCAAAGACACGTACAGCACAAAAGTGCATCCAGGAGCTGAAAACCTACAGGCAAGCAACTTATTCATAAAACAGTTCAAAATATAGAAAGATTTTGAGTGATTTCACAGGAAAGAAAAGGAAATATATAATACCTCTCCATAACTAGCATAGCACCATTGCAAAAGAGAGCTTCGCAATCTATCTTGGTCTTGTATCAAATTTTCTAGTTCCTGCTTTCGACTCTCTTGTGCTTCTGGACTATATTCAAAATCACGAATCTGAATGACATCAAAAGAAATGCAGCAACAAAGGGAATGAGACATCTACCAACAGAGTTAAAAAATTTTAATTTAAGATTAAATACTCCATGCATGAGAATGAAGAAAAAAAAGCATTCAGATAGAAAATGCAAATGCAACCATAGAATGTACTCACTTGGAAGCCTCTTTCACGTGCACTAGTTCTGAAATTGTCTGCAACGCGACCAAATAAGGTGACAGTGTAAAGAGCATATTCATTATCTTCATACAACTTCTTGGAGAACCTAGGGACCTGAATACACATAGCTGTATTACTCAGAATGACCTCAACAAAAAAATAATAAAGTTCAATAACTATAAATAAACGAGTCTGCTGATATAAAGAGTGAATCTATAATCAGTACGAGAAATAGTTGTAAATAGGAAGCTAAAACTAACAACTTTCTGTCATCAATAAAGCTAGGAATTTTATCAAAAAATGATCTCTATTTCTCACATCACTAGTAATAAACTGGAACAACTAGTCAGCTTCAGAAGATTCAGCTATTCCAAAGACTTAAAAAAGATCACAAGAATAACCTCGTTGTCACATAGCATTCTATATTACAAGCAGCAATGAATTGACAGCTAGAGTTAGAACTTTGAACCATGAATAATATTGCTTACCACATAGCTGGTCAATGTTTCGTAGCTTGACAGCCAATCCTTCTGTGAATACTTGGGAACAATTGCAAGGAGAGTCACTAGGTGTTCCGAAGTAATGATATCCTCAGGCTTCACTAGATTAGACAGATCACGAACAGCCAAGCTAAAATAGGCAGAAATTGATCAGCTATTAAAAACAAAATATTCTGGCATACGCAACAATTAGACTAAAACAATGGTCATACCTTCCACTTTGCTTTCGGTTTATGGCATTAAGTTGCCCACGCACATTGTTATACTCAGCGACGCGAACCTAACATAAAAAACAACACTTTAAGATCCAACTTTCCATTCAATCTATAAATGTCATAAACCACCATGTATAAAGGTGTATGAATCAGAAAATTCAATGAAGGAATTGTTACCTTGAGATCATCCTCAATCTTTGCCACTTGAGTATGTATACCATCAACAATTTCCCTCAAAGGGGACATTGTGGGGTACTTTGCTTCATCCCAAACAAACCTGCCATCAAATCACCAAAAACCAACCTATCAGATAAATAATTAATGCCACATTGATTCACAGGAGTAGAGCAAAATTTTACCTCGTTAGATAAGAGTCAATGGGAACTCCATCAACAGTGAGAGAATTGCTCTCCAATCCAGATACCCTCTCCAGCTCCTCGATCTGCCTCCTGATTTTGTGAGAAACTCCTTCGATAAAGCTATTTGACTGCACATACACCAAAATCACCAAAAGAGGGAGAATAAAAAACTCCAAATAAATCCCATAAATTATTTTATTTTGTTTTAAACTAATCTAAAGACATCAAGCTAAAAGTGCATAAATCAAAGCAAGAATGCAAAGCTGATAAATTTTAATTTAAGGGCTTCAGCGTAATCATCAGATCAGAAACCAGCAGATCTAAAAAGAGTAGAATTTGACAAATAAAAAGCAGAAAGAAGGGAAAGTGAGATTGAATTATACAAGTAAAAGGAGGGAAATTACTTTGAAGAGATCATCACTGAGAGCGAGAAGGGAATCGAGAGTTCCAACACGGAGATTGGGTATATTGAACTGCAAAATAGAATTGAATCAAAACAGAAAGAAGGAAGAGAAAATCAGATCTAAAATGGAAAAAAAAAAAAAAAGAAAAAGAAAGAAAGATACTCTGTAAATAGGAGTGTCAAAGGAATGCTTGGAGATTTGGTCTTGTAAACTATTCCAAAGAGTCGAGGCTGAGTTCTGAACCGGAAGAGACACAACCCAATACCTGGTCGCCATCGACAACAAAGGGAAAAAAAATAAAACAAACAGAGAAACAGAAGACAGAGTTTGAGGTATGCTGTCGTGGCAATGGGAATCGGCTAAGGTAAGGAAGGATCATAAAAAGCAATTTTTAAAAGATTTGTTTTAGTATGATTAGTTTTTGTTTTTGTTTTTTTTTTTTTTTTTGGGGGGGGGGGTTAATTTTTTGTGTCAAATTATGGGATGGGATGGTAAAAACGCGATGTGTTGGTGTTACTATTTTTATATGATTTCAGTAAGAATTCATTCACTATTTTTGTAAATTTTACTTTTTCTTGAAATGAAAGAAATGACTTATAATAATTAACAAACACCAAATTCATATTAGCAATGATCACCCTAGCTAGCAACTTATTAGCTATAATGATAGATGGGTAAACGGTGGTAGCTTATTTATAAAAGTATTTATGGGTTGGATTGAGTTAAATTTGAATTTGATTTATATTTGATATTAATAATTTATATGTTTGTTTAAATTTAGTTTGATTAGATTTAAATTTTAAAATTTTAAAATTTTTTTAAATTTAATTCAAATTAAAAATAAAATTTAAATTTACTCATTAAATTTAATTTATATAAAAAATTAAAAAATATAATTAAATTAAGTTTAATGGAATTATATTTAATTAACATATATAAAAAAATTAAAATTAAAAATTATATAATAATAAATATATCATTTTTATTTTTAGTTTTTATATATATGTAAACTAATTTATATATAATTCATATTTATATAAAAATAAAAAAATTATATATATGTAAATTCAGATCGAATTAAATTGAGTTTAAATTTTAAATTTTTTATCTAAAATTCAACCCAAAATTTAAATTGATTTTAAAATTGTACTTAAATTTGATTAACGAATTTTAATTTTTTTTTAAATCTTCTCAAAACTTGAAGTGATATAATTTAATTTTTGAACAAGTTTACTTGCTTGCTTTGCTCATCTTATTTTTGCTCTTCCTTCACAAACCCCATCACACCCTAAAGCCAAAGCCAAATTAGAGATGACCTCTTGATTTTGAACATTTTCATCATCCCTATGTCTGTCAAGTATTTAATTGAAAATAAATGAATAACTGAACGTATGAAAATAAAAAACTAATTACTACTGTACAAAATGATGAGATACTACACATTAATTAATTAGATAGATATTGTCATAAACACTTATGCAATAACATTAACAAGTGGAGAGACTTATTATTAGTAAATTTGATAATGTCCAGGTCAAAGATATACGATATAGCATCAAGTTCTACTTCACTTGTTTATTTTGTTTTATTTCTTACATTGGACTATATATATATATATATATAGCTGAGAGTTGATCTGATGCAAAACTACAACCACATGAACACCAAATTGAAGACTTGCTCCCATTCTTTCAGATTTCATGATGAAGCTGTGCCAGCTTTTGTTTTTACAAAATAACACTACTTATGCTATTAAACTTGATAAAACTCATCAAGGGATAAGTTTTCAACCGACCCAAAGCTTTCCAGAGATGATCCCATCCTTGAATAGTTGTTCATTGATCCACCCAGAAAGTCAAGTGGAGAGTCATTTGAGAAGGTCGTGTCATAGATAAATGACATGCCACTATCTTCCATCCTGGGATAATAATAGGAACTGCATTTACTAGCCTCATAATCATGGAAAAAATGGTCATTCACAGCATTTCTATCTATGTCATTATGTACATCTTGATCAGAGGCCTTCTTAGCCTGGATTACCTGAAATTAATGAGAGACTAATAGCTGTCAATAAGAGTTAAGAAATTAATGAAAGGTTTCTAGAAATCGAGAGAGAGCAAAAAAAAAAAAAACGCAAACAGATTGGCAGACCATACATAATTTTGATTTTGACTATCTTGATACACCATGATGAAATCCCCAAGTTGTAATCCGTGTGTGTTAACAAATTCACCTGTGAAATTTAATGCAGCAACAATGAATCATTGCTTGATGGCCAAAACTATTTCGAGCAAAGAATGGAAAAAAATTTATGATCGGGGGACAGTGTTGTTTACCAGTATTTTCGAGTACATACATACGGCTGTTGTTATTTGGCCAAAACCTGCTTACAAAGAAGGAAAAGAAAGAAGTTTTATCATGCTATTTAAGGAACAAAACAAGTATCATTCTTCTGCCATATGTTCAAATATCCATCCATATGAAGCAATTAAGCGCTACAAGACTAATTATTGGCGATCAATGAAGTTTCCTTAAATTTTATTGCCACAAAAGAAGAGATCAACCGGTGGAGAACCTACGTACCTATACTTGAAGCTCCACACATGCAGGCCATCTAAGTCATCCATGCTGATAAGGATCCCTTCTTTGGATTCAAGGACAGGTAAGTGAGCCTCCGCTGCCCTCTGAAAGGAAGAGAGTGTTATTTAGAATTTCTATGAGAGCCAATTGCATCAAATGAACAATTCTGATAAATTATACAGTCCAGCAATATTGTTTTAAGCATAGTGTTCAAGAAAGGAAAATAAACAAATCTATTTATAGAAGTAGTATGGATTGAAACCTTTGGGAGTATCATTCTTCGGAGGGAGCTTACGTCGCTATTCTTAAGTTCCTTCTGGAAAAGGAACCTCAATCTCTTTGGATCAATAACCTAATTAAAGCATAAGATTGTTCAGAGGTCATCAGAATGATTACTAAATAGAATATAGAACCATTGGGATAGTTAATCCAAAAATTTCACTATATATCTATGAGACGATGCAACAAGACAGCATGACAACATTGCATCATCCAAAAAAATGAAACAACTAATACATGTGTCCGAACAGGATCGGAGAAAATGTCCAAACATGCAATGCCCCGGGGGACACTGAGAATGGGACAGCCTCATTTGACCAATTATTAGGCAAATGAAAGGGTACAGTTTCCTTTTAGACTAAATTTCAGGTGGGATTTGATAATTAAAGAAACTAATTCCAAAAGAATGCTTGTCACGTAGAATTTTTTTTATGTTGTAAAAAACTTCTAATATTCTGTAATTACTTTAAGTTTTCATTATTTGAAATCAAATCGGAGCGAATCTTATAGAAAAGATAAACTTTTTTAAATTTATTTTTTATATTCAAAAAACTTGAAACAGAAAACTTACTCATACATACGTGTCTTTATTAGAGTTCTTTCTTAATGTGCTCCACTTATTATTTCAGTTACGACAAAAGATGATTAAAACGATTACGAATCAAGTGATACTTGTTTGATGCAAAGTCACAACTCACAAGATTTTGGATGTGCATTATTTGTTGGATTAAAAAAAAAGTAGATTCTTACAAATACAATGATTAATATTTATGAAATGGAAAATCAAAATGTTTTTGATAAAATAGAGACAAATAACTTGACACAGTTTAATCTGCAAAATTCCAGTCATATAAAGAAGTAAATAATGATCCCCAAATTAGATTACATTGTTTTTGACATACTTATAAAAGAAGCAGCTCCTTGTCTATGGACCACGTACGGTTTTCTGATGTTCTACGCTCACCATTGATGGAATTTGAGTTCTGTTCTAAGAGGTAGCTAATATACTATTTATATAGTAATTAACACAACAGGTTCCTGTCCTTTTTTTTTAACTTCATTTTGACTGGAAAAAAAAATGAATCACGGTTGGCTATAGCTAGACTGACATATATATATATATATATATATATACATACTGGGAAAGGAAAAAAAAAATACTAGTAGCCTCAAAATCACAAACATTTGCAGGTATCTGTTACTAGTATTACATTAACTATCCCAAGAAGGAGCACCTGACAGATTAATATAAGCCTAAAAAATTTAGACACGTCAAAACAAAAGACAAATAAAACATGACAGTAGGTCAGTACCCCAGTTCAAACTTCTCAGAGATGAGAGAAGGGTCACTCCCACACCCTGTAAGAAATATCCTTTATTAACAGTAGAAGTAGGCCAGACTAAAAGAACTAAAGTGGAGTATTTTGCTGATAGTTTGAGCAGTGAAAAAAAAAAAGGATCGAAAACTTTGAACTAACAAATTGAGAAACCAAATAAATAAAAAGAGAAAACTCACACGTGTGGGGTGAGTGGAGGATGGCACATGCGAGCTACTGGAGGAGTTAGTGAAAGAGAGAAGTTTGATGGTGGAGGATGATCTCCTCTGTCTGGCCATCCTTTTCTTCCTGTTAACACCAAAGCTTGGCACAGCAGCGACAAGCTCACGGGTCAACCCGGACCGACCCGATGGTTGGTGGGTGTTGTCCCCCTCCACAGTGACACCCTCAACACCTGCCACCAAAGCAAAGGCCTCGGGTTTCTCATGAACACTAGGAGTATTTGCAGCCATCATTAGGGTTTTTGGGCCTTAGCTCAATTGGCTGAACAAAAAAGGAAAACGAAAAAATAAGGCTTTAGATTTCTGTGAGAGAGAGTGCTTCTCTCTGGCTGTGCAGATGGAAACTACCCGGTAATGGACGCTCGGCAATCGCGAAATGGAGGGTTTTGGGTTAAAGAGAAAGGTAGCCCTTTGTTTTTGCTATTTTTAGAAAGGTTTTGGTGAATACATTGCCTGGTTCGTGTGACATTTGTTCATCTCATATTCATGCTTTGCTTTTAGATCTTTTGTTCCCATTCTGAATAAAAAATCAAATATGTACTCGCTCACTCACTCAGATAACTAGAATTGGTAAAGTTTGATGGTTTAAAGATGGGTTTGAGTAGATAACAATCTTTTAGAAAAAGAAAGCAGAGTTATAGGGTTTGGCTGACAAATGTGCAATGTGGATTCCTGGGTGTGTAAGTTTTGTGAAGGGTTGATAGAGAGAAAGAACCCAAAAAGGAAAGTAACTAGAGTTGAGAGTAAGTGTTAATGTTGAGAAATGGTTGGGTGGAGCAGGAGGATAGGGGTGGTTAGGGCACACCCAAGAAACGGCTGACGAGTGGAAGGTGGTGAGCTTCCAAGTGTTGCAAAAGTTCTGCATCTTTTTGCAACAGAAATCAATGGCGTTTGTGCTGATTGGAAGTGAAATAAAACCACCCTCTTTCTCTCTCTGAGCTCACCTATTTCTTTCTTTCTTTCTTTGTTTCTTTCCCAGCCTGAGTGGTCGTTTTTTGAATTTGAAACTGGGAAACGTAAACCGCTCAAAGATTCCTCCGCTTGGCTTGGCCAAAGCAAATTTACATAATAAAAATACAAATACTTTACAAAACAGCTGAAAGACTGAGATTTGGAATCAGGAATTTGAGATGTTTCAGCAATCAATGGTGCTGATTTCATCAAGCGCAAAAGCAAGTGGATTAAGATTTGTTTTGTCAACAACAGACAGCAGGTTCGCTTCATTGCCACGTGGTTGACATGCAAATGAGCTTGTGGGATTAATTAATGAGAAGAGAATTCGGATCAACAAGAAATATCTTGCAGTAAATGCTGGTATTGATGCAAGCAATTGGTAAAGGCCAATATACATTTCCATTGGCTTTACACAATGATATTATATATTTTTTTTGTACATCAATTGGATGAGAAGATTCAAACTCCCATTTTAAACCTCCTTTTAAACGTTCTTAATTATTATATATTATCAATAAATTAAATAATATCAATTTATTAATAAATAAATATTAATTTTTAAAATAAAGATATAAAAAATTAATATTTTTAAAAAATATATTCATTAATAAAATATATTATCTAAATCAATTTATTAATAAAACAATTTTATCTGATTCATTAATCATAAATTTATATACTAATAATACATCAAATATAAAAAATGAAGAAATCCCTCAGGGTTGGTGGCTGGTTTTACTATTGTGGATTTCAATAACTTTTTCTTTACCATGCATCACGAAACTACCCTATCGAATGAGTTCAATTAAAATTAACACAAATTGGCAACTGTATAGCTCCCACTGAGCCAACCTTATTTACCGTATAACGACATCTAACAACTTGTTTAGGAGCTCAAATTCGGCTTCGAACGTTGAAGTTAAGGCTAAGGAAGGCATTTTTAAACGAGGTGAAGAAAATGCTGAATCTTGACTTGAGCCCCAGTTCGACTCAAACTCATCATAAGCTCTAAGATGGTTAGTACTCCCAGCCCAGCCCAGCCCAGCCCAGGGACGAGCATAGCAACATAAGAGAGAAATCGACCCAAAGGCCATAACATAAAAAACTTTTAAAATGTCAATAGGTAGGATAAAAGTAAGAACATTTTTTTTTATTTTTAAAATTTTATATTATATTTATTTTTGTATTTATATCTAATAAAAATTTAAATTTATCATTATTCTTATCTCTACAGGTATTTAATAGTTATGAATAATCTTCATATCCATAACTTAAAAAAAACTAAAATTAAAAATTTTTTATTTTTTTATTTTTATCTTGTATATTTAGGTAATATTTCTATAAATATATATTAATATATATTTTTTAATAAAATATATTAATTTTAATTAATTTAAAATAATAATTTATATTATTTAATAAAAAATTTATATTTTATATATATAAAATATGGGTATAGAACAAATGTTATGTAACCTATCTTTATTTTTATTAAAATAAAAAATCAAATTTTTCATTAAATATAAGTAAAATTGATATTTCTGATTATTTTTCCATCACAATTTATAGAAGATAAGGTAGGGTACCAAATACTAATGCTTATTACATATGTACAAATGATCAAACCACAAGATAAAATTGAAATAATAGAAAATTATACCAAAAGAGACACCGTCTCCTAAAAGATAAGATCTTTCATGTATGAAACAGATAGGCTCTCTTGAAGCAAGGTATGAAGAACGCTTTCAATAATTTACTTGGTACGACGACCATTCTAAAAATTACATCATTAAGGAAACCATCCATCATACCAAGGCAATAAAACGTTAGACCTTTTTCCTCTAGCTTCTCCATCATCTTTTCTTGTTATTGCTAGATTAAGGTACATTCCTCATCAATGATTCCAGCTTCATCCCTTCTTGCTTTTGCTTCTCTGGCTCTGCAGGAAAATATTTTATGCCCACAAGATCACCAACCTGGCTGATAACCTGCAAAGAGAGGCCAATCGAAGTCAGAAGCGATTCATTCACGCTACAACAGTATCCTTAACAAAAATTGACTGTGTGCAACAATTTGCAAGTTGTACTTTTATGTTTTTCCAACAAATGATTGGTACAAGGACTAAAACTAATAACAATATGATGGAGTTTTATGTTGGTAGTTTAAAATGTGATGTAGTTTTTATTAGATAAAAAGATTTAATTATTGATGAACAAAATTAATTTTTATATTAATTTATTTATATTTTAAATAATTATATTTGAACAGAAATAATCATCATATGATAAATGATAATAATTATTTGAATATAAATAAATTATTATTCATAAAAGTTATGATTATATAAAAAGTCATAATCATTTAAATAGAAGTTTATGTTTGTTTATTCATTATAAATAAATCTTTTAGTATAACCATTTTCATTACTTCTTATTATAGAGTTTGAAGTTTGGTTGTTTCCTAAAAGCATAATTGCCATTAAAAAAGTGTTCTTCACTTTTTAAGGCAAAAATTCTTTTTTATTATTTCTCTTCTGTTATATATTTTTCTAACAATTTAAAAGTAATTATGAAAAATTTATATTTCACGTGAGGAAGATACAATAAAAAAAAATTGGCATGATTTGGAATCAATATTAGTGAAGGTTCAAAGTGTCAAAGGATTAATATTTCTATGGACCAAAAAATTAATTTCATAAAGATCTTCATTAGAGGTATGTATCTTATTTTTTGCATAATTACTAGTAAAAAGATTGACTGAATGAGATAAATACATTAATAATTAATTTTATTAGTGTGTAAAGTCAAAACACAATATGTAAAATATTGATTACATTACATAAGTTTATGCATATACTGAAATTAGCTCCACAATTAGGTTTAATGAATTATATTATATTTATTTGAAAAATTAATGCTTATAAAAACTGGGATGAAAAATAACCTGAAAATATAAAAGAGAAAGACATGAATTGATCTGTAACCAAAAGAATTATCACTTGTTATAAAGTAACGAATTAAATTAGGTTCTAATGGAATGATTGATTGTTTAATTGTCATGTCTTTGTTATATATAAAACTGACAAATTATCTCATGGTTTCTATTAAAACAATCGAATATGGGTAAAAGTATATACCGTGAAAAATTAGATGTAAGTGGAAAATATATACAGAAATTAAGATTTAATTGCAATATTAGTTTTATTTTTAAATCATGGCACCAAAATTGAGATAATAAGTTGAGTCTAGCTATTTGTATAATTCTATCTTTGTTGGTCGTTTATAAATCAATTGTTGATTTTTTTTTTTTGTAAATTTATTATTAGTTCAAATTTTAACTAGTGTTCAATTTTCATGAAAATCAATTAAAATTAAATTCATGTATGTGAATAATTATTATTAAGATATGGTGTTTCATGGATTAATTGGTGGATAATAAACCAAATAATAATTATTATAAAAAATATGGGCAATGTGACATATATTTTGCCTGTTGGGTGTATTACACTAGAAGTAATTTTACAAGATAAAATTTTATTGTAAATAATTATAAAGTGAAAATCATAAATAGCAGTCAAAGAGTTAATAAATTGTTACATAAAAGCATTGTTGCTTTTCGTAAACGAATATTGATTCAAAGAAAATGCATGTCATTAAAAATATTAAAGCATTTGTTGGTTATTAGTATTTTGACGGATGCTCATCAATATCTAATTAGCCATGTTTATAAATTAGAAAAGAACATGCAAATTCAATGTTCCAAAGGCACCAACACGTGCATGTATTTAATTTCATTTTGTGATGGCATGAAGAATATTAGTACAGTTTGTCATATATTACGAAAACAAATTGAATGAGATGGAATTTTTTTTATGTACATATAAGAGAGATATAAACTATGGAGATAAAATGCTATCATCCAATTAATACATTATTGGTTAAAGACAATAAAACTATTTTTACTTTTCGTACCCAAAAAATGGCCTTTTGTAGGTTGTTAAAATAAAAAGTAAATAAGTTTCCAAGGTTTTTAATAGTTTCATAACAATAGCAAGGATGTGGCTAGTTATACATCATACATATAGGCTTAGATAATAATATTGGTTTGTGAAAGTCGTAAACCATAGAATTAGCCAATTAATGATTTAACCAATACAAATTCATTACAAGTTTTTGCATGAAATATGAATATAACTCATATTATAATTATTGTTTATAATATTTTATGAAAATGATTCTTTGGATTCATGTTTCATGACTTACATTGATACGGTGATTTAGATATGAACATATTAATCACAAAATGATTGTGAAAGTATTTGAAATTGGAGTTAAATATACCATGAACTCTTATTATACATTGGCATATTATTCCTATGAGTAAAGTTTGAATTTATTATATATTCAAAATTATTATGACCAATTAAAAGTGGTAAATAACAGAGATATATAGGCTGTACAATGGTGGAGAAATAAAGTTCTAATAAAATTTTGAAATCAAGTTTAGAGATTTCAATAGTCATGAATTTGGAATTGGCCATTGGACAATTAATATATGCATTGGAAACTTTGATAATATTTGAGATAGTGGTTTCACTAAAAGTCATCATTATAATGAGATAACTTTAAAAGTCAAATCTACATGATTTGTAAGTATGAGGTGATTATTTTGATTGGCTTAGAATAGCCATAAGTCAAAATTGATGCCACAATCTTGATCATGTTATGGTAATTTTTTATTATGTATATAGTCTAATTCATAGATTATACAAATGCTTTATCATTTATG